TCATATGTGTTATTTGACAATGATATTGATTTCTTCTTTGCATTGTATGATTTCAGTTTGCAGGGTAATTTGATGCTGAACTACTTAAACAGAAGAAATTTAATCCCTTTTTTGTTGACCCTGAGAAGTCTCATTTGTTAATGAATTCCAACCTTGATCCAGGCACTAACTTTTTCGCAGCAAATTCACAATTACTTTCAAACCGGCCTTTATCTTACCTCTAGGAATTCAATTAATAAATTGCCATCACTTCCTTATGATACATTCTCCTCACTTTATATTAATGTCCGTAGTCTACCAAAACACTTTGACGAACTGTGAAAGGTTTGAACCCAGGAGTCATTTCAAAAGTAGGTTGAGTTTGATCGTCCGGGTGAATGTAAGTCCTGAATAGGACTGTTGTTGTTGACAGTGACTGACGTTTCGACAACCTGTGCGGTAGTCATCTTCAGAGTCAAAGTGAGTTGTATCACGTCAGTTAATGGTATTATACTCTGTTTATTGATCTGATTGGTCAATTACGTCGCGATGTTATTGGTCGTCTGTCAGTTGAGCCGTGATGTTATTGGCTATGAAGACTCGTAATCAGTAATTGGTGCGTTTCGATCCGTCTATTGTCACAGTCAAACATTCGTCTACTGTTAGTTAATTTGTCATTAACTTTTAACTTTATTTGATTTACCACAAAATACAAATAACGATAAAACAAGACAGTTACACAAACGCAAATGAAAGTAGCGAGGTAGCCCAAAAAGAAACCATGAGGCTTATAGACATTGGGCTCCCTCAGAGTAAAAATAAAGTTAACGGTAACAGTAAGGCCAGGATCGAAAGTAAAATACAATGAAGGCAAGTATAAATTAACTAATTACATAGACTGAGTTGACAAAATATAAGGTATGGTACATGTAACAATAAGTATAAAAATAATATCAGATATGTGAAGAAATATAACTATTTACTACAAGATCTATAACTAATAATTCGTATATAATTTTTTTTTTTCAGTTTCGTTTTGAATAAGAGGAGAGAATTAGATTCTTTAATATCATTTTCTATAGAGTTATAATAGGTAGGTCCTTGGAAACTGACAGAAAATTTACGAAGGTTTGTTCTACAAAAAGGAAGGTGAAAATCGTTCGCGTGTCTAGTGGCATAGCTATGGACTTGTTTGTTTAAAGAAAAATAGTTTTTGAACTTTGAGGGCAAAAGAGAATGGTTAAGAGAAAACATAAGTTTACCCAATTCTAGTTGTCCAATATCGGAAAGTTTTAGTAGCTCTAATTCTTTGAAAACAGGGTCTGAATGAGAATCGAAAGTTGATTTAGAAATAATTCTGATAACTCGCTTTTGCAAGGAGACAAGGCGGCGAAGATTGGTTTTGTACGTAGATCCCCAGACAATAATACAATAATGAAGATAAGGATAAACTAAACAATAATAAAGAGTTTTTAGACAGGGTTTAGGTAGAAAAAATCTTGCTCTATTAATGACACCTATTGATTTCGAGATTTTACGAGCTACTTGAAAAATGTGCGGTTTCCAAGACAGATGTTCATCAAGGACTACACCGAGGAAGACCGTTATATACATACTGAGAAATACTCACCAAAAAGCTATGTCGTAAATTTTCGTACGCAAATTAGTTCTAGCCAATCAGAGGAGCGAACGATGGTTTTCACACGTGAAAAAAACGATACGTCCAATCAGAATCGCGAACGATGTTTTTTCACGTGTGAGAAAAATGATACGTCCAATCAGAAGCCACAGAGGTGTGCGAGTTTCGCGCCAAAATTGCCGCCTTTTATTGCAGCTTGCAGCGCCGCTTCGCACACATTCAACGAGAGAAGTTTTACTCAAGGAGTTTTTCTCGCTAAAAAAGTGAAAAACATTTCGGAAATGGAGTGGAATAGTTTCGTTTGTTTCACTGTCGATAAAAAAATACGGTAGAGAGCCGGCGAAACAACAGCAGAAAGGGATAAACAGAATGAGACGTAAGCTTTTGTTGTGCTTTTTGTCGGAGCTACTTTGCCTTTCATTTAAGCTTAAGCTTATATTGAAACCGGCCATTTTACTTAAATTCACTCATTTTCAATTGTGCATTGAGAACAAACAGTTAAGATTACTTATAGTTCTTGGATTACCTCATTTGTCATTGTCATTTATGTTTTTAACAAACGTTTTTACTAAAAAGCTGATACTTCGTTTTCGTTGTCATTTTGCGGTAAGTGTGTAGCGGCAAATTTTAGCATTTTTGAAAGATTTAAAATAAAAAGGCCCGCAAAATGAGGAATGACTCAGTATGTATATAATAAACACAATACCACATGGAAAGTGCTTTGTACGGTATTTACGCACTCGTTGTTTTTGTATCAGAAATCTTACTCGTTCGCTGCGCTCACTCGTTCGATTTCTGATACGTCAACAACTCGTGCGTAAATACCGTACGCCAGCACTTTCCATGAAGTATTCTCTATTTCCTTAATCTGTTCGATTCTCTGTTCAATTATGCATATTTGCATTGGAAAATGATACCTCATTCTGTCGTAGTCAGTTTTGCTTGATCTCATCATCACTTTGAGGACTTATCAGAATTTCTTCTTTCATTGAACAGGTCTTCCTCAGTTAGTGTTCTTGCTGTTTTAATCTGCATAATTGACCTGTCATAAGTATCAATTTGCTATCACTTGGTAAGCTCTAGACTTTCTCAAAGTCGTTCGCTTGGTTTTCTGGTCTGGTGTGGTAGGATTTCGCTCGCTCGCGCTTCGCGCTCGCTCGCTCGCGCTCCGCGCTCGTACGATCGCGCTTCGCGCTCACAGTCGCGCTACGCGCTCAAAAGCTCGACTTGTGAGCAAGTCTAGGTAAGCTCCTATTATTTGGAATGATATTCCGTTAACTGTGCGCAATAGCCTTACAACAGTAACTTTAAAAAAAATCAAGACTGCATTTCTTAAGTATTTGAATTAGCCTATGCAAAATATTGTTGAAGGGCTATAGGACTTATATGCCTTAATTTTATAGTTCAAATCAAGTCTCTTATCACCAATTTTGTATACCTTTTGGGACTATACTAGGTGTGTTTGTATTTGTATGATTTAAAGGAATATATTATCGAGTGTTTGTAAATTTAGTAGTCATAGTTAGTTTTAAGCATTGTATTTCAGGCTATAGAATTTATTATATATCCCTTAATTTTATAGTTTAATCAAGTCTCTTGTCACCAGTTTTGTATTATATTAACTATCTTGTGGGACTACTCTAGGTGTACTATGGTTTATATTTCAGTTGTACGTTCTCTGCAACTGACTCTCTTTCCTTTCTTTTGATTGGTATTGTAATTATTTTAGTTAAAGCCTTCTTTTATTCATGTAAATCCTTCACGTTTTCTGCTGACCGTAGGCCATTTAAGCCAAAGGCTGTGATTATTATCATGAATTTTTGATATGTAATATTAGTAAAAAGTCAAAGAAGTAAAAAGGTTGGTCCGTAATGAGAGAAACTGTGCCCTGACCGAGGGCTACGCATCGAGCAACTCACGCATTTTTCGTGCTCTCGGTAAACTTCCCGCGTTCTTCATATCTCGACATATACGCACGCTGACTCATGAACCAATTGTTAAATTAAAAGCTATTTTGGGCAGAAAACAAACTCAAGCTGAAGGAAACCAAAGTTACAAAGTCTTTGTTCAAAAAGAAAGAAGTTGAATTATTTCCAGTTCACTGATCAGAATCGGAATCATCGCTTATGATTCTTCTCTTCTTGGGCTTCGATTCACGGGCTTTGGGATTTCTTTTTTGGATTTCATGGTGAATGTTGAATGTCAAAGAACAGCCTCTACTACATCAATCTTGTCGATGCAAGTACCCGAGAACGCAATCCAAATGGCGTGTTAGGATTTACGGCTACTTTATTCTGTCCCCGAGGTGGAGAGGTTCAAATACATTTTTACCGATTTGCTCGACGGCTGAAAACTAGTCTGTCAAGCGAGAGAAGCGTGAGAGAAGCTTGAGAACATAAGGACGTATAAGCTGACCGTGGGCGTCTCCCGTTTGGCTAAAGGGGAACAGAATCGACTGAAACTAAAGGTGATGTTACACGGAACGATTCGCAACGACCATTTTTAGCGCAAAGCAGCGTTGCAATGTTGGAACCATGTTGTAACTGTTCTGAACAATATCGTAACAATGTTGCAGCCCTGTGTTGCGCTAAAAATCGTCGGTGCGAATCGTCTCGTGTAACATTACCTTAAAGGGACTCTTGCTCCCGTCTAGGACGCCAGTAGGCACTGTTTTTTAGGGACAGAAAATCGCGCGCGTCACAAACAGAATATATATAATTTGGTTATTAAGTGTTGTAGTTTTAATTTTTCTTTCAGCTTCTTCTTTTACACTGTTCAGATGAATTAATCTTACATATAAAGAATATTAAATTTTCTTACAGAAATGTACTATTCAAATATTCAAATATTAATCAATGGAAAATCTAGAGAGAATGTGCACAGTGGCCAAAGGAGCCGAGGCTTTCCAGACGGCCACTGTCGTGTTTGAAATATAATCAGAAAAAGCCAAGATTTATATTCATTAAGATTAACGAGCAAATTATTAGCATAATCTACAGTAAATATTATACTCACTGAAGCTTAGCTTGACGTGGGCACTCATTCACGCGCCCACGAACAATAAACAGAGGGCATACTGTGACATCTACTATTACTGATTGCAAAGAAGAAATGTTCTATATTGCTTTCTAAAAGCAGGTTCAGTAAGGGACTTTAAGTGTGATGGGGCACTTTCCCACACTTGAACTCCCTTATATGTGCAATGATCTACATATAAATTTGTGTTATAAAAATAATGATCCATTTTTTTTCAGTGTAAAGGAATTATCCTCACTTATACACCTTCATGCGGAGGTGTGTGTGACCCAGCGGTTGACAACTCGAACTCCGGATCTGGAGTTCCGGGGTTCAAGCCTTGCTTGTCTTTTTTTTTTGATAAGACAAGAAACTTTACTCCATTTTGTCTCTCTTCACCCAGGTGTATAAATGGGTACCGGCGACATACTGCTAGGGGATAAACCTGCAACGGACTAGCATCCCGTCTAGGGGGGAGTAGCAATACTCCTAGGCATGCTTCATGCTAAGGAAACCGGGATACTGCTCCGACCGTTCGAGCCTTTGGCACGTGTGCGCCTCTACCTATACATCTTCTTGCCTTCTAAAGGCTTTTTTCTCTCTTTTCTTTTTCTTCTTTTACAAGTTGTGCCAGTTATATTTGTTTATTTTTCTAATTCAATTTCACTATTTATGCAAGTTTTTGGAATATAATAACAGTAGCATATCCATGGGTTTGGATTCCCAGAAGGGGGGAGTGGGTGGGGGGCACTTAACTAGTTAGGGCAGAGGTGTGCTGCTGAGGCCTTCACTCCTTGACCCTGTTTAAAACAAAAATCATTTAATTTCTGGCCCTGTTAAAAACAAGAGAGCTTATTTCATGACCTTGGATTTCTTTTTGCTTACAGAATTAAGTTATATTTTAAACTAACACCATGGACATAATTTTTTGGAAACAAATTGTGGGTAACACACTTGTAGACCACTCATTTGTTAAAGGCTTTTGGTCCTGAGGACAACTAAACACTCTAAACAGTGAAATTGCATAACCTGTTTAAGACACAAGACCCCGAAAACCATACCATGTTAACCCTTTAAGTTCCAATAGTGACCAAGATCAGTTTTCTCCTAACAATATCCATACACTGTCAACAGATAAGTTATGACAATTAATAAAGTGATCACCCAAGAAAAAATGCCTTGATCTTTTATAGATAGATAGATAATCTTTATTTATTCACGGTACAAAATTCGTCAGCTTTAAAAATGCCTAATACTAATATAATAAAAATATTTAAATAAAAAAGCTGCTTTCCACGAATGCCGTGCCTTACAGTTCTTTGAGTAATCGTTTAAATTGCCCAAGGGACTCTGCTTCCCTTAAGTTACAAGGAAGACTGTTCCAGAGAATGGCGCCACTATAGCTGAAGCTGTTTTTGTAATAGTTTGTGCGCGGTAATGGAATATTGAGTTTATTTTCAGAGTCCCTTAGGTTATATGCGACTTCTCGCCTTTCAAATTTAGAACTAAGATAGTTTGGAGCCAACCCGTGCAGAGACCTGTAAACCATCGTAGCTCTTTGAAATTGTTGCTGGCAAGCTAGGTTTTTCCACCCTAGAAGTTTGAAAAGGTGACCAGCATCTACGTCATAGCTTGAGTAGGTCAAAACACGGGCTGCTCTGTTTTGTAGCTTTTGAACCTTATTCCGTAAGGTTATCCCACAGTTTCCCCAAACAATGTTGCAATAATCAAAGTGTGGCTGTATTAAAGCTTGATATATTAGTTGTAAGGTCGCCTGAGGGACAAGGTGCCTTGTTCGTTTTATGGCCCCAATACCAGAAGCGACTTTCTTTGTTACTTTCTCGATATGGCCACTCCAATCAAGTCTGTCATCGATGGTCACTCAAGTGATTTTGCAGTAGTGACCTGGCTAACTTCAAAATCATTAATTGCAAATGTCGGGGACTCTGTGAGAGTACTTAGCCTCTGCCTAGATCCGATAAGCATAAATTCGGTTTTAGTCATATTTAGAGTAAGTTTGTTTGCTCTCAGCCAATTGTGAACATTTTCTAAATCTTGATTTAGATGCAACTGAATATTGTCTGCATTATCACCTGCGTACGTAAGGTGGGTGTCATCAGCGTACATCCTCGGCTCACAGTTTGAAAGACAGTTTGGAAGATCGTTGATGTATAACAGAAATAATAATGGACCTAAAATCGTCCCCTGGGGTACACCACAACTTATTAAACAGCTTTGAGAGAGCGATCCGTTGATGGAGCACATTTGAGTACGATTCTAAACAGTGAAATTCTCAACTCATTCTTTAAGGAAATATATGGAGATCAGTTTGGAGAACTTGTATGTGGACACATACCTGTTTAGCCCAAATAAGGAACTACCCCCTCCCCTGGGTTTGGACTGTCAAACTGATCACCAGGGTTTAATTATATAACTTACCTTATCAAATAAAAATTAATGATAATGATGTCAATGATTCCCAAGCTTACAGATCATGGATGTTTGGTAGAAAACTGTTATTTGTGACCCAGAAATTAAGCTCAATCTTTTTTTGCCAAAAGCACCTCAGCATATTTTTTTTGGAAAGACTCCTTGGAATTCAAATTAGGAAATGGCTGCTCGGGCTCTGGAACACCTAAAAACTTACATAGAGGACCCCAACCCTCTTTAACATTAAAAACTAACAAATTTTCTTTCTTGATACTTCTTTTCAGCTCTTCATTCCAATCCAAATACAACTTCCTCAGATCAGTTTCTTGTTCTCTTGGATCAGCACCATGAACTTTTGCCAGAAAAGCGAAAAAGGATTTTCTTAATTCCTGCCGAGCAAAATTGTCATCAAATTTGAACCTAAAAATAGTTGCTTGTACAGATTCAATCCACTGGTCAGGATTATCTCGCACAGTAAGGATCACTTTAGCATCGGGATTCCACTGAAGGAACTCTTTGTAAAATAAACAGCCAGGGTAATCCGTAGTAGCCACATAACCCTTGAAGGCTTCTTTCAGTTTTTCACTCTTGTCCTCACTGCTGCTGAATATCTCTTTCCACATTGGCCATAAATGCTCTTTATCAGGGAGTACTTCTGACATATGATGGCAAGGTCCAAATCCTAAGAGAACAAGTGCTTGCTTTAGGGATTTAGTTCCCGTACGACCCAGTCCCGCACCAATAACTTTCAAATCTGTCATGATCTGAAAACAAGAAAATCTCTTTAGCTCATCAGTGCACATTCCTTAAAATTTTTGGTCAACTGAAAGTAAATATTAGACAGGAAAATATTGAATTTGAAATAAAATAATACACTGGAGTCAAACTTTCATCTTCGACCCACCATCCAAAATACCAAATTGACTGTAATGTGCAACACAATTGTGGCTACATGTCCTGGCTGGGTTGTTCAAAGTTAAGGTAAGTGCAAACTTTGATTTTATATATGAAAGCTTAAAGAAGATGCAAATTCAGTTTTATTCCTCTTGTCTACTTAATAGAGAAAACTATCCGCAAAAGTGCTTTTGAAGAAAAGAAAAAGAAATCCGGATTAAAATTTAACCCTGGGTTAGCGCTAATCAGTCTTCAAACAACTGGGATCAGGAGTGCAACTCTAAATGGGTGGCAGGGAGCCATACAAGACTGAACCACCCACAATCCACATCCCTTGTATCATTTGCGACATCATCAGATTTCTTATCATAAGTGTGTACATGCCGCTATTGTCCCTCTATTTGCCCCTGTTCCAGAAAGAGGGAGGTCGATGGAGTTGCACATAACCTTTCAGAGTTGTCAATCGATTATGACTGATAATCAGTAGTATATTCAATTAAAATGAAAGGATTCGTTATGAGCAAATTGATAATCTTTATTTTTTCCATCAATGCTTAACCTACACTTTTTAGCTTTGATAGGTGCAGAGATGATTGTGCAAAAACAGAGAAGAGATGCATACTCCAGGTGAGACAGGATTCTGGGGTGGAGGGGCAGGGGGGGAGCATCAAAGAAGTTCTATATGGGGAGGCTTGACCAGAGGTCCAATTCCTTAATTCCTTACCTTTTACACCTTCCAAATCTCATACTATGCCCCTGTTTATATATTTGTGAAAAGTGATACTGTAGTTGATGGATTTGGTTTAAATTGTCTAGCCTGGGACCAGGCTCCACAGTGGGGTAAAAAGACAAAAAAGAAAAAAAAATCGGTGAGCAAAGCAAACTGAGTGGGAGTCAGGAAAAGGGTAAGGGTAACAGAAGCTCCACCACCCTTTCCCCCTCCCCAGTCCACTGCTCGGCTCGCTTAGCTCACCGAATTTTTTTTGTTTCACCCAGTTTTTTTCCTTTTTCCCCATTGCGGAGCCTTTTCCCAGACTAAATATTGTCTATTTGATTACTCAATAAATTAAACGGCGCTGGCAAAGATCATGAATTGAGATTTAGCATATATGGCTGACAGGTAAATAGTTCTCGCGGAACAAAGAGGTAGATCGAGGTTGTTTGACAGGTTTTTTGCGATAGTTCTGTACTAGCTCTTTTTACGCCATTTTAAATACCATTTTAGCTTGCTATAGATTCACTGTCAAACAACAAAAAAATAAATCGGAAACCGTCCAGTGTAAGAAGCCAAGAAAATGAAATGTTATAAAAGACTTATTTTTCAACAATTTGTCCAAGTCTCAGGTCTTTGTGGCCCACAGGTTCTGAGTTATTTGCCGAAATGTCTCATGCACCTTTGTAGAGCTTTGTATGGAGATGCCATATTGGTGCACCGTTTTGGTGCACCAATATGGCCGCCGGAAATCAACAAAAACATCTGGAGTTCACTTTTTCTTTAAAAGCTCTTTCTTTTCACTTGAGAACTAACATATGTGCCCATAAACATGTCCTCTAATACTTCAAATGGTTATACTGGGGAAAATCAAGAGGAGAGACCTTTTTTATACGAGACAGCATTCCTATTTTGGTGTCACGCACTGTTAAAAGTCGGAAGTTCAAGTTGCTGTATTTTCAAAATGAATTAACATGCTACGGGAATGGAAACTTGTATAAAGATTTATTTTTTGTCTATCTTCAACCTAGTGTAAACAAGAATTTGTAAAACCTCGCTATTTTGACTTTACAATTTGATGACGTCACTATGAAAACCATCTATAGGTTATTCCTTCTTTTAGTTATTATGCTTTGAATAATCTTGAATAAAGTGGCTGCTTATATATATATATATATATATATATATATCTTAAATTAAAACAAATACAACTTTGGTGATGTATGTTAATGAGTTTGAAACAAAGGAAAATATAATTTAAACCAACAATAAAATTGAACCATAAAGCCCCATGCAAACGGATGCTGAACAATGAACATTGTTGGCCAACAACTCCCGACATCGTTGGATGTTACATGTTGTGTGCATTGGTACACCCTGCTGCATGTTTTTGTCTTTTGTTAGGAGTTGTTGTATTCATTTGCACACCATCACCAACATGGACACAACAACTCCCAACCTTGTTGGTGTCCGTTTGCTTGAAGATTACATGTAACATATATCCAATAGATGCACGGTGAGAAGCAGATGATAAGAATTTTTAGCTCATCTGAGCGAAATGCACGGATTGTGAGCAGACATTTCTTTCTTTGTTTATTTACTAATTAAGTCTTCACTAAGACTACAAGTACAGTCGACTCCCGATAACTGGAACCCTCGCTAACTCGAACCTCGCACTAACTCGAACCAAAATCGATTTCCCCTGGATTTCCGTCATACATTCACTGTAATTTTACCCTCGGTAACTCGAACCGTCGATAACTCGAACTCCCGCTAACTCAAACCAATTTTCGTTTCCCCTCAGGTCATTTTCTATATAATTTAACCCTCGATAACTCGAACCATGTTTTGAGCCCTTAAAAAGTCCGGAAAAAGCCGTATACTGGCGTCCGAAACGTTGAGTTTTGGATTTCCTATTGACGTGTTGTAGGAGTATAGTTTACTAGTGGAAGCTGATGTTCATTGCCACAGGCTAACGTGAAGCAGCTTTTCTTTCAAAATAGTAAAACGCATGCTCTATTTAGACTATCTTTTGTTACGTTACGTTCTGATTTATAATCTAGAAGTATCTTTTAATTTTCACTTGACATTTCTACAATTAAATGTGACTAAAATGTTCACTGTGAAGTAAAAACTGTTTTTTACCTTACTCTCGGCTATTTCCTTCGAACTCCCGATAACTAGAACCTTTTTTCGATTTCCCTTGAAGGTTCGAGTAATCGGGAGTCGACTGTAGTCCCCATTTTACTTCAGGTATAGTAGAGCGAGCGAAACGCGAGCGCGCGTGAAAATCACCTCACGCGAGAAAGGTGAGACGCAGATCCCTGAGGAAAAACTGAAGACTACTAAAACTACTAGTAGTCTAGTCTTCACTCTTAACAGACTGCTTTAAAAAATTACAATAATGAAAAAACCATAACACAAAATTGCTAATCAATATGTATAAAGTCAGATTACCCAGCGATTGCCCAAATGAACATGGCCAAGTAGATGCTATAATTTCTGGTGGGAGATTGTTCCACTGTGCAATTTTAGGGTAAAAAGAGTTCTTTTAATAATCACATGTACAACGTAGATATACTCAGGACACAGGAAAAGCCCAACAGAAGTAGTCAAAGTGTATAAATCGAACCGGCCGCGCAGGGCGACACAGCAAGCTGGTATTCAAAATGATCATTCACTCTGTTTGTATCAGGCCTCAGATTAAATACCAAGAGAATTGAAAGATATTAAACAAAATGTAATATTACAAAACAACTCACCAGTTTCAAATGATTCTCAAGTGTCTTTGAGTCAGCTATTGTGCGAACACTGCAAACGAGGAAAATAACAGCAAACATACGCCAACTGGAGTCGGAGTTACGCAATGCTCCCTCACCCCCATTGCGTGACCTAGGCATTGCAAGCAACGCGAACTCTGGGAACGAGATTGCGCGAACTGCCGAAATACCAGGGAAATCCGCCTGGGTTGGAAAATTTGGTTTAGCTTCTAATAGGTGTCCAAACAATCCGGAATTTGAAGATTGGTTTTGTACCGCACACATATGCCATCCAGATAGTTTGCACGAATTTTGCGGATCATTTTACGTTTCTGTGAAACTGCCCACCTACCCCCACCCCCTGCCCCTCGCCTAAACCAAAATTAACACTTAGTTCTTACTTAGGGCAAAATTTTGGCTTAGGGAAGGGGTAGGTGGTCAGTTTCCCAGAAACGTAAATGATCCAGTTTTGCCTCAAACATGTTTTCCTTGTTGCTTTGCCGTTCGTTAATAGTGCTCGCTTTGCGCTCAAGCAACAATTACGCAATACTCATTTTGTTTAGGGAAAAGCCCTCGGGACGAGGTTGTCACGCAATATTCCCCAAGGCCAAAAATAAATTTGAACAAGATGCAATACAAAAAAGAAATTACTCTTAACAGTGCTTTGCATAGCAAAAGACTAAAGAAGTTATGTCTGATTCGTCACTTTATTGTACTAGTTGCTGTCGTTTTATTGGAGAAAGGGTTTTGCTGCCCAAGGGGCCGTCGACATCACAACCTCGTTCCCAGGGTTGCGCAACCACTGTTACTCCTTTTAGAACGTTCTATGAAAGGAGTAACAGTGGTTACGCAATGAAGCCAAAAAAAAAAAAAAAAACAATAAAACGACAAACAGACACCAAAATGCAGTGGAATACATTGCAGGTAAGTCTTTTTTATTCAGTTCATTTAAGAAAAAGTAAGGTTTAGAGTTATTTAGCGTTCGCAGATCTCAGCAATATATTTCTCATACAAAGTCTCATATTTTAAACGGCTGCCTGTAACGCGACACTGGCGCGTCACCTATGGTATGTAAAATACATTACACCCTTCCCTCGCAATGTGAGTTTGGGCCGCCTGTGTCGACATATTCACTTTTCCACCGCTTAACGTCAACTGGACGTTTAGGTCAGACCCCCTTTCCACTCACTTGAAATTTTGTCACTGCATTCCAGGACGAATACTGACATGCACTTACGTGAAGATATCAGCGGTATCAACCAATTTTCTGCTTATCAAACGTGGTAGAAACTTCTTTATATTTTTAAAATATACAATATTTTTAAATGGATAAACCAGTGAGCAGTACTTTCAAACTTCTTGAGTTGTAAAAACTGTTTTGCAGCATTTTTAAATTTAGAGGTCGAAGAGGAGGTCGGAATAGAAGAATCCAACGCTATGCAAATTTATCTTTCCCTTTTCGTTAACACCCGTTGTCTTGTCTCTTTTAGTTTTTATTTTATTTTTTAATTTATTTTTATTTTTTTAATTCTTATTGTTTTTTACTGCATTATCGTTTATTTGTTTCTTGTAAAGTAATGAAGTTGAAATGCGCAGCTGATCATTCATTGTAACTTAAAGGTGGATTCATTTGCAACATTCCACGGTACGCGTATAGCTGTCGCTTTTGCCTACTGGAATATTTTATCGTTTTAAGGCTTAAACACAATAAAAAATCCCAGCAGGCAAATGCCACAGCTATACGCGCATATGTTGCAAATGAATCCACCCTAAATTACACTAAGGTCAACTCATCTCCAGACAGCTCTAAAAACTCTCAGTTTGACTGTGCTCAATTTCTTTGCACTTGTGATTCGGCCAAAATGCATTCTCCCAGGCTAGGAAAAATATCAAAATGGTATAGCGGGAAAGAGTTCAAAGAGGTAATGGCCCTGACTGACAGGAAAGAGGAAAGTCTTCTGCAACAAAAGAAAAGAACACCTGGATCGAGAAAGGAACTTTCTACAACGAAAATAAGAAAGTAAAATTGTGAAAATCCCTAAAGCTTTGGACAAACGGAATAAAAACTTTCTGACAAACGACCGCAAGTTGAGTTTCAAAAGACAAAGCTTTTCTGACATTGCGAGATCCGGTCTGCTAAAGAAAAGAAGGCATACTATAGAAGGCCTCCCGACTTCTGTCCGTGTCAACAAGACAACCGAAAGTGACAGCAAGGTTAAGGAAACTGACAACGACGTTTTCAGGGCAATCGAGAACAATTTCAAGTTTTTGTTGATTGCTTGTGGAAACAAACCAAGACTGACCAGCATTACTAACACCCTCAGGCCTGAAGCTGCCGCACATCAATTTCGTAACTGCGCATGCCCCTGAATCTGAATTCAAGTCAGCTTTAATGCACAGGGCAACATAGTGACGCCACGTCGTAACGTCACACGCTCTACAAATCGCGTTTTAGGGAATTCTCACCTCCTAGAGTGCCTAGAAATGCTAAAATATCGAAAAACATGAATTTTCACGACATAGGATTTCATCAGCACCCTCAAAAGTTAGAACTGTATACTAAACAGAGTAAAAATAGGGCCAAAAAGATCTCATGTGAAAGGTCAAATCACAGGATTTAATCCACTGACTGAAAGTTAGAATTCTGAGATACTAAGTGCATAATACTGTCAGGAGCCCATGCTCCTGGTCCTGGTACTGTGCAAATATATATTCAGCTGAAGAGGGAGGTTTCATTTGAATGCTCGCCATAGGATTTTATGCATAGACTCGAAATTTTGAACAACAGTACTGATGATTAGGAAGCAGTAGCCTGTGAATAGGTTCTCTGTCTGAGAAAAGGGAGAAAAAAAAATCGCGAGAAGAGGGAAGGGATTAGCACAGTTGGTTATTGCGCGTGCTTCTGTGCAAGCGCGAGTTCGATTCCCGGGTGTGACGTCAAATCATGGTTTCGACTTCTTTCCTTTCCGTTTAGCCGCTTTAAGTAGCTTTAAATACCTGTAAAACGAAGGACTCTACCCCGTGTAAGAATATCCGGACCCCGGATCGGCGAGGTTTTTACTTGTAGAATCCGAAATCTGGGAAAATCTTGGTTATGGAATCTGGAATCCTGGATTTTGGAATCCGGTATACCGCTCAATGAATTCGGAATCCCCGGCACTAACGATTACAATCCGGAATCCAACTTCCATTGGCAAAAACCTGAATCCAGTACCTGGAATCCGGAATCCACGGCATAGAATCCAGAATCCAAAACTGTCTTGGATTCCCTCAGAAGCCCATAATCCTTGAGCGAGCAACTCCCATACTACACCTATGTCGTCTATATCACAGAGTTCTCACGGACCGGTTTATTTTTAGACACATTTCAGAGCACTATTTCTCGCTAAAATGGAATCTCCGCTCCGTCTATAAGCCCATTCAGAGTACAAGATATCAAAACAGAAAACTAAACGTCTCTCAAAGGTAAAAAATATCAAGTTGCTGTTTAGGTCTGTAGATTTTACTGACTTGTTCATGCGACTTAAGGGTATTCTAAATTCGCCCCAAAGTCGTTCTAAAAATAAACTGGTCGGTGAAAACGCCGTGACACGAGTACATGAAATTTGCTTCTCCGATTTATGGGCTCCTGACTCCCTCACATGGAACGAAATGAGCACACCGTCGGCCTCACTTGTTTTTAATCAGAGGACTATTTCGACCTCTTTACCTTCTTTACTCTGAGGGTAAAAGAATGTAATAACGTTTAATTTATTCTTTCTTTGTGGGGGCACTAAGGTTGTTATTGCGTCAGTTCAGTAATTAAACGCTCATTATTTTGCTTTGTAATAAGTCATATCAATGATTCTTTTTCCTTTGAATACCTTTATATTAAAAAGCGCCCTTGTTTGAGAGTTTGAAAAAAAAGCGTGCATTGTATCTATAATCTTGGTATTTATCGTGTAAAAAAGCCCTGCCGAAACATCAACAAGTTTAGTTGCCATGATGTAATTTTTGTCATATAACCTTCTCTCGCGACGATTTTTCTAATCCACCTCATTGAAATAGGTGCTGCGTTTTGCAAATTGCTTCAATATTCGGCGCTCAAACTGAACAAAGGCTATCAAGGAGTATAGAGGATCAGTCAAAACAATGCTCTTTTGGCGAAACTTTCATTGGCCATCAAAATTTTTGGTTTTTGTTAGTTGACCGATCAGATCTGACTAAATCATTAACCTTCAATGCAAGCTGTTTTATGGAACGATAACTTCCATTTCCCGGCACGTTAGTTTTGGCACGGATCATCAACAAGGATAAAGGAAAGTATGTTAAAACAAGCACTTCCCACAAATTTAGCCCGAAACTCTAAGATCAATTTAAATAGAACTTACTCGGCGTTATTTTCCCGAAATATGAATTTAATGAGGTAACTCCTATACAAAACACCTCTCGTCTGGAAATTAAGATTAAGCAAAAAAGTTAGGGCCAAACATTTAAACGAAGTCTAACTTAAGCCGCGGTTTAACGAATCTTTGAAACTCCAGATCTCTTCTTTGGTGGGCTGTTTTAACAAGATAAATGTTTTTCTAGTCTTCTCTACATGCTTTCATAAAACTGTTCGCAGCGGCTGGCATAATGAAAACAAACAGCATTATATAATTTTTTAATAAAAATACGTAACTTTAAATTAAAATAAATCCTTCTAAATCTATAAAGTTAAATCGATTTAAGACCTCGTTAAATGAAGCGAAATCGATTTAACTATAAATATACTAAGCCTTAAATCAAAACTAAATTTAACCTAATTCAACGAAATCTTAAATCGATTTAAGCTTAATTTAACTAAATAAGTCTTAAAAGTCTCTAAGTCTTAAAACGATTTAAGCTTATATCCATTTAAGAAATAAACGACTAAGTCTTAAATCGATTTAAGCTTATATCGATTTAAGAAATAAACGACTAAGTCTTAAAACGATTTAAGCTTATATCGATTTAAGAAATAAATCGAAATAAACGACTAAGTCTTAAAACGATTTAAGCTTATATCGATTGAAGCTTAAATCGATTTAAGGACTAAGTCTTAAATCGATTTAAGCTTAAACCGATTTAAGCTTTTTAGCTTCATTTAACAAGGTCTTAAATCGATTTAACTATATAGATTTAGAACGATTTATTTAAATTTAAAGTCATGTATTTTTATTCAAAAATTATCTAATGCTGTATGTTTTCATTATGCCGCTGATAAATATTTTTACCTTGTTATATAAATTTACGTAGTTACGTATTTTTATTTATTAAATTTATATAACACCATTTGGCCAGCTGCTGATAATGATCCAACTGTTCAAAATAAATGGTGTTTACTAATAGATAAAATCGTTAGGCAAATTGAAAATGACTTAGAACGCGCTTTTGTTAAAAACTGGCTAAACTACGTTTAAATATTTGGCCCTTAGATTTTCACAGTTTGTAAGTTAAAACGAAAACCTACAAATTCAAAAAGGGTTTTCAGTCTGATTTTAAAAGTGTCGATGTTTTAACAACGTACTTCGCTTTAGTAAACTCAGTTTCATGAAATGTCTTTTTTTATGAAGGGGGATTTATTCTAGCAGGTTTGGAGTGTAATTTTAAGACGGAATCGTTAGCTCCAGTTGATCTAAATTTATCGAACTCGTCCGAAATACTCCTCAAAACATGCCAAATCTAAATGCCATAAGCTGAATTCAATTTTTTTATGAAATTGTAGGACTCGAATTCGAGCAATGACTAGGAGTGGCAAAAGGTGGCCAATTTTTGCAGAGGGCCGTTTTCATTTGACATATCGCCGGCTTCTCTTTATTAGGGCTAAGTCTTGATCATGCCTGTCGTTGAAGTATCTCGATAGCAAGAATATTTTTATTAAAATAAAAGGATTTCAGACAGGAGAAGCATTTTCCATCGCACAATACAAGAAACGTTACTTACAGGCCACTTAGCCACAATAATAATAATAATAATAATAATAATTTAATGATTTATAATGCCCTTATTACATGTAGACTTCACTGCTACTATACCAGGTATTTCTTAGTACTGAACTATTATTGTGAAGGAGAGGGAGACGTTTTGTCATCAGGCCTCAACATAAAGAATATACGGGTTCACTGCCAATGAATTTTTGCAATTCTCAACTTTCCACGTATAAAGGCTTTTTAATTTATTGCTAGGAGATTTGTATTAAGTACCGTTTTAAAATTGAGCTATCAAAATAGTCTTTGACAGCCTCCCTTCAACGGAAAATCGAAAAGAAAGATTCTACTTATTGTATTAATTGCAAATAAGGAAAGGATGTCAGTCGTGCGCTTGCTCAGTTCGGCTCTTGATAAACACACTTCAAAATCCCACGTACGAGGTTTTAACGCCGGGAAAACAGTAGAAAGTCCAGTTTTCTGCTTTAAGTGCACAGTAATTTTCAAGGAGTTAAAATAACTCCTCTAGTGGGGCTAAGTTAACTCCTTTCAGTGGAGTTATTTTTTGGGGAGTTATTTTAACTCCAAAAAGGAGTTTAAAAAACTCTTTTTCAGGAGTAAAAGTGATGCCAGATATTGAGGAGTTAAAATAACCCCAAAAAAGGAGTTATCTTGTACCTAAAATTTTTACCCTACTTTCAGAGTTAAATTAACTCCAAAAAGAGTAAAAACAACCCATGTAAGAAGTAAAAGTAACCCATTTCGGAGTTATTTTAACTCCAGACTGGGAGTAAAAAGAACTCTTTTTCAGGAATAAAAATGACCCCAAATTGGGAGTTAAATTAGGAGTTAAAATAACCCTCAAAAAGGGGTTATCCTGTACCTAATATTTTTACTCTTTTTTTGGAGTTATAATAACTCCCTAAAAATTACGGTGTGTACATGAAAAAATCACCAGAAGTGTGATCTTAAAATTTTCCTGAGAAAACAGGCGACATTTGGCGACGCCACCACTGGTTTCCACGTGAAATGACTTCTGAGAAACAAGTACAGAAATTCCATACGCGTCACTTCACAGATCTGGATAGTAGATATCGGAAGAGAAGTCATATGGTGCCTAACCCTGACCCCAAACAATACTGAAACAATTGAAAGAATGACATTTATCAGAACAATAAGTAGTATTTACAATTTTAAACTATTATCGTATTGTTTACAAATTAACAACTAAATATATGTCCACGATAGAAAACTATTTACAGTTATGAATAATTTAAAAGTGGGAAAAGGAAAATTAAGCATTACTAAGAAAAAAAATAAACTATCGAAAATCTAGGCCTAAAATTAAGAGACCAGCTACAGCGAAAGTGAAGTCTTCTGAGACCTCACGTGATTTGAATGGATATCTAGAACCTCTGACGCATCTGTGTACAGTTATTATATGTTTTTTGCGACCAATCAGGAGAGACCTTACGAGCAGCTTCTACACAACTGTAGTAGAGACAACTAACTCTAAGACAGACACCTTTGGGAAGACACCAAGTGTCCGGCTTGGAGAGATGTCCATCCTATAGACAGTCAAATAAAAGGAGCAAAGAAAGGTAGCCGGGACCAACTTTAGCTGTTCGTTTTACTGAGGAGTCAGAGAGTCGACTGTATTTCTGACTTGTTGAAGTAAATTTTTAGCCAATCAGACGCACTACTCGATCAGATCTGAGTAGTGACGCGTTATCAGTATGGAATTTCTGCGCTCGTTTCTCATACGTCTTTTAGCTTCTTTTCGAGAGGAAACCATTTCGGCTGTTTTCTCAGGCTAACTTTTCTACTTCTTTTTCAGGTTTCTGGCTCCGACACAACATGCATTCTTCTCGGCTAGGAAAATCATCAAAATGGTACAACGAGAAACGATTCAAAAAAGCAATGGCTCTCAACAGGAAAGAAGAAAGTCTCCTGCAACAGAAACTGGAGCAGATTCAGCGCGAGGAAAGCTTTCTGCAACGAGAATACGAAAGCAAAATAGTGAAAACGGCTCAAGCTTTGAACGCACGCGAAACTGATGGTCGGAAAATCTCAAGCACAACCGCAAGAGGAAGATGCGAACTCAGCTTCAGAGGAAAGAGCTCCTCGCCACTATTTATGAAATTACCCAATCCTGAAATATTGAAGAGAAGAAGGCACACTGTTGCGGGCCTTACATCTATAATCAACAAGGCAAGCGAAGGTGAAAAGAAGAGTTACTTTAGTAAAGCCAGTGATAGCGATGTTTTGTCTGCAATTGACAACAGCTTTAAGTTTATGTCGATCGCTTGTGAAAGCAAACCAAGACTCACTGCAAGTCCTAAAGCTGTGAAACTGCCAGAGATCAGTCTCCACTCTGCGAATGCTCCTTATGGGTCTCACATTAGTAAAGTTTGCAGTAAGACAGCTTTAAAGCGCAGGCGACACAGTGACGTCACCTCGTTACGTCACAGGTTTAAAAGGCTAGGCAGTGAAGATCGACACTCCAGCCTGGGTAACATTCTCGAGAATTCAAAATAGACTTGAAAACACGATGCATTCATTGCTGAAGAGCAGTTTAAGCTAAATAACCGTCGTGTAATGTAAACGTTTTTCCATCTTCAGGAAAAGTTAAAACTTGTATTATTTTCATCATTGTTTTGTTCCTTTATATAATTTTGCAGTACCGTGTTGTCAAATTTGCCTCAGTGAAGAACGGGAGATTTAGAGCTTCAGATAACATCAGTTACATTGTCGAGCCTTAAGGAAGCTCCCTGAGATAAAAAATGCAAACATAGGCTAACAACATGAGAGTGATTTGTGAGTGCTCCATCTGCCAGAACACAAAAACACAATTGTTTTTAGCCGTCGCATTTGCCCTTTAGATTATCTTTGAATCAGTTTTAAGCATCATTTCTATGATGGCATTCTAAAGTAACAATCTTAAGTATATAGTCTTGGAATACAATTTTCGGGTCCCTTTTCTGCAACATTAAATTCATAGATGGCTATTTAGTTGCTAATGCAACGTGTGTAATCAGGAAATGGTTGTCTGGTGGTTAAATTAAAATTAAAAACCAAACCTGATACAAAAACGGGATCTGTTTTTAATACCACTTCCTTTTTCAGACCACTTTTTCCCGGCTCCACAGAAGCCGGTTGACAAAAAGTAAACCGCGCCGATATCCTGACTGCATTATGATAAGTAATTGGCAATTTTTCCAAGTTTCCGCTTGAGAGGTCAAATAATCATGATATCGATTTCAGCACTGACCACTAACTCCGCGGTATACGGCCAGTGCCTTACGCATGCGCACAGCCATATCACCCGGGCAGTGACAGCCATGGACAGCTTGATGCCGCGTCCGTCCCCGCTGCTGGCCACTTCACTACGGGCGCAAACCCACCGTTCTCCACCGTTACACGGAAATCGGTCAGATTTATCAAAACAAATTATGAATTTTTTTAACAAAAGTAAATTCCTAAGTCTCAAAAACTTGGCCTTGACGATTGTTGTTTTTCAAATTTTCTTGCGGAGCACAATGTTACAGAAGAGATTAACACTGAGCCGCCTTTCTACACATGCACTACGATGATGTGGAAATTGACTTTGATGACATAATCAACCGATGCGCAAGGCTTCATCTCCAAGGAGAATGGAACTTGAGAGTATTCTCAGGCTTTGTCACTAACTCAGAGACCCAATTAAGCCAGTAAAGGGGACTTTAGAAAGTTCATTCCAAGAAAATTCCCAACCCCGTTCGGCGCTCGCTGTTGACGTAAAAAGGCCACTTTTTTCTACATCCGCCCCTGCTCGGGGTATATACCATGCGAAGGTTTTCATAAACTGTATATTGAATTAACAAATGGTTCCAAATTAAACCTTTAAAATGCACTTGATTTTATTTTATTGGTTAACCACAAGTGATTCATGAATGGGAGAGATGTTGAAATATCATTTTTTATCTTTGTTTTTATCAAAGGGGAATAATTTCCTTGATGCCAGGGCAAAGGGTAAAATGTCGACTGGACCCATGGAGCCCATGAGTCCATACTATACCCTCTGAAGCTAGCGATTGACAAAGATGTTGGTAACAGATAACAGATTATAATACTATACTGATAACTGCGTTCAATTTATGATCTCACAAATAATAATTCCTAGGAGTCTAGCTAAAAGGAAACACTCTTTTCGCAACTGGCCAATTTTTGCCTGATGAAGATGGACTTATATTTGCAGATTTGCGAAGGATGCTAAATTTGCATCCCTGGAAACGATGAAGTTTTTAACCCGACTCAAAAGTTTTTCCTTGCGTCGAGAAAGTAAGGTTCACGTTCGAAACATCGAAAAAGGGAATATTTACGTTTCTAAACTTATCAGAAACGTTTTCGAGTTTAGCAAACAAAAACGGCTCCTACAAACACAAAATCAAATCGTTACAGATTAGTACTGTTTTGGAACCTGAATGATCAGTCCGATCTTTCCAATTTATACTGGTCCGATTTTTCCAATTCATATTGGTCGCATTGTGAAAAAAACTATAGAGAGATTAGTTTGTGATGTTCGTTCACAGATACCAAGCATACACATCAGCGCATGTCTGGCCTTCATTGTTGTCCTCGTTGAAATTTTCCAGGTCCTCTCCATACCACAGCTGTAATTCTTGGTTTTCTTGAAGGAACTCTGGATTGGCGAAATCGTGAAACACCAGAAAGTCCGAATCGGGCTCAAACCCAGGGAGTGCGTACCACGTGTTCATAGACTTGATGCGAATAAATTTCTCGCGTGGAAACAGGACGCGTTTGGACTGTGTAGTAATGAAGGTTCCAAGAGGCGTTGAACCGACGTAGGAATGATTTGTGGAGCAGCCCCATTTGCTGGAGTATGAATCGTGTCCATGGCATTTGTCTTTCTCGCACGTCACACTGCCGCTACGGTGAACGAGCTTGAAAGCAGCTACAAAACCTTCCTTGCTGATTGTAAAGCGGCCAGGCCGGTCTCCACTGACGCGGAAACACACAGGGTTTTCACCGTTAACTTTCTGCCATTGCGGATTTGATTTAGCTAGAAAATAAAATAAAATTTGGCAAATAAAAATTAAAATTTAGAAAAAGAAATAAAATTTAGCTAGAAAATAAAAAGAAGAAAAAAAAAGCGAAAATGTTTTAAGTCTCAAATGTTGTTTTGGGGGAAAAAAAGAATGAAAAACAAATAAGTACTGAAAATACGATTAAACAGAAACACTATAAATTGTCTGTTTGTTTTTATGAGTGTTTTCCCAAGGTTTGTTAAATCATGCAAAATAAACATGACGGAGTTTGAGGAACGTTGTTTAATAGCCGGGGTTCTCCCATTGGCTTACGAGCACCTTCTTTTTACGTTAATGTCTCAGTGCTACCTAGGGACACGTTGCATTTTTTGTATCATCCAGGTAACATTTATTTATTTTATTATATTGTAGTAGTTAATGAATTTTTAATGACTATAAATAACTGGGAAAACGTTTCAGGAATTAAGTAGTATGTTAAACAAACACAAAGGCTAAAGTTCAAAATTACATTCATATTTTGAGCGATTTGAATCAAGAAAATTTCAGTCTATTTTTACAGCAGAGCCAGCTATTTACGGCATGCAAGACTAAGCGCAGCTCAAACACTACGAGGGAGGAACCCGTTTTAAATTTTTGTTTACTGCAGTACTGTTGTAGCCTTAATTAGTGCTGGTTTTTCCCATGTATCCTTTGTTATTGCTCAGAGTCTACATTACACCGTCCGGAGAAGAGTGCAGTTTTGGAAAATCGTATTTTACGTCTACCCCACCCTTCCCTAAGATTTCGAAAAGTCCATCTGTGAAGTACAGTCAAATCTCGACTGTAGATCGACTAGTCAAATCTCTTTAAGACGGACGGACACCTTTTGGAACGGCAAGAAGTGTCCGTAATCAGGACCGTAATAAAGAGAGTAAAGAAAGGCAGGGACCAGCTATAAGTGTCCGTTTTACAGAAGCCGGTCGGAGAGAGTCGACTGAAATGCGAAACAAGTAGCATCCTGCGAAAATACTGTATTCAGTCTCAAAAGTTACAAGAACGTGATATGTGTCTCTCTAATTATCAATAAGCTGACAAGGGGAGAAAGAGGTTTTAGGAGTGACTACGGCACGTACATTCTACATTTCTCTGTTATCTTTCGCCAAAAAAGAAAAAACAATGTAAACTTAGATAGAATAAAGGTTCCCTTGGGGAACGTCCAGAGGAAGATCGATTTTCCTTTACTGTAATTTCTCGTTTTGAAGGAAAAGCTTCCGAAAGGATTTTAGTTGGACATTGGACGACTACTAATCGCGTTTAACTCAAATAAAACCAAAAGGAACATTTTCAAATTAAGTTAATCAACAATATGAATTGCTATTTTTTTCCAGTGCCGTCTCCTTGGTTTCGTCATTCCAACATGCTTAAATCCCTAATGCACTGCACTTATTCAGTAAAAAAAAAAAATGCAAAGGACGGTCTTTGTGCACATGTCACACGGCCTTAGTTTCATATGAGAAGGCAAACCTTATGTCTGTAAAGAACTTACTTGATTTCTTTGGACACATCGTCTGCATTCCTTGTCTCAGGGAGCCCGCCTCTTGCTGGAGCAATGTTTGAATCTGCTTTGCTTGTTCTTTAGAGAATTTATTGCACGAGCAACAGCCTTTATGTGCTGCCTCAAAAGACGAGTGAAACAGTGCAGCAAATGTGCACATCGCAATAAGCAAACTCTTCATGACGATGCTGAGGGTTCGAGAGTTTCGACAGTGTTTTATAAATGAGACGATTCTGTCCTGTAGCTGTCGACGAGGCAGGTATCGGTTAACTGAAAAGATGGAAGTAATTGTGTGCTTTTAAAACCCGATTTTCACCTGTAGCTGTGAAAACGTTTTCAACAGCTATTGACACCTCACGCAGTCTTTGAAATTGGATCAAAACGGATTTGTCTGACAAACGGATTAAAACTAACGGAGCAATTAACAGGCGGCGATGTTACAGGAATATCCGGATCACGTCCAGAAAATAGCACCAAGAGTAAAAACAGTGAACGATATTCAGTGTAACGAAAGATGAATTATAGAGTACAAACTGTTACTCCCCTTTTCTCGTTTAGAAACATTACCTTCCAATCGCCTGTCTTATCACGACCACACCCTGTCACACATCTATGAACTCGCGAAACACTGCATTTGCCATGGTCAAGCTTTACACGCAAAACTATTTGTATTATCAAATTATCCCTTAACAATTTCGGCTTCAGAGAGCAATTAGGATCTCGGAATTTGAAAGCGACAACGTGTTATTCTATCCGTTTTACTGTTTAGATGCACTTAATTTGAACGGATGCTGAATGCTTGTTCCAACTACTTATAATTATGTATAACAAGCTTACCTGTCCACGGAACCTGAGGCAGTTATTTTGAGTTTCTATACGGACCAGTTAGTTAAAACCTATCGACACTGCGAGAATGAGTGCCTTATTAAATTAATGAAGTGGCGTCCAAAGCCGCGAAAATATGGCTTCGCCACTGAGTCCGAAATTTTACAGACGTTTGTATAGTGGGGCACCAAACTTGGCCCCCACTGTAAAATTTTGTGACTTTTTGATTCAATAGTTTTCATCAAATCACTTTCAAACTTGGAAACCTTTTTTTCAAAAAAGATTTTAAGGCGTTCTTTCCTGTGGTGTCGACGGGTTTTTGCTAACTGGTCCAAGTCAATAGTTGAAAAAAGCGTGCAAGAATGTATTCTTATAAGGTCGATTGGCTAGCATCGGATGCCAGATTCTTTGTTATTATTATTATTTTTTTTTTTGCTCAAAGCTGAGCGAAGGCAAAAGGTCATTTTTTTACTTTTTAATTATACGCGGAACTTGTTTTAACATTTCCTGAACTCGAATGTCACAAAGTGCTTGAAATTCATGGCTCACTTTCCGCAAAAGGTCATTCCAGGCATTTTTGCTTTGACAAAGACTGAATGGTCAATGCTCAGGTGGTGTTTTACTTATAATTCGAGCTAAATACCCGTCTTTAAGGTTAGGTTTTAGGAAAACTTTTAAACGCACTATTTGTGTTAGACTCTAACTTCTTGGAGAGTCTTCTTTTAAAATTTTTATCAAAATCCATTTTTGGCTGTAAAAATGTTCGTGTTTATGGGAAGAGCAGAGAGTTTTCTAGAGGCGTTTTGGTGAAGCGACGACAGGATATTTTACGTAAATTACCATGATTGCGTTTAAAAGCTCAGCTGGAGGAAACATAGCGGGAGACACTTTCCTTTCCTTGCCAGACGGGTAGAAAATGGATGGATTCAACAGAATGCACGCAAGAGAAGAGAGAACGGGGCGTTTATATGCTAAAGCTAAACGCCTCAGTGATGCGGCATATCTTTATTGTACCAAGGGGGTTTTAATTTAGGATCCAGATTTAAAATTTTTTCAAAGCAACTCGTAAACCATGTGAAAAAGTTGCGTAACTAACGAGATTTAGGTGACAATTCGTTAGACATGCCCATACACCCCGCGGGAATGCAACTCGTGGCATATACTAAGCAGAAATCCCTATACCCTGTTACAGAAATCAGAGCTTTAGTGTTAGTTAAACAACCCATCACTTTAAATGATGCCTTTTTTTTTTTAGCTCTTAGCTCTCTGTTTTTTCGAGACAGTATTTAAGACACAAGCTTGTTAAAAACCGCTTCCTTTAGAGATCAACGCATGCGCAAGCATTGTAACTCACCCCAATCATACAAACCTGGAAAAATACTTCTGACAGAAAAAAATGCGACTTTCGCGGCCTAGTTAATGAACGCATTTCAGTCAAAGCTCTTCAATTCGGATAGATGCGCGGCAGTACGGACTAGCTAGTTGGACTTCATTTTTGGGACCTTTTCATGGAGATGAAATGCCCGTTGATAGCGAGGTTTTCGGGTTTTCGTAGTGTAGTCGGCCGTGTTTAGTGAACGTTTTTAATTCGAATTCTGACAGCTTTGCTTGTTGTCATGTAACGAACCTGTATGAACAACGCGAAAACTAGCTTGAACGGCTTTGTGGGTTGATCTGTAGAACGAGTGCCTAACTTTCTTGTATGGTCAATGTGGTACACTACTTAAATAATTGCCACAGTTGAGTTTGAATTTAAATTGTTCCGAAATGGTAAATAATTAGCAGTTGAAGTCAGTAGTTCGCTTTAATTATATAGCTCCAGGCATCCACCAGGCAAACACTATTTTCACTGATCTTTTCTTTATATTTCCTAATCACTTTTTACTAATTTGTAACAGAGGCGAGATGATTAAAAAAAATTAACAGATCATAAGAAAAGATAGAAGTCTTATCCGGCTCGAAAATCAACAATCGTGAAAGGATGAAAAACTCTGCCTGATCACGCAATTCTGCTGAAACTTCAGCATTTTTTACAAAAGGTTCTCGACGACAGTTATCGATAGCTCTCACTTGAAGGATTATTATTCAGGAAGTCGTAATTAGTTACTACAATTTACGACTTTATTTCATGACTGGGGTTAACTAAGTCGGTGGCCATAAAGTCATAAAGAAATTCAAGCAGCTTATAGCTTAACTTGATAGTAGATTCAGGTCAGAGGCGTGCAGTCAGAGGCTCTCATAGCTGCGCGTCACGACTATTTTATTTCAGGACTTTGTTGGGTCAGAGCTGGTGAGCGGGGTCCATAATAGGTTCACGAAATGGACTGGATCAGTTTTGTGAAAGAATCTCTTCAAACCAACCATCCATTTCAGTTTTCTCCCGAAGATAGAGTTTTTATACCATCAGTGAACGTGGTTACCACGTGGCCAGCACGACGTAAATCAGCGTTATTTTTGCCTTCTCTCCTAACCAGCAACAAGCTTGTGAAAATTCGCACTCATCCAAAAGGGATAATCTCCTTAGACAGCAAAACGTCACTAATGCTTTAATGACAACAACAAAACGTGCAAAGAAACGAGACTAACTTTTCAGATTGAACGAAATAGTTCAATTCATTGCTTTGAAAACATCAAATCCTTTTACGATAACTTTAATATCCGTTATCATCCTTAAAACTATGCATTTAGGCGTAACAAAGCATTTTGTGTTAAAAACTTGATACACAGCGGGATTTTGGCACGGGGGTATGTTACATAACAGCCTTTCAACAAGTACTGAAGGAACCCTGTTATATTGCATAACAACTACGTTTTTGGGGCACCAAGAATATTGTATATTCATAAGAAAATACCACAATAAATTCTGGACCACAACCCTGGAAAACATTGTTTAACGCCTTACAAAAGAAAATCGGAGAGGCGAGTTTGTTCAGCTGTGTAGTTTCGTCACATGTTCCCTTATCCGAAAAAAAAGGGCTGCTTGATCTCATGCTTTCTAGGATACAGTTTAACTTTGCACCCGGGGCGGGGGTTGGGGGAGGAGGTACTCAATATAATGGCCTTTATGGGGAGTGGAGAGGCTCCGCCCTAGAGGGGCTTCTTCCTCAGGGTGTACGGAAGAGTAGTGGTTTTCATTAGTTGAAGTATATGAAAGGGTAGGGAAATCTATCAATGCGGTCTGTAACAAGGACAAAAAGGACTAACAGAAGCATTTTATGGCTAAAACTAGAGTGGAGAAAATGGTTCTGGTTTACTTATATTTATTCATATTTAAAAGACCGAGCATTTACCGCAGTTAAAGAGGTGCAGCGTTTTAAACTAGCATGTGAAAGGGGTACACTGAAAAATAAAAAGATCTGTTTCAGCCCCAAAGTGCCAATTCAGCCCTCCAGGGCAAAGTCTGATTCAGTCCCTTCTGGAGCCATTTGAGTACAAATCAAAAGGCCATTCCAGCCCACGCTGGGGCCCATTTCAGCTCTTAAGTCCAAATCAGCCTCGTGTAATTGGGCTGAATTGGCCCTGATTTAAGGAAGCCAAATTAGACTAAAAAATAGGACTGTATTTTACTCACGGAAACGGTCCCTTTTTTGGGGGATTAAACAGATCTTTATGATCTACAGTGTACCATTTGTCAATAAAAGTTATACGAAAAGGGTATCTTTTCTTTCAAAAATAGTATATAAAAGGGTAAGGGATTGGACCATGGGGCGGAGCCTTCCCGTATAAAACTTTGTAGGGCACCCTCCTGGGCTTTGTCCATCTGCTTTTAGTGAACCAAGTTCACTAAGTTCAGTCAGAGTTTTCTCCTAACAAAATATTTCAGAAATTCAGATGCACTCAGACGAAAAGGAAAGTTAAGATGGTGTGTATTCTTTTTGTGAAACAGAAGAAAGTTGCGAGTTTTTCATCTTTTAGTTCTGTCGCTTTATCTTAAGAATAATTAAGTCTATTTACTTAATATCATTAAAATGTTTATGTTGTCCCGCCTGTAAACGCTTCAGCAATGATTATCCTATCTTCTTCGTCATTTTTTTGTTTGGAGACTATAATTATACGGTTCCGATTTTAGCTCAGAAATTAAATCGGACCCCCTGACTTATAAACTGTCTGTCAGATTAATGACCTTGAGTGGTTTGGTTCATGGACTGTTTTTTTAGATTGAAAACTTAAGTCCTCAAGACTGAATTTATAGCATTCCACTTGTCGGAGGTACGACGTCGACTTCGTAAAAGCTGAGTTCTCGAGTAGAATTTGTAGTATTGATTTCTGGCAACATGAACATACGGTTGTTGACCATTTTCTTTGTGGTTCTTTGCGTCGCGTTTCCTTGCAGCAAAGCTAGCCCTGATGACACATGCCCTTTGATAAAGCCAAAATTTATGGAAGGTTTTGGCAAAGTCATGGTTGAGCAACGAAATGTATTTTTAAGAGAGTCCAAGAAGCTCTGCGAAGGTAGGATCAATAACTAAATATGTATCAAACTTTTCTTTTCGGACACTTCTGTGATACGGACACCTCTCTTAGTAGTTCTTTCGTTCCCAGATATATTAAGCCTCTCTATGGGTTCCTGTGGACATCGTCTTCGTCACGCGTTTTCCCATCAAATCGTCGGTTTTTTAACGCGAAATCCTCGCATATCAAGTGTGAGGTAATGCTTCTAGCGAGCCCGAGCTAGCACGACGTTGACTAAGGAAACGAGAAAATAAAACAGGCAACAGCTTTAATAAGCAAAACAAAAACTCCGAATGTGCACCACAGTTTTTGGAAGATTTCTTTTCCTTCATCGAATAAATGACGTTGTTCATTTTGATCAGAATAGCAATGCGATTGTCCATTTTATCGTCATCAATAGCGGTCCTTGCGACTTACTCTCAGAGATTCTAAACTTCATCCAATCCCTTCCTGTATATTATAGACTCGGTACAGACACCTCTGCGTGTAATGCTAACACTTGGCACTGTACCTTTGTTATTCCTTTCCTTCACTAGTTTTACTTTAAACTTCAACGCTGCAATCTTTTGCCCGTAAGCGAACTCTCCATTTGAAGGAGTCGTGACTTGCGAGAAGTCACTCGAGAACCGCACCCGAAAGGAGACGCGAGTCATAATATGGAGAGCTTGCTCGTAGGCTATGTGATCTTTAATCACGATATATGTCGTAGTTGTAGTGCTGGTCTTTGTTATCACAGTCATATGAGCATACCCTTTTAAATAGACTTTAAAAGAGGTGTATGTTTTAAGATTTTTTTATTTACTTTTATCTTATCAAAAAGCATACCACCAACCGTTTGCGGTCTTATGGGCCCGCCGCCTGACAACATTATTCTCAGGGGCACCCAACGAGAATATAGTTCAAAACCACTTAAACATAGCATTGTTGAACGTATTTTAGTATTTAATTATAAACAGTAGGTATAGGCATATTTTTATCCCCTAAACATTTTTCATCTGTTCGGATTTCTTAGCTGAAAGTCTAGTGATCCGAAAATTATAGGGATCAAAATTTACCTTTTCGAAAATTTAAGCCGGAGAAAAGGCTCCCGAAAATTCTAGGTGACCTTTTAAGGGTAAAAATCCGTTAAAAATGGGTAATTATACCATTTTTTAGATGTTCGAAAATCCTAGAAGAGGCAGACAAGCAAGAAATTTTACAACAAATGCTCCGAAAATTCTAGATCTCTAATCGTCTTCCGAACAGATATTTTCCAAAAATTGACGTTGGGCGTCCCTGTATTCTGGTATCTTCTATCATGATTTGCAAAAAGCGCTGGCCTTAGCCGACTTGTTTCTCTTAACCTAGCCCTCTAAGGCCCTGTACACTCAATGCCTTTTGCAAAGTATGCGTTTTTGTTGCCGATCGAAAACCCTTTGATAGGTTCGTGTCCACATTACTCTTTTGATGCGTTTTCGACTTTCCACACTAAAACGTTTGAAAACGAAAGAATTGCACGTTGCGACGTAAGTTGAACTCTAGGTAAGCACACGCTACAAACACATGCGCTTGGGATGTTTTTGTTTTGATGCGTTTTCGACCATTTTTGACCGTCCGCACTAATCACGATATGTATGCGTTCTTGTTTTGATCCACTTTCAAGAGCGTTTTCAGATCGATGCCTTTTTGACGAAAACACTCCGCGTATAAGTGTGGACGAAAGGCCTAAACGCATAAAATGCATGCGTTTTCAAACGAAAACGCGTTAGTGTGGAAGGGACCTCGTTATTCTTCAGCACAGTATAACAGGAGATTACTAAACCTGTTCTATTGCATGGGGTCAATAAGTGATTTAGGTGGGTCTGGTATTGACTGGGTATTTATAGTTTGCATTTCATGAGTCAATATTTGCCCTGTATGAGTTCAAAAGAGCTCGAGTCGGGATCGGTTACAACTGCCTTTTCAGGCGAAAACATGAACGGGTCCTGAACACCATTGGCAGTATTGGAGAACTTAGGTCCCTATATACCTTTTTTAGGGACAATGGAATACCTATCAGAGCAGTCGGCTAGTTACGCAAAGATAAAGCTAGCAATTATTTTAGGCTTACTCAAAGATTACAATAACGCCAGCATATTTTTAGATTTAATTCAATTCTTTGTAAAGTAAGATAAATTCCTTTTCATCTCTGTAGATGATAGATGGCTCAACTTGACTCAAGAGGTCGTTTGCTTTGGGGTGCGTGATAGCAAGTTTGCTTCAGTTGTGATACCTTTGGAAGGATTTCTTACCTCACTCAAGCTGATTCACGTGACTGGCCACGTGTCATGCGACTCAAATGCCCCTCAACATGACCGGAAATGGGGCTGTTCTCGAAGCCATCCCAAACTAGGCAGAACCCCCTTCAATATTGTCGTTACAGCCGGCAAACACAATGGAATCCTTTTTCCAATAGACCTTTTTAAGAAAGATTTGAAAAAAGAATCTCTGTGGTACGACATACCGGATGTGGACCCTGACGCGCTGGAAATAGTCCTTGGGGATTTGTCATATCCTTACTACGTCACTTCCGGACAAGAGCTTCGAATCTGGCTAGGAAAGGACTACCAGAATGTTGGCAAGGTAGAAGTCGAAGGGAAAGTTTGCTTCGCTGTCAAGGGATGGTTCATTTAGTAGGTCGCGATTTCTTAAACATAAGTAGCTGCAGTGTAAATTAGTTGAGACATTTTAGCATCGTCCGTGTAGGACTCTTTGAGTAACGTTCAATTTGGATTAAAGTAATATTTTACATATCATCATCATTATCATCATCATCATCATTGTTGATATTATTTTTAAGAAAGTAATGCCAGCAAGCAAATTTGAATAACGGTCTCAATTGAAAACCTGTGAGACCCCTGCAGTGACTAACTGGCTGCCATGTCTACTTATCAAATGAAGATACTAAAGTTCCAGGTTGTTATTGTTACGAAAACAAACATATGACTGCTTGCAGACCAGAGTTTCAATAACCACTCAGATTTAAATATATAACTTTTAAATTTGTAGAAATGTCAGTTTACAGTAATGTTGTAGTATAACAAAAAAAAAACGGCGGAAATAAACAAAAAAATACAAGCTTCTTCCCTTTCAAATGTTTACTATATATGTAGTGTTTACCACCATATCGACAGAAAGTGGATACTGTCAGTTTAAGAACTCCGAGCATTTTGATTCTCTGACTGGCTGAAACATTTTTGCTATAGACTTTCTTCCTTAGAGTGCACAATTTTGTTTCTTACTTTAGTTAAATAATGGCTTCAGTGTTTACGCAAAACTTGTTAAGACTGTATACGGAATAAATTAAGTGGGTCATGCATAGTGTTGTCAGCTCTTTTATTTTTCCCTCAAGTTTGTTCCCAGAGGTTGCGATCCTTTTAGGGCCTGTTTACATGAAGGTGGGGGACCCAAAATAGGTGAGGTAACCTGCTTAGGTGGGGTAAAAAAAAAAAACCCGCCTTTAAATGCAATCTTACAACCCCGCCATCCTGGGGTGCACTTCCGCAAAATTATTGAATGGTCGCTAAGCACGTAAACAAGAAAAATAGTGGCTAACCACGTTTTTTGGCGATTAATGCTCTTCTAAACTCACTTCCTGCTCTTGCTGCAACTTTCAGTGCTGTGGCTTTCTATCGTTACCTTTAATAATGATGCAAAGCTACCGCCAAAGTGACACAAATTCAGTATCACGAATCCGACCCCGGCTAGACGGGTTACCACACCTTGAAAGGTTTACATGGCAAAATTTGACCCCGGCTGGGAGGGTTAACCGGTCTTGCAGACCGGGCTACCTGCCTTGGCGGATCACCCTACCTATCATGTAAACGTGATCAAATTAAAATGAGTGATTATACAGACAGGCGTGTAACCCCATCTTAGCGGGTTACCTCACCTACCTAGGGTCCCCCATCTCCATGTAAACAGGCCCTTAGTCGGAACAAGGCTAAAAAAGGTGTGCTGCACGTGCAAAGTTGTTTTTCTTTTGCTAATTAGACCTATTGATTTTTTTGCCTTTCTAGTTGCCTTAGCCTTTAGCATTGTATGATCTTATTTTTTGTTCACATAATAGTAACTTTTAGACCTGGGTAAAACTACATATTAACTTCAGATTCTGTGGATGAAATCCTATGGTGTGACCATTCAAATGAAACCTCTTCAGCAGTACTTTCACATGATGCTATTTATTTAGTGTGTAGTTCTAACTGTTGCGTTGTGGATGAAATCCATAGGTGTGACCATTCAAATGAAACCTCTTCAGCAGTACTTTCACATGATGCTATTTATTTAGCATGTAGTTCTAACTTTTGCGTTGTGGATGAAATCCATAGGTGTGACCATTCAAATGAAATCTCTTCAGCAGTACTTTCACATGCTGCTATTTACTTAGTATGGGGTTCTTCGAGGTCTATGGATGAAATCCTACGGTTTGACCATACACATAAAACCTCTTCGGTAGTGAGTTTACATTTTAAGGTTTTATCTGGTATTTGAAACTGAATTTGGAATCTTACTAAAAATTCTAGTTTAGGTTGGTTTGGGGAGTGTCATCGCTCTTAAGGTATGAATCAACATACTTTTTTCTCAGTTGCGTAGAAGCTGCTCGTAAGGTCTCTCCTGATTGGTCGCAGAAAACAATGACACGTCATTCTTTCAATTGTTTCAGCATTGTTTGGGGTCACGGTTTGGCACCATTGGTGACTTCTCTTCTGAGCAGCTGCTACATGACAGGTCTGCAGATGTGTTTCATATTCAAATTGTGTGTACTTGTTACGGCCCCTGAAATAACGAGTAAACTCAAACTTGTTTTGGCCTCATCTGTTTTCGTTTTGTTCGTTCTTCTATTTATCAGCATCTTTGTCTTGGATGCGGCAACTGAACTCTTTGTTTCCAACAGTCATGCCATCAAATGATCTAAAATTTTAGGTAGATATTTACTTGGGTCGAAAAAAGATAAAATATTGGGGCGACATTTATTTGGGTCGAAAAAAGATAAAATATTACAACTCTCGGAAGACCTCACGGGATTGGCTGGGAAAACAATGAACAAAAATATCTAACAATGGAACCTATTAACCCGAAAACGAAAGAGCTACAACATATTGGGGTCCAGTCGAAATTAGAGGTTCTGAAGAGCTGTTAAGGCTACAGGGGTCGAAAATAGACGACGAGTTGGTTCGGAGAGGTATTTTTTTCCGAAAAAAAAGAACGTTTCATGGATGTCGGCTCCCCTACTGACAGGCATACTATTTTTTAAGGAAAAATATAACTTGCTCAGATCACAGTTTATTTAAAGAAGACAAGACCGAGCTTATCGGAAGCTTAAAAAAAGGAGATAAAGTGTATGTAGTAGACACGTACAAGTACGATAGTATCAACATCAAACGACGTATAAACTGTGAGGGTACCAATAATAATTTTAAATTACACGAAAGGTTTGACTCCATCCGACTTTTCGACATTTTAGACAAACATTCCTATCACCTCTATTTTTGTTTTTTCATCAGTAATTTAATCACTCCCTTTTGAACTGACATCTGCAACGATAAATTTTAATTAACCTGTTCTATGGTAATACACAAAAAAATATCCAGGAGATTATTGCTTTCCGGTTCCAGGGACTTTCTCTTTTTTTAATTACAGTAATTGTTTAGCGATAAGAGGGTCTTCCTTTTCCTGTTTTTCTTGGCATCGAGATCAAGAGTCAGTCAAGAAGACTTAAGTTAATTTTGTTCTACTGGAAAGCTAAATAATTCACGACATCTTGCGCAAAGTTACTTCTTCGGAGTTATTATTATCATTGAAAATTATATTTAAAATGGCCAGTGAGAACGGATTCCAGTCGAGAAAGAAACGTCCCAGGTTCTTTCTCTGTGGAATATGTAACGTTGTCTCAATAGATGAAAGTAGGGCCAATGAAAGAGACACCAACGAAAACACTGCTCAGAGAGATGAAGAAAAGCGTCTGAGTTCTACAATGGCTGGTAACAAGGATACTGAACGTTCACTACATACAGATACATCGGAGTCTTCGCTGAATACGAAACATTCCATCTCAAGAGACGTTGAAGATACAGGATTAAAAGCACTGGCTCAGACTCAGAGTTCGTCACAAATGATGGTGTCTCGTTACGGCGAAGAGGTGGAAACATTTCGAAGAGCACAAGGAAAAATATGCTGGAACGAGTGTCTGAAAAAGCTGGAAAATTTTGACAGCAACAAGGACGGAAAAATAATTGATAACGACAGCAGTGATAGGGGTTTTATCTTGTCAAAATCTTCACAGAAAGTCTCAGAACAAGAAAAAATCAACTGCAAAGAGACTTCATCGAAAGGAGACATGGCTAGCGGTCCTTCGGAAGCACCGGTTGATGGACTAGTAAATGAAAAAGACAATGGAAGGCAGAAACGGGATTCTTCTCCAAAAGATTTAAAGACCTTCGTCCCAGTAAGTGGTCACAACTTGGAGTTATTTGAGTCTACTGAAGCCAACTTTGCACCTGATAATGAGAATTCAACAAGGGGAAGTCATAAAAAGACGAACGTGCCAGAAATTCAAATAAACGGCACTGAATCCAAACATGCCTGGCATGAAGAAGAAAAGCCCTTACCAGGGAGCCGCTGGAAACGTATCGTTGCTCTCAGAACAAACTCAGGCCGTGGGAAAAAAATGCAACGAGATTCTGCTACAATCAACGAGGAGTACGAACTCATAGTCTCCACTTTGAAAGAGTACGGTGTGTGGTAATAGAAGTATCAAACCGGCTCTAGTCTGCATGTAGGAAATCCCTTTGAATAAAACGTGTTTAATTTGACAAGAGCTAAAGGACTAATTACAATGCTATATTTTGTGATGTCTGTACAAATAACTTAGATATCAATTCTGTATAAAAATAACCATTGCGGCACGAAGAAAATTTTCAGATTATCAGGCACGGAGAGGGTAAAAATACATAGTTAATTAAGCCAACTGGTTGGCATCTATTCTGTAGGTATGATCTATAAGTACATGGATATTTTTGCCCTTTAAGTCAATGTTTGAGTCCAAAGATTGTCTGTCGCAACTGAAAATTTTTAATTGAAAGCCTTTGAGCAGAAGCGCTAAATTGCGCTTTTTGCTGCTGAATGCTTTACGAAATAAACATTTGACTTTGAAAAAGAAATTAAATTTGTAGGCTGTGCGGGGAAGTAAATCACTTTTTCTTTCCCTTGGAAGGTGTCTTTCTTCCTCCCTTGGCTGTAGAAGCACTCTTTCGGCTTTTGCTCGGTGATGGTGATCTTTCTCTTTCCTTAGCTGCCTCTGCCGCTTGTGCTTCTTCTTTCAGCTTTTCAGCTTCCAGGAATTTCTGTCTGTATGCTTCTCGTCTCTGGTTCACTTCACTCCGCGCCTTGTCTAAAGCGGCCTAGGAGAGGGAAAAAGAAAAGGAAATTTTCAGTTTTCCATTCTTACTTTGATGACTCTCTACGTTTTCTTTGCCCTTCTCGCGCGTGGTAAGATATATAAGTCCTTACCCCCTTTATATATAGAATTTTATGTTATCGTCAACGGTCTTTTAAAACTTTCTTTCAGTAATAAGAGAAACATTTTTGCAAACCATGAGGTAAAAAAATATAATCGCATAAAAAGTGGCGCCGTATGGCTTTGAGCGCACGCTAGCTTTCGTCACCATTCACCCACGGGCAATTAGTTAATGCGCTTTATGCTTGTTATGTTGTAATCTAAAGCAGCGAATTTACAACGCACAAAAAAAAAAATACATGTAATGCAGCTGCGTAATTTACAAGTTAGATATACTCCAAGAGAACATCGAGTCTTATTTTGACGGGTCTGAATCACGTTTCGTCTAAGTTAAATATTTTCTAACTTGGTAACGAAAGACAAAGCAAGGAGAGCGCCGGGCCATGTTTGGGTCCAGTGTACCTGCAGTTCTTCAGCTTCTTGTAACTGCCTCTCCTTGGCTGCATTCCTGTCCAGTCTGTCCTGCTCTCTCTTTTTTTCCACCATCTCTTCTCGCATAGCTTTAAACGCACGCGCCGAGGAAGCACGTTCCTGAAGGCGTCTCTCCTTTTCTTCCTCGTCTAGCAGCACAGGGACACCACCTCGCGACCTGAAAACAAGGCAAACAGGGTGAGATCACAATGCTTAGCAAACTACTTTCTCCTATATAAGACATCCCGCATTACTATAAATAAACAAAAGAATTTGTCTTTATGCACGATAATGTTCTCAGTTTGCATGAACTGTACAACTAATCCAAAAAAATTTATTGACAATCATTGGAATAACACACAATTGTAGTAAAAACATTCGAGTCTGTGGATGAAATCCTACGGTGTTTACCATTCAAATGAAAACTCTTCAGCAGTACATTCAAATGTTACTAAATGCATTTATTTAGTTTGTAGTTCCAACTTTTAAGGCTTCAGATGAAATCTTATGGCGTGACCACTCATGTAAAACCTCTTCAGCAGTACAATCAATTTAATTTTGCTTTTTGGGCCCTCAGTTTTGGAAGTAAATGTTTCAGACCAGGGAGATGTTGGGTGCTTGTAGTGATAGTCTATCTAACCTGATGGTCTTAGGCGGGGAAAGAGGCTGTAGTATCTGATCCGGTTCCTTAGGAGGTGCTACTAGTGTCAATTCGCCCTGGTCTGCCTCTGATTGCACTGGTGACGTTACTGTCACTGTAGAGTAACAACAACAAATAATGTGTAAAATAAGGTGAGTAAAGGATTCCTAATTTAAAATTTGGCTTCAGCAGGCTTCAGGTTACTTATACGGTCTCCAAGAGCACTTGATTCTTCTGTCAGTTTATAGTACCCAGAGAAAACAGCCGATATTTTGGGACACCACCATTGGTTTCAAAGTGAAATAACGTCTGAGGGACTACTACAGAAATTCCATACTGATGACGTATCACTACCCTGATCTGGGTAGTGCTACTGATTGGCTGAAGCAAATTTCCCTCTTGGCACGACCAATCAGAAACACTATCAAGATCTGGACAGTGACTCGTCATCAGTATGGGGAAATCACTGGTGGCGTCACGAAGTGTCGGCTGGTTTCTCAGGCTAAATTTATGGTAACTGAATCGCAGTTCTGTGACGATTTGGTGACCCAACGGAGGAAGCCCTAACAAGGTAAATGTTAAAGAGTTTTTTTTACGTGTAAACGGAAGTGGGGTGCGTAAAAATTTGTACTACAGTAGGACAGTGGGAAGCATGTGATTAGTTAGTTGAATAAGGTGGATGTGTAACTTTGCTTTCTTGTATCCTGCTAAAACTAGCGCACACGCATCAGCAGGACTCGCACATAAATATGTAAGTTTCTTACATATTTCGCTGGAAGGTGCCTCTTTCTCTTCGTGCTGATCTTCGTCGCCGTTTTCTTCTTCAATCGCATCTTTTTCAACCTTCACCATGTGTTCGTTTAGAAACTTTTGACGGCTTTGCTGGGCCTTGGGAAAAAAAGGATAAATTCACTTATTCTCCGTGGTAAGTTTACTTACTTTAAGGTGTTGTTTTAGATTTAACGCTTTTCAAATTGTCAGTATTGAAAAATAATGGCATCTTAGATGTAAATAATGCCTCCATCATTTAATCTAAATTTTCTACGAGGAGCCCCCTATAAAGTTATTAAGCATCCCCCGCCTGAAGAAACTGAAAATAAATTAAGTCCCCACACCAAAAAACCAAACAAACAAAAAAAAAATGCTAAAACTGGCAGTTTTATTGAAGTGGCAAATAATCTCCATGGCCATTTTCGAGAAGTCTTTCAAGCTGTGATCCACCTTTTTCCTCGCAACCCAGCAAAATCCCGATCGCAAAATGATAAACCTTCTGATATTTGATAACTTGTTTTCGCCGCTATGACAATCTCACTAAAACTCGAGGTAGAATGACGACGGCTATCGCGTTTTCCCGCCAAAATGACGCTGATTCACGCGCGCGCGCACTACTTAGTATTGGGAAAATCTTGTCCTCGTTGTCGCCCTTGTCTTAAAATCGAAAGCTCACTATTGGGACACCTCTTCCGCAGTTTCCCCGTAATGTTTGTGACACCAACGCCAAAGAAAACGCCAGTCAGATCAGCCAATAAGCAGCTAAATATTCGTTCGTGCAAACTACTTAATAGAGGTTAAGGTCTCGGTAAATGAAAATTTTAGTACATTGCTCGATTTTGTTTTTTTGGGATTTTTGGCATGAGTGGGTCCTAAATTTTATTTTGGAAGAAAAAGAAAATCAGAAAGTGCTTTTTAACCCTTCTAAAATGAGCCTTTTCTGAGCTAACCAGCCAAGCGTGGACCTCGCGCTAAATCTTTAGAGCTGATTTTCTCTCACTCTATTTTAGACGCAAAAATCAAAATTCTCCGACCTCCAGTCGGGACAGGTTTTAAGCTATCGCTTTGAAACTTTCAGATATGATGGATAATGATATAGACTCAAAAAGGGTGTGAGGAATTTTCCGATTTCCCTTTGTAACTCATTTTATGCCAGTTTCTTTGCGTAAATCGCGCTCGAGATTTGACTTTTTAGTTTGAAATGCAATAATTCCGCTAATACGAGACATATGCAAATTTCCTCACACCCTTTTTTAGGTCTTTTATCTGTCAATCAGATGCAATAAAAAGGAAGTGAATATTTAACAACGCGAAAGGGCTGGAGCTTCAGCAGTAAACTCGATACCTCTGAGTTCGAGAGCAAAAAACTTAAGCGCCTTTTGAAATTCGATGAAATAAAATCTTTCATAAGGTAATTTAGTCTTTTAGCTTTAATTTGATATATAACTTGCCTTTGTAACGAAAATACTCGCGCGACTAGAATTTTTTTCTGTGGGCACCTCGTTTTCCTTTACCGAGACCTTAAGCATCACGCTTACGTCAAACGGCAAACGCGAATTTGTACCACGTGACCAAGTTTCCCCTTTACTTGTCGTTTACTGTTCATTATTCCGACAACTAAATTAGTAGTTTCACGCAATTTTTCATCCATAAGAGCTGTTTTTGACTGTTCATTTTCTATTCTGAGAAATTCTCAATTTAATGTTTATTCCCTTTCGATCTGAGGTCACCAGGAAAACGAACTTGGACCTCTCGCATAGAGGGCCGCGCACTAACCAACTGCGCTTATACTTTGGCAAAGGACTCAGCGCAGAGACATGTGTTCCAAAGTATCCAAGACGTTGTTAAATTGCATTAGGGACTTTAAGATCCAACGACGCGGACGGCAACGAGAACGTCAAAAAAACAATAGGTTTAATTAGCACATCAACAACTTCGCACGTGCATCACACTTTTTTGTACATTTCTTTCCCGTTTTTGCACGACTACGACGTGAAAGTGCCTAATTTCGCGTTTTATGGAGGACGTAAACAAGCAACGACGAAATTGTATTTCTCTTTCTGAGCTTGAATTTGGTCCCTTGAAATTCAGCTTCAGGAGGGTTCGCCGACAATTGACAAAGTAAGTGGGTAGGAATAATCGCTTTAAAGACCGAAAGAACGCACATTCACTTTTTAAGCGACGTTCTTGTCGCCGTCGCGTCGTTGGATCTTAAAGTCCCTATTACTTTCTTTCACCGACATTGTGTTTGTATGCTCACGAATATCTCCTAACAAGGGTTACGTTACACTTTTTCTACCTTTGCAGCTCGTCCTGGTTCAGCGGCTTCCCATGCCTGCTTCATAGCCTTTATTTCGTCCTGTCTTTCCGTGTCCTTCTTGACCTCGATTTCGTCCTACGAAGCAAAATAGGTAACCAATGAATGTGATTCCAAGAAAAGACAAACCAGCCCTTCAGCTTCTATAACTGGGAGGAGGGGCTTTAGCTTCTAAGACGACGACGACTACTAGAACGAGATTTTCCCAATACTAAGAAGCGTGGGCGCGAACCAACGTCATTTTGGTGGGAAAATAAGGTAGCCGCCGTCAGTCTACTACGAGTTTTAGCGAGAAAGACAAGTTATCAAATGTTAGAAATTTTACCATTTAGCGATCGGGAGAAGGTTTTGCCTCCTTCAACGGAAATAAACGTGCTAACTTTTGTGGTGAAAAAACTAGTACAATATAGCTTCCTGGGGTGTTTATTTCTAGAGAATAGGCGAGAAAACTGAAAATTAAATGTCGTCCCCGAATCTAAAGTTCTCTAGTGTCTCAGGGCGACACCGGAAAATAATTACTCATGTTCGCACCGAATAACCCGTTGCGCTATTCGTTTGCGATCGCAAAAAAACTGGAGATCGAAAAATGAGTTGAAGGTTAAGCTGGGCGACTGTAAGTTAGTAAATTTTGAGAATAACTGACTGTACACCAACTCCATTTAAGAAGCACTGTCATGGAAACTGGAAAACCTTGATGTGTTTCAACTACGACAACAGAAAAATGTCCCTCTGGTTTTGTAAGAAAGTACTGTAAAGATGCACTGAAACTATTTACTAATCACCCTATGTTTCTTTCACGTCAGTGTAAAACAATCTGTTACTTTGTTTGCCTAGTTTTCCGTGTGTCTGCCTTTCTCCTTGTATTTTCTCAGGTTTTCGATTTTTAATATTAGGCACACTATGTGTAACACACTTTTAAAAGTACAGTTCATTTAGAGTACTCCGGAGCAATCAGAATGTAACTGCAATACTCGAATGCCTGGCACACTAATCTTACCCCGTTCGCGTCAGAAACAATCCTCAGAGTCCAGTTAGGTTTGCTTGAGTCGAACTGTTGCTGAAGGTAGTATGAAGAAAAAACGATGTGAAAGTCAAGTAAATAATTAACACTTAGGTACCGCCAAACCTCAGCTAAAGAGACCTTCGTAAAACTCAAAAACTGTAGTTAAGTTACTGTGAAGCTGCTTATCGCAGTATTGAATATGTTCGTCGTTTGCCCTAGAATGCGACACCAAATCTCTCCGCTATTTTTCTCTGTTTTCTCTTTCGCTCTCCAACGAGGAAAAGACCTTGAATAGTACTCGATTTAGCCTGCTGAAACAGCGCTCAGTATTTTCTTGTGTGTAGTCACTATCTTTGATTTTGAAAGCAGAGGAAGATTAGGGCGAGTTTAAAGGTGCGACACAGGAAGAAAGGAACACAGTGGGGGGAAGGGAGAGGAAGGGGGAATAAATACTTTCTCATCTGTCTACCACCCCTCCTCTCGTTCCCTCCCTTCTTTGACACGAGCACCACGTAACCCGAGCTAATTATAGTGCTCTCCCACCCTCTAAAAACGCCTGCAGTACAATGACGCTATTTCCTACTAACAGCAAGTTACCTGTGATGAAGGTCTTGAACCCGCTTGTCCTTTGCTTGATCTGCTCTCTTTGCCTTCTTTGTTTTTCTTGCCTTTAGACACAGAAGCTGACAGCTTGTCTCCACGAGGTGCATTCTCCGCGGGAACTAAACGACAGATGCAAACTTTTAGAAAATACCTCCAACCTTCACTAAGAGGACTTACTTTGTAAAAAATAAAGTGTTAGGAATTTGTTAAAAAGCTGTAAGCTAGCTGCAGCATAACATCTAAAACGGTTCATCAGTTTACGACTTGAAAAAGTATAGAAAGCTAAAACTTTCAAAAGATTGTACGTTCAACAGGTAAAGAAAACAAGCCAAATACGGCAGTCGAAGAGTCCGAATATTTGCACTAAAAATGTAATAATAACCACCGCGATGCAATGAACAACATTAAGCGTTCACTTCTACCGATCTGTACAAGGAAGATGTGACATCATTCACCATATGGAGAAAAAAAGAAGGAGTGGAGGAAATTTATTAAGAAAAACAAAAAACGGTCCTTCTTTAGTCCAATTCGTGAATAGGAATTCAAGCTAGTTGCTATAACTTTCATCACATTTGCAAGGCCCCAAATTATAACATCAAAGCCGAGAACCTACCCTCCACGTCAAGTCGATCCAGATTCTTGAGCATGGCTACAAAATCCCAGGAACTTCTTGACAATGGCCAACTGTCTCGCAGGACCTGCGCCTGAATTATGTACTTGTGAATCTACAATTAAGTGATAAAAACATTTACTTCCCATTAGCACTGACAGACTGACAGCTAACAGTCTTTGATTGTAAGCTAAGGGCAGTAGGATTAACTCCGTCACTAGAGCCCTTGACTGCAGAGTGGGAGGTCGTGGTTTCGATTCCCGGGGCCGGACCAACACTCAGGGTCTTAAAATAACTGAGGAATGAAGGTATTGCCTTACAGTCAAACCAGGTCAAGCGTTCCTGTCGCTAGCAAACTAATGAATCCATTAATGGAAAAATGATTTCGTTTGTTGATTCAATAATCCATTCATAAAATGAATAATCCAACAGTAAAATTGGACCTAGATTCAATAATTAAATGTTGATTTGGTTGATGAACAAAATCTACCTGTTCTTTATTCTAGCTTGTCTGTTGAGTTCAATCGTATTTGCTTCCCTTTTCCTGCCGTTTACGATTGCGTTTTTAATTGCCTTTAATCAAAATAACAGCTAGAAGAGACAGACTGCAAACCCAAAGAAACTGACAAAGGCCGGGGATCGAAATCCACCAATCATCGCACATACACTGACCTCAGTTTGACTATTGTGTTTTCTAAGAGGTCAGGTCCGTTGCACTGATTACTGGAAGCAAAGTGGCAACATGTAACAGTTTGTTTGGGTTTGAACTTCAGAACTCGCCCGCACTCGACTCTTGGACAAAAAGAAGAAAAAAGTGTAGTTTTTCAAAAAACAGTAGTCGAATCAACATTCGGTTATCGAATCGAGGCTAAAAATGAATATTGGATTGTTCATTTTATGAATGGATTATTGAATCAACAAGCGAAATCATTTTTCCGTTAATGAATTTATTAGTGCGTTAGCGACGGGAACGCTTCACCTGGTTTGACTGTAATTCCCTGCACACGGCCAGACCTTCGCGTGGTTCGAATGACCACGTAAAATTGCGGTCTCGTTTCCAGTAGGCGACATGAAAATAGTGTCCCCAGTTAGCACTTTCGTGCTAAATACATTCAGTCGTATAACACGTTATAGTTCAGTATAACAGTGTACGGGGTACACTGCCGCTCATTGTCCTTGCAATGTGGCTGGTCAGTTAAGACTGTAATAGCCTTGAAGTTGTACAAGAAATCTTCCCAACTGGTTTTAAAGTTGTCTCCACAGTAGTTTTTGTTGAAGTTTTGCGCTCTGCAAGTTTTAGAACACGTTATAGTTTCTGTAGAGAAGCCATATTGTTTTTGTCACCAAGATGTTGAGTTGTTCAAAGTACGAGGAACATAAATGCAAGATTGGCCAGGAGTCAAGACTACCAGGATTTGAACACGGCTCGGCCGGCATATTAGTTGGCATATTGTTCCCCTACCCCAGTCCTGAGGTTACAAATAACACTAACCTTGACTTCTGGCTCCGTGTCTTCGGGTTCCTCGTCTTCTTTATCCAATGAGTCATCGTGCAGTAGAGGACGAGAACCTTTCTGCGAAAGAGGAGTGTGTGACCATGTTAGCTATTTCCACAAACGTTTCAAAAAGTAAGGGCAAGTCTTGACATAACTGAAAGAATCTTTGAAAGCCTCACTACAAAGTTCCCATTTTGACCAGTTTAAGTCACATGAAAACAACGAACTTTCAGTCCCACAGGTGCAATAGAGTTCTAACTATTCAGTCTGTGTATAAACACTAAGGTGTGAAGTATTAACCACTGATCTGGTGTGGAACATTATGTTCTCCCGTTGCACCAGCGATTCCGTGGATGAAAACTACAATGTTGTCATTCAAATAAAAGCTATGGAGTAGACTTCTTTTTCTGTGACGATGCTGTTGCGTAGGATGACTCTAACTTTTGAGTTATCTTGAATTTTAAGCTTGATTCCATTGGAGACAAAGAATTAAACAGTGCTTTGGACTGCAGGGTGGCAAATGCATTTTAAAATAAATCGTCAAAATTTTTCGCAACTGAGAAAGGAACAAATAACACAAAGCTCGGAGTTTTCGATACGGATGGAAAGTCCTAACGAATACTCATCTTATAAAAAAAACGAATAACACCGCCAACAACACTAAACAGCAAAAAGAGCACCAGATCACTCACCGATGATCCTGGCCGGGAGGTACTGGACTCCTTGCAGCTCTTCTTTCCTCCTTTGCCCGGTACAGGAGACGCTACGGCTTTGCGGCTACCTGAGGTGGGTCTCTTGGCCGAGCGAGGGTGGGACGAGGTTGGAGGGCGGGAACCTGGTAATGACAATAATCTACCAATCAATGATCATTTCTTCGGAGCCAAGATTCACGCGGAAAGTGACACGAGAGTGAAAGAAAATAACTGAAGGGCTTTTTTTCAATGTTCTTGCCTCCTTCGTGCAAACTATTTTAAGATTATAGCCTGAGTCTGATTTGATGGTTATTCCGTTTCGATGTGAGGTCACACCAACGAAACGAACTCAGCACCTCTCGCACAGAAGGCTGTGCACTAACCAACCGTAACAATCCCTGAACCTTATTTTAGAAAAGGACTGTAAATTTATGTGTTCCAAAGTACATATAAATACACCGATAACTGACAGGCTTTTTGAATTGTTCTTACCTCGTTTGCCATGTTTTTCTTCTTCGTCGCCAGTGCGATCGCGGTAGAATGTGAAAGCAGGAATAACTGCGTGAGCTTTGCCTGTGGTACTCGCCACTTCTTGTTCATGATCAAGAATCTGCAAAAATAACAAATCTCTATGGTTTACTGTGGCAAGAGAATCTATTTCGTTTGTTTAAATATCTCTTATGCCTTTGCTCCATTGTACAAAATGTTGTTCAGTTCATCCCATTCTCAGGGTTGCCAATACTTTTTTGTTTTCTGAAAGGACAAATGCCCGACCGAGTCAGCAAATTAGTCGGACAAACCACGGTGATAGGTATACATTATTTTGACTCTTAATTTCTTTTAGCATTATACAAATCTCCAGCTTCAAAATAAGTCTTTAATATGTCCGACTGCAAGCAGGATTTTGAGGGAAATGAGCAAATTTTAGTCGGATATTGCCCGAAAACCGACTGTTATTCTAAGCTCTGTTTTACAGTGACCATGTAGTTGTCCTCCTCATCTGTTTTCAGTCGCACCCCCGCACCAAGTTAATATCCCCTACGTTAGACTACGAGTAGTCCGACCTTTCCCTCAGGGATGAGTCGAGCGAGTGAGCGAGATTGGCGAGCGAACGGGCAAATCGCCACCCGCGAGGAAGGTGAAAAGCGTCTCACCTCACCTCGCGCGCGGCGATTTTCACTCATGATCGCAAATTTCGCTGAGGAAAATGAGAGACTACTTGTCTTGTAGTCTACGCCAAGGTGTCAATAATTGCTGGCGACAAGAGGAGCCTGCAATCCTATTCTCTAGGTTGTAATTACGCATGCGTCGCATGTATGTAGCCAGTATTCGTTTGCAGTTTCACTAAGGATGAACGGAATGCACAAAACGTAATTTCATCAATTCTATCCCTCGTACTCTAATCGCGCCTGTTTTGACCACCTGTCAAGTGAAACTTACGCAAAGCACAGCGCTGGAGCAAAAGCATTTTGACCCTTGATTGTTGTCGCCCGCACTCCCTAACCTTTGGTTATTACTAGTACTCTAAACGTAATCCGCAGTGTTATTCTGACACGTGCCTCACCTGTAACTTAATGTAAACGTCCGGTTTAGAAGTCCCTAGCTGAAGGCTGACCATGTGATCTTCTGTTACTTTCACTGTGTATCTTTAAAATACAACACCAACAAAATATTAAGAAGTGGTCACACAAATACACTCAAAAAGGCAAAGAGGATGAAGGATTAGCACAGTTGAGACTCTCATGAGAGAGACTCATGAGTTGAGACTCTGCATGAGACTCTCATGCAGGAGAGATGCAAGGACCAAGACAAGGGCAGCATGCATACTTAATTTACCCTTTTTCGTGTAATTAATTGCGCTCTACTGTCTTGCCTAATTCAAAAATCTTCTTTTTTATACGCTACTTGCATATCTCCCATAATGAACCTTATTTGCCCCCCAAAATTTTGCATGAGCATTGTTTTCAATTTCTCTTGGGACGGCTTTTGGGGGCAAATAAGGTGCATTATGGGAGATTTGCAAGTCGCGCACAAAACTTCTTTACATTTTATCTTACGAATCTACCTAACTGTTTTCATCAAATAATTAATTTATTTAATTTTTACACAACCCGCCTCGAATAGCCTTGCTACTTACGGGTTGTGTTTTAATTTGTTTTGTAACAAGGATTTTGAAATAAAATAAAAGTTGTTGTAAAGCTGTTGATGCAGTTGGTTAGTGTGGGTGTGCGGCGTTCTGTGCGGGAGGTCCCGGGTTCGATTCCCAAGTGTGACCTCAAATCCTTCTATCGACTTCTTTCCTTTTCGTGTAGCTTTAAGTAGCGTCAGACTGTACACAGATGGAGAGGAAGGGAGGGGGAAGGAGGGGGTAAAATGAGGGCATCGTTTGCCTCAGGTTTGTCAGTCTGATGACTTTTGTGCTACTGAAGTAAAATAAGGACTCTTTACCTTTACCTTCAGAAGCATTCAGCTAAGAAGTTGAGTCAAAATTCATTGCATTCTCACCTGAAAATAATGTTGTACTTGTTGGGGATGTAGTAATCTCTAATCTCCTTGTTTACAAAGTGACTATTGACTCCGTCCCGAGCGGGGTACGGTAAAGGTTCCGTTGAACCTATAACCCGCAGCCTGAATTTCCCAGGAGGGAGAATAGCGTTCGGGGTTCTGGCTTCAGCAACGAAAGTGTAACCACGCTGACAAGAAAAAAAGAGGTCTTAATTCAATGAAAGTACTATGCAGTGTAAAGGAGGGGGAAACGTGCGTCTGAGCACACGACGGAAAAACACGTGACATTCACTGAAGACTGGCTCACTATAGGGAAATAATGGCGTAACGACATAAACCCCATTTACACGCGTTAAAAAAATCGGCACGGCAAGCCAAATTTTTGGCACCGTGCTGACGATTTTAAGGCACGGCACTCCCAGTTTTCGACGTGTAAACGTATCGGTCCCAATGTAATGTGGCATCAGTGCTCAAAATTTAGGAGCAGGTAGTCTCGGCACGGGTAAACGAGGCACGGTGCCAAAAATTTGGCGTGCCGTACGGATTCTTTTAGCGCGTGTAAATGGGGTTATAGTTTTACATCTTCAATTTGAAAGGAGCGAGCCAAAACGAGCCTTTTTAATGTTTTCCTGTGATCATTCATTCGCAGCATTTGCGCTATGTATTTTTTCTATTTTCGTTTCAAGTAGTTTACAACAAAGCAAACAATACAAACTTACCTTGTTTTTCTTCAAGTTGTTCGGCGCCACTTTCTGGAATACTCTTGTTAATTCTTCTCCTGAGTCGTTGTCCACCACTCGTAACAAACAAGTCGGCAAGGAAACATAGAGTTTAGGGACCGTTAAAACTGGTTCGTCCACAAAGAACACTTCCCTGCAAGTAAAACAAGCAGCAAATTCAAATACTGAGTAGTAAAGAAACGTTTTTGCCGTCACTGCACGACTACGACTTAAAAGTGCCTAACTTCACGTTTTGTGGAGGACGTGAACTCAAAGCAACGACTTTCTTTTTCTTTTCCTAAACAATACAGTCTTGTAGAACTCAACTCCAAAAAATATGGCCAATATTTGACGAATTGAACGACATGGAATAAGCGCGATAAAGTTTGAAGCAGCGCGAGTCCACTTTTTAAGTGCCTTTTTCGAAGCCGTCGCCGTCGTTGCTGCTTAACCTCCCTAAAAACTGCCCCAAGCACGCTCTTCCTTATGGCACTTGAGGAAATACTCGTGAAAGACAAAATCACTAGTTCGTGTGAAAGAAATATGTCTCCTAAGCATTACTTCGAACGTAACAAATAACAAAATGAACTTTTCTTAGCCTCTTTTTGTATTCGCTGTGTTATTAACACCTTGTTTTAACGTTTTGGCCGATTATTTTTGTTTTACTCAATTTGGTGGGAGTTTCCACTCTCTGAATTGTAATAATTTCGTGACGCAGCTCCTTTAAAATGAAGGGTAAAAAAATGGTGTTGTTCATACGTGTGTAAGACTAAAAACAAAATCGACCCACCGGAACTTGTCGATTTAGGATGCTTAATGAAAATAAGGTTGTGACATACCTGAAGACCACAAACCATGAATTAGGTGGTTGTTCAGGGTAGCTGCCATTGTAGTCTGTGTATGCTACTCTGCTCCACTCATCTTTGTAGAACGGAAACAATGGAAACAGATCAGGATCCCGCTTGAACATAAGTCTAAAGATTTGAATGGCAAAAGTCTCCAGGTTGGGTTCAATCAAGCTCCAGGCTTTGGATAAAAGCTCCAAAACCTTTTGATGTTCCTCAGTTCCTGTGAAAATAATAATTAAGATTAGGATACTAGGACAGAGACAGCAAACACAGATTAACAGCATGTCACGTGCGTGCTATAATAGGCTACGTCGAGAAATACCATAATACTCGTTTAAGTGCAGGTCTTGGCAATGTATAATGTTAGCATTTCTTTTCCAACGTCCTTTGTTTTCAGCACGATCTGCCAAGTTATGCGGTAGTTTCTCAACAAGTTGCATTCTCAGTGCGTTCACATGACAATGCGTTCAGCAGTGCTACTATTAGCTAACATGTAGTTAGGTTCAGGTTGTTTCCACATTGTACAGGATAGCTTTTGGTGCCGACATGAAATGCTATCTGGTACAGAATGAACGCCAGTGGGAAAGAACTGAAACAATGTTGTTCACACACATCAAACATCGTACCGGAGCGGTTGGCTGAGGGTTTTGTGCGCTAAGTCCCAATCCTTAGGTCTGAATATTTACTTCCGTCTCAGGAGGTTCCAATACTCGCTCTTACCTATCTACTTCCGCTAAGGTACCTGCTGTCTACACTTACGTCCCTGTGAGGATGATCGCGCACGTACAAGAGTACTACGCTACATCCCAAACAGGGTATTAGTTTAGGGACCCACCTTTTATGTAACCTCGTGACAGTTTCCTGAGAAAATAACCCCGAAAAGTGGCCTGGATCTTAGCTGCCGCATTTTCTTCTTCGCTGTTCGACGTCCGATCAACCCATGTAGGGGGAACCGCTGAAGCACTTTTGAGTTGTCGCTTAGCAGACATCGAACCGATCCGGGTGATCTCTGCAGCTGACAGGGGCCTGTGACCCACCCGCTGATGTAGACAGAGGGACGCCTGGAACTGAAAGGCTTTCCACGCAAAATGCATTGCCATATCATAAGAGTCAGCAAGGTGGAATCTGACTGTCTTAAGAAGGCATTTGATAAAAACCTGCATAAAATGGAAATGGTGTATGTTAAACTCGGAGAAAGAATTGGAGTCATTGCATAAAAGATGAAGAGATAAGATCCCTCACTTGATGTAACAACTCAGTTTGGTTTATGGACTGATTAGGTTACGTACAGAGATTTCAGAACACCGTCCTTTATCTGAGCGAACCGCTTGTAAAAGCAATGTACAATGCTCTTATATAATTACACGATGTATTAAATACAAGATGTTTTCTTATTGGTCGTTGCCTATGACCTAGTAGAGTTCAGACACGTGGCCGACGTCACAGAGAGGTTTTTCTCTATCCGTCCATAATGGCCCACAATTTTGGGAATGCTTACCAGATTATTACGGTTCCAGCGAGTAAAGACAACGAAAAAACGCAGAGAGTAAAAGAGGAAATAGCTTGCGGGCAGACGTCTCCTATTTGCTTTGTTGCATGGCACGCTAAAGAACAAATCAAGGTGAAAAAGTAGTCTCCTGATCTATGATTGGATAGAAACACCGCAAAATGGAATCTTTTAGTCTTTATACAATGTGTCACTGATGTTTTTACCACATTTTGACGTCATCTGCGATCTATTACTGAACAGACGCACGGCAACATGGAATCTCTTTGTTAAAAAACAGTCGTCATTGGGTGACAGTAGCCATGCACATATAAACAAGGACGAACGAATTTGGTCAAGTTTAGATTAAAGAGTTTTAAGAGTCATCGCTGATTAGAATCGCATTACAAGAATCACCTAAAAATTTACTGCCAGCAAAGAGTGACCAAACATCTTCGTTACTCGGCTGCAGATTTGAGTTATGAAATCACCTTATAATGCTTGTCTCGAATGTCCTTTGGTTGATCCTTCAGTCCCAGGTCGAGATCAAACTTCCTGTCGGGTGGAGGATCAGCAAAAGAAGCTACAAGACTCCCTATTGACTGAATGACACCCAGGGCATGTTCCAAGAAACGACAACTCTCCTACACATACAGACAAGGAAATGAGTGGTGAATACAGAATACAAACGCACTCAATATTACCCTTAATAATTCCACGCCACTTTCACACTACCCATAGTCTCCCTTGCAGCCGTTTTTTGGTATGTCACGAAACGTTGCGTGACATCCCAAAAAACCGTTGCGAGGGAGACTACACTGTCCATAGTGCACCTTGTTTACCCTCAAAACTTTGCATGAGAATTGTTTTGGGGGACACAAAGTGTATTATGAGTAATATGAAGGCAGTCAATACAGAGGTCAGCAACGGTCATCTTACATAGGTAAGTGGATAAAGAGGTGTTTTTCTGCTTCCTTCGCTTTCGATCAGTTTAACCCTTTCACTGCTAACGGTGGTCGAAGAAAAAGTTCTCAAAGAAATTCAAATTTCTTTTTGTAAAATTCTAAGAAATAGAGAGGACTATGCAAAATTTCGGCCGGAGAGATGATAAGAATTTAATATTTGGACCCCAGATTTAAAGTTAGTGCGACTAACAATCTTGCTATAACTTGGTCTACGAATTTATGGGTAAACACAACTGCATGTAAAATTTCGTTTAAAAATGCAACCGTATAAAAGTCCGATTGTAAAATGAAGAAGAATGGCTGTGATCACACCAGTTTGTGCCGCGCCAATCTGTTCCTCCTTGTTAATATTACATTAACCGAAATACCTTGGTCAGACAAGCCATTACAGTGTCCTCATCTCCATACACAAATGGTGTCTGTGAGGCCATTTCTATATGATAGCCGTGAGGGGCCTGTACAAGGAACCTAAGCACATGGCGCCCAGGCGGTAAGACAAGCACAGAGGCTCGGGTACCTGTGGTACAGATACGCAAGATAGGTTGACCCGTCACCAGGCTTTTCCAAGAGTATGGCTCAGCAACGAGCCGGCCTGGGGTGGGTGGGGCTGGTTTCTCTTCCACTTGAACAGCATCCTTTGGTTCTGTTCAAGGAACAAGACGGTAAGAAATTAGTTCAAACTTTCAGACAATAAAAATCTTGATTTACAATTTGCGATCCACACTTGCTAAGTTCGGTGATCAGCTTTGACGCATTTCTCAGCCACGCGCAGAACGCACCAATCTGCATTTTTGCGGATCATTTCACCCCCTGTACACATGGCGGAGTTTACGAAGGTTACTTTACTTTTCTCTACAAGAAGGCAATTCTTACATACTTTACGCCAGTAAACAAGTAACCGTTACTTCTACAATACTACCCGTCAGGTTTACATCCGTAGAAGACAGTTTCAAGCGTCCTATTTTTCCATAAGATCGTTAAGATTGCTAGTCTGCTACACAGCCGTCATTAGTGTCGTCACGCAACGCTCCTCCCTTGACAACACTAATAACGGCTGTGTAGCAGACTATAAGATTGCGGGATTGCTGTGATTTGCTGCCATCGTGGTTAAAATGTACCGAGAGGGTGCAGCGCTAGGGTTGATATTTTTCCCAAGATATATTTGGTATAATGGAAACCAAGATGGCCGTTCGCTGCAAATAACGCTTTATCTCAACGATCTTACAAAAAATGGGGGAATGCAGACAGTCTACATATTACCCTCGGGCGATCGCGCGCGTTCTGCGCATAATCGAGAAACTCTGGTACGGTTAAGGATACTCTTTTCCAGGTTTAAAGATCGCCACATTTGCTTCGAGGTAATCAAAACAATTTTAACTTTTTTTATTCTCTAAACCGTTCCCCAAGAGATGTGGCTCAGACACACGGTAGACATAAAAATCAGTTCACACCTGTTATTACGCTGCTAGAGTCCTTTTCTTTCTCCTTGTCTCGCTCTCTAATAATGGGCTGCGGTGGGTCCAGCCATCTGGAGAAAGAAGTGAAGTTGACCACAATCTCGATAGGCTTCAAACTGTCAACAAACAGAAATGGAGGAGAGGCTTCTTGATTCTGACTTGTTCCTCCATAACCCCCGTGATATGGAGAAGGGCTGAAGGCTGTGGCCTTGCCTGGTGCAGGAGTGGTTGCTGTGACGGAAGATGCTGGTATAAGACCTGATTTCTTACCAACATGGCTGGTCATGGCAACGTTCTAATGAAACAACATAAGATGAGCTGTCAGGACACCACTTGTTTATGACCCGCACGGTCCTTGTATGATGAGTCTTCGAGAATCTTATGCACTTCTTACTATTGTGTCTCTGATTAACACCCCTAGGCAGTATACATTAAGTACCAACGGTATTATAGTGGCTCAAAGTTAACGTAAACATTTATGTTCAGCACTCATGGATAACTTAACAGCAGACCAAGTGTTGGGGAGGGTAACGGATCTAGCATTGAGGTGTTAAGACACCAACAACACATCTACAACTACGACACACCCACGACACGTTTGCCACGACAAAAGCAAAATAAAGGGCCTCCGATTTAGAGATTAAAAGTAGGAAGATGATAGCGTCAAAGTGGATTTTAAAACCATAAAATTTCATGTGGTTACGTGCAAAATGTGTTCTGACTCGTTTTTCTTATTTAACACCTAATGGTTTAAAGCTGCGTCTAGTTCAGTTTTATGTACACTCGTGCAAGTTTATCGATATAAAAGGTGAATTGTGATGGTTTTGGTGTTGATAACAACAGACTCACAGATGATAAAGACATTTCACTGTCCGATCTCTTAAGCTTACGACCCATTACAGAGGAGGACATCTTCCTCTCGCTCGCCGCGAAACCATTGCCACCATGCCCGCGATGAATAGTGATTGGAATGAAAACCCACCTCTGACAATTAATTATGGGTTAGTACATTAGAATATGACAATTACTTCCGACAGAATTCGTACAGCCAGTAGGGAAGATTCTAGCGCAATTTCGATTCTTAGCAACTCGGCACCAATACTGGTATTAAAATCGCAAAGAAACATCATCACTTGTAAATCGCGTTTGGAAAGTGCGTTAAAAGTTAAGTCAAGTTAATTGATTTGCCATAAGATGTACAAATAGAAGAAAATCTAAGGGTCTGTTTACATGGAGGTGGGGGACCCCAGGTAGGTGAGGTAACTCGCTTAGGTGGGGTAACCCGCCTGTCCATATAATCTCTCATTTTAATTTGATCCGTTTACATGATAGGTGGGGTGACCCGACGCGGGTTACCTCACCTACCTGGGGTCCCCCACCTCCATGTAAACAGGCCCTAACTATTCAAAAAGCTTATAGCGAGGAAGCCCAAGATAAACCACCGGGCTTATAAGGAATGGGCTCCCTCAGTTAAATTATTACAACAAAATATGAACAGAATTATACATGGAAAAGTCAATGGCAGAGCTACAGTAAATCTTAAAATATATTAGATAATTAAATAAATCATAGTTAGGCTAATAAAGCGAAAGGAAAAAAAAAACTGAGAAAAAAAATGAAAATAAAAGGATAGGTAAAGAAAAAAATAAATGAATATTTATGACAAGAGGAAACCCAAAATGTAAACCAGACTGGCTGTTCAAAACGTGACGTATAAGAAGACATGAATAACTTGTATGGTGAGTGAGATCTGAAGAGTGACTCAAGTAAAAAGTCGTTTTCATCACCTGTCTTGCCAAGGACCTGGAAAGACTGGTGTGACAGAGAGTGAATCTCAGGGAGTTGGCCAGGATATGCGAATTTTACTGAAGTTATCTCCAGAGGTTGTATCCAAATGCAAGTCTAATTCTTGGGATTCCCGCACATTTCAATAGATTGTTTGAAAAGTTATTAAGTCCACGCGAGAATGCCCTAAAGCAAACAATGCAGAATATTGTAATGGCGACTGTTTAACGATCTTTCTAACAACACCGTATAAAAGTTTGCGGACCTCTCCAGAAACCAACTTGTGATTAATATCAAGCGTTTTAATTGGTCTGAAAATAACTTTGGAGAAATTCACAAAATCCCAAGGGTTAGACTGGGCGTTTCCCACTTTGTTCCATTGTTCTCTCTTGTAAGGATATAAAAGCAAAATGTGGAAACGTACACTGCAAAACAGTCGTTTTTTTTCCCCTCAAAATCGGTTTAGTGTAGAGTAAGTGTCACGCGCGCGAGGCGCGCAGGCGTGTCAGACGAGAGAAAAAAACCAACTGTGACCAACTCGACAGGCCAAGCAGAACTCCAGGGACAGAATCCACGGAAATAAGAGAGGTTATGGAATCAATCGAGAACAACACATAGACCATAAAGACTTTCTCGAGATAAGAAAGTTTGAAGCTAAAGATCACAAGGGCTCCTGGCTCTGATTAGAATCTCTTGATAGCGAGAGCTGTGAAGATTACAAAGAGCAACAGCTTGCGAGTCACAATGTTATGTCTTGAGAGAAGAGAGTAGAGACAGTTTTAAAATACCTCTTCAGGACTTGAGCAGGTTACATCCTCTTTAGTCAGAGATTGCGATAGAGAAAGAAAGCACTTCAGAACATAAGAGAAGAATAAAACAAGATGAGAAATGAAGGTAACTGAACTAACTCAGTCATGAGAAGTACAGTCTAGAGGGCCGTCAGTTAGAAAACTGTAAAAGGTTATTAGCCAACTCACTTAAGAGCCATTTTCTGAGAAAATCGAGAATCGCAAGACACTCGTCAAAAAATCGAATTTTTTATTATTTTGCCAAAACATCCCTTTTAGTGACCTAATTTAAGGAAAAATAGTTTTGGGTTCAAACGATTCATTTTAAAGGAAAAATTTTAAAAAGTTTGAAAAATCGATTTTATTCCTGTTTTTCGAACAAATCACGGCAGGATGCAATGGCAACTTCGAGAGAAGGGTGAACGCGTAAGAAACATTCCCTGACACTGAAACTTCACCGAATTATTATTTTGTTCTTACTCCTGAAAACCTTAAAAGAAAATTTGAAAAACAATGTCTTGTATTTTTATAATCGACAAGTCTAAAGAGGTCATATTTGTGACGTTAGACATGCTAGAAAACGAAGGCCAACTTTGACTATTAAAAAAGGCCTCTGGTATATGACGTTTGCTCATAAAATCAATATAAAATGGAACCTTGGCGTTTGTACTAACTTACTGGAAAGTTTTAGCTCTGGAAATCAAATACCATCCTGACACCAAAGCAAGCGGTGAGAGCAATTGAATTGGGAAATTTATGCAAATTAGACGGCTTGCGGACGGTTGTCAAACTAAAAGAAAGGTTTTACATGAAAGGATTACTCACCATTACTTGTAACACGTTTTTACGGCAAGGAAAGTTATTTCCAACTTTTGTTGCGTCGGTTTGAGTCACAAAATCCATAATTTTAAGCCAAAAGGTCCAAAAGACAAACGTACGTTTGTTCAGCGACTGCGCCAGAATCCGGCCGTGAATCGAAATAAAGTCACAACACGTCACTGCGGTCCTTTAGAAGCAAGAGTTGCAAGAGTTTTTACTTCAGTCAGGAGGCCAAAAGATTGAAATTCATCGCAAACTAATGACTTCGATTTTGAAAACCTTTCATCACTTCAATCGTTCGTCGGCTGATGATAAACATCGCACAAGATCGTATGACCTTAGGCGTGGGACCGGAAATCGGTCACACGCTTAAGTCACGTTAGTATACTGTCACGAATTTTAATACGATTTTTCACGTTTGCTTTCGACAAAAAATAGACTCATCGAAATAAAATCAGGCTTGCTTTATTTTTTTTATTTTTTTAAAATTTCTTTTATAGCCTGCAGAACTTGTTTCCCATGCATCGCGCGTGTCTCGCGCCCCCAGTCAGCTTCGCAGTGCTAGCGTGAAAAGCGCAAAAGACTGAAATTGACTCCTGTTCTGCAGTTGATTTCTTTTATAGACACCTTCTAGGCAGTGACAGGCTGTGGAAAAAGTGTTTATTATTATTATTATTATTTTTTGAAGTGCTACATCATTTTCCTATAAATTTCAAACGTGACTGTTAAAAGACTGTTTGGAACCCATGGATGGAGAAAAGCTGTGCCGGAGAGAGGGTCAACCTCCCAGCCGAGCCAACGTTTGCGAGCGTTTATATGAGGAAAAAACTGACCACTTTGTCCGAGTCAACAGTGCTTGCGCATGCTGTCTTTGTCTAGCCTTGACCGTGTTGTCCCAGCTAGCTGGGCGAGCCAAAGTGGAGAAATATTAGCCGGGCTAGAAGGGTGAGGCCACCACTACCGGCTCAGTGGAGGGCTGACTTCCGGAAGCCTTCAACCCCGCCCACTACTGGTAGTAAGGCGTCTATCCGAACCAACCTTTTGTTTCTCATGTAAATGGTTTACCAAGTTTTGTAACGAAATGGAGGAAAAGTTGGCTCACCCAGGGTAGCTTGGGAGGTGAGTAAACACCAGAAAACCCCAATAATAAGCACAAACTTTGATTGTCAGTTAGATGTCCACTATTTTAAGTAAGCGACCTGGGATGTGATTGTCGCATCCATGCCCCCTTCCAGATCCCCTTTATTATCGGTAAGCCTCTGATAGGTCAAAGTAATACAGTCGTGTCTCCAGTAAGCGACCACCAAAAATGCAAAGACTTAGTGGTCTCTAACGGGAGGTGGCCGTTTAGAAGAATCGGACCACATGGGGTCTATTCCGAGAAGAGGTCCAGGCACATTCTATTAAATGGCGGTGTAACAAATTCCTGGCAAAATATTATCTTTTACCTCTTTTGTCAAATACAGCTTTTAAATCATGCTCAATTTAAAGAGGGATTCAGGTGAGTGAGATATAGAATAGTCTAGAATCACAACAGAATCTTCACTTTGTTGGCTACATCTACTAAGTTAGGATATGTGTAGTTCCACGATGTCACTAAAGGTCTTCATATTTTCTAAGGAACATAGTACACACAGCAAAAATAGAGAGCAGAGAATGCGTCAACTGGTCGCTTATGGAAAACAATTAACCGTGGCGCCCAAAAAGTGGTCGCAGTCACTTACAGAAGGTGGTCGTTTACTGGAGGTTCCAACTGTAAGGCTTTGACTGGGAAAATTTGGTCTTTTGGATTGGCGGTCGCACATGGAGGTTCGACTGTGTTAGGTCTATTAGAGTATAAGCCACCATCACCTCACTGTGAGTGACGAGAGCCAGGAAAGTATAGTATACACTCCCTTAGGATACACAGAATCGTTGTTTTGAGGTCCCGTTTAGCGAAATGGATCATTCAAGGGAGGTGCTGAAATCCCATAGTGAAATTTATAAGGTTTATGGGTTTTTCGTGCAAGGCGAAACACAATACTTAGGGCCCTGTTGTTCAAACGTTGAACAACAGGAAATCACTATCAAGCGAATAAGAAGAAGCAATTGCGTTACTTATTGGATATAGATTTATCCAGGGGAAAGCGTTAGTCCCGGGGGCGTTAGTCAACTTTTCGAACATACAGCCCCTCAGTCACTCTCCTCCGCAGACTTACCCTGGGTAGACTACGAGTAGTCCCCCATTTTTCCTCAGGGATAGTAGAGCGAGCGAAACGCGAGGGCGCGTGAAAATTACCCCACGCGAGAAAAGGCACGCGCACTCGCGTTTCGCTCGCTCTACTATCCCTGAGGAAAAATGGGGGACTACTCGTAGTCTATACCCTGGGCGACCAGGATAGGGGAATATAATACTCGACCTTCCTTGCATCATCGCGAGAGCCTGTAGCCTTCACTTTCTTTTGGCTCGTCCTACAATCCTACCTAACGTTCGTGGGACAGGAAAGTCTGCGTGCGAGGCTTGGGAATCTAGGGAGACTATGGTAGCATGGTGCAAATAGCCGGGATGAGCTACTTTGTCCACACGAACCAAGAGGATTGGGTCTGCTAGAAGAAATCAGTTGTAGCTTTCTGTGATAAGTAATATTCCAACAGTATAGATCATAGTTTGAAGCCATTTCACAATCACTAGTTTCCGCGCACCTCTACCGGCGAGTTGTGGACAAAAGCAGCTGATAGCTGTATGCGAACCTTTTTTCCACAAAATGGTTTCTGGGTTTTCGTATTCGACAGTGTCATGTATTGATTTTTTTTAATCTTAATCGAGGTCTTTTTATTATGTACTGTCTATCTGACTGACTGTTTCTTTGTTTTTTTTTTTTCTGGTAATAACAGGTTTCATAATTTGGTCGTGGCTGGGGTTATAGGCTCCTGATCGTGAGCAAATAGCGAGAAAATCAACAAGCAAAACCAAAGTGAACTATAGCGTTGAATCCGTTGGCCACGGAGAATTGGTATTATTCTCCAAGTTCTTTACTACAGCAATAGAGTATACTCCCTTGACTATGGGACATTGGGCCGGGGGAACTTAGTATTTTGACCCGGCATAGGGGAGGAGGGGAGGGGGAGGGGGTACTCTGGCCAGATTCCAAGTCACGGGGATGATCGAAGTATGTTTCTTTCTTGGTTTGAAAATATTTTGAACAATTTTTTTTTTTAGCTGTGGCTTTACTTAAGTATTCAAAATATTCGTTCTTTTTTGGTCTTAATTTTCGCTTCCACGGATCACTCACGACACTTGGAATCCGAGGTACCCCTCCTGTTTAGTACTTCGAAAGCAAAAAAGCTGTTTCAAAGCCTAGTAGGTAAATAAAAGAAAAATAAATATGCATGGCTGTTTCTACTGCGATGAGAGGATTTCTTGTCAAAAAATGTGAAAACTGTATTAAAATTGCTGACAACAGCTACGAAAATTTCGTGACAGCATGCTGACGTGACTAAAGCGTGTGACCAATTTCCGGTTACACGCCAAAGGTCATACGATCTTGTGCGATGTTTATTATCAGCCGACGAACGATTGAAGTGATGAAAGGTTTTCAAAATCGAAGTCATTAGTTTGCGATGAATTTTTATTCCTTTTGCCTCTTGACTGAAGTAAAAACTCTTGTAACTCTTGCTTCGTCGTGTTGTCACTTTATTCTATTCACGGCCGGATTCGGACGCAGTTGCTGAGCAAACGTACGTTTGTCTTTTGGCTAAAAATTATATATTTTGTGACTGAAAACGACGCAAAAGAAGTTGCAAATAACTTTCTTTGCCGTAAAAACGTGTTACAAGCAATGGTGAGTAATCCTTTCATGTAAAACCTTTCTTTTAGTTTGACAACCGTCCGCAAGCCGTCTAATTTGCATAAATTTCCCAATGCAATTGCTCTCACCGCTTGCTTTGGTGTCAGGATGGTATTTGATTTCCAGAGCTAAAACTTTCCAGTAAGTTAGTACAAACGCCAAGGTTCCATTTTATATTGATTTTATGATCAAGCGGCATATACCAGAGGTCTTTTTTAATAGTCAAAGTTGGCCTTCATTTTCTAGCACGTCTAACGTCACAAATATGACCTCTTTACACTTGTCGATTATAAAAATGTAAAGCATTGTTTTTCAAATTTTCTTTTAGGATTTTCAAGAGTAAGAACAAAATAATAATTTGGTGAAGTTTTAATGTCAGGGAATGTTTCTTACGCGTTCACCCTTCTCTCGAAGTTGCCATTGCATCCTGCCGTGTTTTGTGCGAAAAACGAGCATAAAATCGATTTTTCAAACTTTTCCTAATTTCTCCTTTAAAATGAATCGTTTGAACCCAAAACTATTTTTCCTTAAATTAGGTCACTAAAAGGGATGTTTTGGCAAAATAAAAAAAAATTCGAATTTTTGACGAGTGTCGTGCGATTTTCGATTTTCTCAGATAATAGCTCTTAAAGGTGATGTTACACGGAACGATTCGCAACGACGATTTTTAGCGCAACACAGCGTTACAACATTATTGTTACATTGTTCCGAATCGTCCCGTTTAACATCACAGGGGCGGATCTAGGGGGAGGGTGCAGGGGGTGCGCGCCCCCCGAGATGACCTGCGGTTTTCTAATATAACTGGTATTCTGCAAAAAAAAAAAAACATGTGGTTTATTGGTGTTGAAGTAGAGCAAGAGACGAGTGCACCCCCTCCTAAAAAAAATCCTGGATCCGCCCCTGCATCACCTTAAGGAAGACTCACTTACAAGGTTCGACAAAGTTCGTTGGAGAGAGGTGCATGCGTGACAGGCCAAGAGAACAGTTGCGTGACCGTTTGCACAGAAGTCTATAGGTTCGTATGATACATGCAACCGGCAAAGGTACCACCGGAATCAGTTCTGAATGTATTTTTTGTGTTGATAAAGAGGAGAAAAAGCTACATTTTCCTTGATGTGAAGTATATGAAATAATTCATTTTTGAACTACGGTTGTAGATGAAAGTGAAGAATGATCATCGCAGTAAATTTTCCAATTGAAGCAATTGGAAACAGGGCCTGATTTTTTTTTTCAGGCTTCTTCTTCCCAATTGCTTAAATTGGAAAATTTACTGCGATGATCATTCTTCACTTTCATACATTTTCCTTATTACACAAATGAGCATTAATTGCACATTTACTAGTATATAACAAGTTGTTTATTACCTTCAATTCGGAGTTTCCCTTCGAATAATTGTAAGTGTTGGGTTTGTGGAATATGTATAGATGTCTACAACAGGAAGAAAAGAGATACTTTAACTGACAATATAGGAGAACATACCATAAGAACTACTGAAGTGCAAGTTTCCTAACATTGACGTAGTCTACACGAGGTACATCTTTCCTTGACAAATATATTTGCTCGTTTGGAGGGGAACAAGAGGCACGCTCTTCTTTTAGAGTTCCCTTGATGCAAAAAATTTAGCATGCTAAGTGTGAGCAGGTAAACTTTTCACGGAAAAAGAAATGGTTACTCAGGAATGTCCGCTCCTGTGAACGACAATGATAGTTCCCATGAACTCTCGCTCCCAATTTTCCAGCACGTATTTGCACAGTTTATAAAACTACAGTCTCCAGAAATTGCCAATCATTTGAGAAACAATACAAACCAGTAGAAAAAGGTTGATCAGAAATCCAGTATCTCTACGTTGGTTTTAAAAGTCGGTTGTGCCTGCTTTTTGGCTGGATTTACGACACGAGAAGAACGAATAACCCACCAAAATCTCCATCTCACCTAAAGCATTTACAGAAATCACCATACTCTATCCAGATTTTCTTCTCTTTTTTACACTCCTCCTTAACTTTATCTCCATCCTCTGTTTTTTCGCCTTCAGTTTTGTCCTCATTAACTTCTCCATCCGCACCATCGCCTGGACTCTTATCCCCGTCTGTAGCATCAGTGGGCAGATCAAGAACTGGGATGTCATCTTCACGAATGGTGTCAACTTTATGAGAAGATTCTCTTTCCAGTTCAACCTTCACTCCTTTTTCCATTCGCGACATACGCCTTGATTCAGGAGGTGCTAGAAAGGGCCAAATATTGTTCGATCAATTTAAGTTTCTGGGAAACTGTCCACCTACCCCTCCCCTAACTCAACGTTAACATTTGTGTCCCACTTGGGGTAAAATGTTGGGTTAGGGGAGGGGTAGGTGGGCAGTTTTCCACAAAACTAAATTAATCCATATTGTCCATAACTGTTGGATTTTTTCAACAATTTGGTGTTGATGGGCTAATCACGAATTCAATTATCGTAAAACAGCATAGACCAAAACTTATGTTCTACGTCTATTTTCGCCCCCCACCCCCCCTTCCAGATAATCGTGAATATAGCCGTCTCTCCTCGATCCTCGCCGCTGGGGACGTTTCGCGGGAGACACGTCTGCACCTCAACGACAGAAATGCCCTACTGATGACGTAAATCAATGTTTACATAATTAATCTGGTAGTCACGGGAATCCAAATGTAAATTTTTTCGAGGTAATGCGAACGAGCGTAGACATTTCGGTGCCCCTCCATCAAGTCCAGTCCAGTCCAAGTCTCTCCCCATATAGACCGCTAGCCTGCGTGGCAGACGTTTGAAAGGGAAGGGAAAGGGAGTTTTAGGCGCGAGAGAAACGCGAGGGGCGCGCGAGGAAGGAGGGAGGGAAACTCCTTCCCTCCTCGCTCGTTTCTCGCGTTTTGCGTTTCGCGTTTCTCCCTTTCCCCTCCCTTTCAAACACCTACCAGGCAGGCTGATCGACTGCGAGCGGTCGTGCTCTAAATCTCTGTGACTCAAAACAAAAAATATGAGACTGCTCGCAGTCTACTCCCCAGAGAAAAGAAACGCCACTCACTTTTAGTCAACAAGTCAGCACCTGGCTTCTCCATTCTTGACATTCTTCTTCCTTTCGGTGACGCTCCACCAGACTTGTTCCTTTCCGGTTTATCCACCACACTCAACTTGCTTCCTGATCTGCTCTTCTCTCCTTTCTCAGCACTCTTAGGAAGCTTCACGTCCTTCTCTCCTCGATCACTCTTTGCAGACTTGACTCTTTCTTTTGTCTTCAGAGATTCTTTAGTGCTGGATCGAGTTTGAAGGCTTTCACGGCTGTCTTTACTCTCTCTTAAGGATTCTCGTTCTTTTTCTTGGTCTGGTGGTTTGGTTTCTTCCCCTTCTGGTCTCGGACTCGGGGTCTTGGCTTTCTCGTCCTGGCGACAAAAACAACAATGTATTAAGACCCGATAACTGACAGATGCTAGCTAAAAATACAATGAACCAGGTAAAGGAAATCTGCTGCAAAATACATTTACCCTGTAACCCCCAAGAGTGATCAACATCAAAGTAAAGCAATAAATAGACAATAAAGCAGTCTTTTTTTTTTCCGACTAAATCTTAATGATTTCTACACTTACGTGGATAGCAGAAAAGAGCTAGAGCGAGAAATAAAAAACAAAGGAGACGAATTTCGTTGGAAGAACAACATGAAAATTTCATAGCGGCGGTGAGAAAATGAGAAATACTAGCGACCAGCAAGATGAAAATGAGCGGCAGTGAAGAAAAAAGCGAACAGGAACAAGGAACACAAGCAACAAAATTTTTTTGTGAGCACGTACGACATTTCCTCCATTAAAGGTGTAACTAGGAAGTTTAACGCTGTAGTCGAGCAACAACAACGGTAAAGAACAGCACAAAAAAGTGTAAGGCACGAGCAAAGTTATTTTTATAATAAATTAGACCTTCTGTAACTCAGTTACGAACAGAAATCAGATAACAAACTTTATAGGGAAAAAGACAAGACAAAAATGGAACATTTTACGTCTTTCTCTCTTTCATTCAGTTATGAATAGCCAAAGAACAGTACAGTGCTGTGTGTTAACACTGTCTTTTGACTATGATAGTAGTTTTTATGATATTGATCAAACCTCTTTTACAGCTGTAGAGTCTTCATTGATTCTTGCAGCAGCGTCAGTCCTGTCAGCTCCCTCATCACCCTCAACACCTTCCTTCTTCTCTCCCTCATCTTTGTCTCCTTCTTCTTGTATTTCACCCATTGGTTTCTCAGGGCGGAATTTCAGCCACCTTACAGGAGTCCTACATAAGGTTAAAGGAGTATTCAAATAACGTTGATGTATTTTTCACGAGATTATTATACCTTAGCCCATTCACTCCCTGAAGAGTGAATCGTGGAGCCGGTATTTTAAGGTGGTTCTGTCTGTGGATGAAATCCAATGGTGTTACCATTCAAATGAAACCTCTTCAGAAGTACTTTCAGAGACGGTGAGGTAACTCTCTCTCCATTTTTTTTTTTCTTCTCTGCTTTTCATTTTGTGCTGCTACCCACTATCTCAGTAGACTGCAAAACAGTCCGTATTTTTGCGTATTCAAGTACGCGCGAGCATGTGGAACGAGGCTGAGAACAGAGAGCGAGACTGGGGAGAGACGGTAAAAATACTCTTTTCTCTCGCGCGCGCGGTTCGCGCGCGTAAGACTCTTACGCCACGTTTTATCGATTTCTTTACTGATTTTTAGGAAAAAACCGACTGTTTTGCAGTGTACTATCTCAGTCTATTAAACTGGCCTTACATACCTTGCTCTGCTAACAGGGATGGGACTGACTTTGTGGTTCAGAAATGGAGAAACTACTTCCAAGAACTGAGGATCTTTAGGTGGTTCAGGAGGACTCAGTGCTGGCTCAACAGGCTGCTTCTTCTTTTTCTGACGGATGAGTTTCCACCGAGGAATCTGAACAGGGGGCGGAGGAGGGACTAGGGGACAGTCTCTAACAGTCGTCAGCATCACAGGGTGGGGGTGAATATGAGACAGCCCAGACTGGCGGAGTTTTTCAGATGCATCTGCCTGGAGGGAACACAGCAAAGATTACAGTAGAACCTCGATAACTCGAACTCGAATAACTCGAACTAAATTTCCATTCCCTTGATCAAAACTTCACTGAAATTGATCCCCATAACTCGAATTCCCTGCTAACTCGAACTGTTTTTCGTTTCCCTTCAGAGTTCGAGTTACCGGGATCCTGTTTCCCTTCAGATTTCGAGTTACCGGGATTCTACTGGATTTCATAAGACATTCTAAAACGTTAATGCTTACTGCTAGAGACTTGAACTTCTCCTGCTTGTACTAATGGACGGCAATTACAGATAAACTACCACTTACTTACTTGTAAAAATACATCCTTCCTACTAACAACAGACAGACATGGTACTAGGAAAAATACCTTAATTTCATTTACTTAAGAGATGCTGCCATTTTGACCTTCACACCACTTTTCTTGAAGGTCTATCACATCACCAGGGATGAGTTTAATTTATACATTTGCAAATCCATACTTTTTTTTCAAACAGCAACACACAAGGGTAGGGGGAGGTCTTATTTGTAATCTTACGTAATCAATTGAAGTGATGCCGAGACTTAATAACAGGTACATGTAGCATAGTCTAACCAGTTTATTCAGGACCCCAAAAGGTGGTAAAGTTGTGATGTGGACCTGTGATAGCACACTTCTGCAGATTCATTTTATGCACTAAGAATAGAGATAATTATCCCAGATTTAGGGGGCAGAGATGCCCCAGCGGCGGTACAGGGATGTAGATACGGAAAAACTGAGCAGACTTTTTTATCAGTCACTCAACTGCATCCTCAAAACTTCTCCATGTCTTCCTTTTCCAGAGCAATTTGATCCAATGGTAAGCTCTTTTTTAGCCGGCAGAGAAATAAGCCGGCAGCCGGCTCTAAGGGACATCCTTGGCAGCATAGAGTATTCGGTTTATTAAGTCACTCTCCACTTACCATTTCTTTGAGAACAGAATGTCTCATTGGCATATTGGGTGGATGTGAGTAGCTCGCAAAAATGACAAACTCAGGCTCCTTTGGAATTTCCACAGGATTTATAGCTGGGGTTCCTTAAACAACAACAAATAAATACGGTGAAATACAAAATTTTGGACATTCTAGGGAATTTAGTTTGGAAATTTGGGTGGTGAATACATTTCACATATTGTAAAACCATTAGGCGTAGACGAGAATGACTATGAGTACGTGATTTTTTCAATACCAAGTAGTGCTCATACGTGAACCAGGGTCACTTTGGCGGGAAATCCTGATAGTCGTCGCCATTTTACTACGAGTTTTAGCAAGAATGTTGTGGCGGCGGAATCAAGTTGCAAAAATAAATGTTAGAAGTTTTATCATTTTGCGACTGGAAGACGGCTTAACCTCCTTCAATAAAGACAACAGTGCTAACTCTTCTGGTGAATGAAAAGTACAGTGAAGCTTACTGGAGTGTCTAGTTTTGGAGAATAAGCGAAAAAACGTTCAGTCAAATCTCTTAATCGTAGTTGTTTTCGTTATCGAACCTAAAGGCCTCTACTATGAAAGAGCATTTGTCACGCACCTACACTTCCAAATTGCACGCACGCTGTATCTTTTCTATTAGTAAAATCCAACTAGTGGTCTATTATCAATGCTGCGTTCTGATTGGTTGAGCTACTACTAGGCTATATGTTATAGTCCACTAGTAGCGAAAAGCGCGGGCTTTTTGGCGGCAAAAAAGGATTAAAGTCTAGCTTTAAATGGCTAAAATTTTTTTATTCTCGATATTTTTGACCAACTAGTTGGATTTTACTAAAACAATTATTCCTCGCGCCCTCATGGCCTCTGAGTCAATAGCCCATTCGGCCTTCGGCCTCATGGGCAATTGACTCAGAGCCCATTCGAGCTCGAGGAATAATTGGTAAATAGTATTCATGTACCTTTGTCACCACCCTTGTCTCTATCTTTATCTCTGGCCTTGTTATCCTTGTCAGCTTTGTCTTGGCCTTGTGCTTTGTCTGACTTGGTGGATTTACGTTCTTTGTCTTTGTCATCTTTTCTCTTGCATTCTGTGTTTGATGGTTTCTTCTCTTCTGGAGGTGGGGTGTTCTCTAGCTTCCAACGTGGCAGCGCTTGGAGAAGAAGTTTCCATATTTCACCAGTATGACCACATCTAAAATAGGAGTTGAGACAGAAATGTACATGTATGTGATGTTTTTGGTGTTCTTCAAAACTGGGCATAGCTGACTAGCGCAGGGGGTTCATTAAGGTTTTGAACAGGAGGGCAACTGAGTTTGACACCCGGGCAAAGAATTGGTAAGGCCCGGAGGGCCTTGCCCTCTAGGGGGGTCCGGGGGCATGCTCCCCCGGAAAATTTTGAAATTCTATAGTCGTAAGGATGTGTTTTCCTGCATTTTGAAGCTGCAGACAATGACCTTCAACAACCAAAAAAAGATAACTTTTCTAGAAAATTTAATCATGATTTGATACCAATACCCACCACACAAATTGGACTTTTTGGTTTTCTTTTAATAGCTCTGCTCATTATAATCTTTACTCAAACTCACCGTCAGCATCTGAGCCGTAATCAACTTATCTTTAAAATTTCAATGACTAGACGGGAGGAGCACTGTTTTAACGTGAACGCACCGAAAATTAATTCATTGGCATAAACCATAAGACGAATAAAAATCACGCTTCGCTTCGTTGAACATGATGATATATACAGGCAAGTAAAAGGTTAAATCACAAAGAAGTCTACTCATCTCTTGGTCTTTTCTCTACTGGAGGCCCTTTGGTTGAAGCCGAAAAATAATACGCTATCGAACACGTTCTTTTCTGGGCCGCCATGCTCATGTGCTCGCAACACTGATACATTTCAGGTGGTCGTTTATGAAGCACAGTTCTTTTCGCAATGTGTTATGGGGCGATTCTTGTTTTTAACACACAAAGAACGAGGGGATTTCATGCCGCGTGTAATAAAGTGGAAATTGCACGGCAAAGTATGTTTTACACTCGATAAGACTCATCAAGAAATGGGCATGATTGTAACTTAAAACTGTTTTCGATCGTTCCTTGTATTAAAAAGAAGTTCTTTGAGATGTAAAGCAGCCGGGCAAAGTCGTGTTCACAGCCGGTCAATTTGCCCGGTGCCCGGCCCTTAATGAACCCCCTGCAGTAGCGGCATGTAAGTGCAGTGCTTACTTAGTGTGTCAATGCATGTGAATGCTACAGCTAACTCTCTCTAAGATGACACCTTTGGGACCGGCAGTAAGTTTCGTATAAAATTCAAATGAAAGGAGTAAACTAACTGGGCAATGCTGACAAGAGGCATGTACATTTAAGGGCAGAGCTCACTAACTGTACCTGTACGAATGCTACATACTGTACTTCTATCAAATTCAACAAAAAAAGTCCATTAAGAGGAGTACTAAAGAAAGGCAAGGATCAACTCTAGGATTCTGTGTTAAGGAGGTGTTTGTCTTATAAGAAGTCCATTAAAAGGAGTAAAGAAAGGCAGGGATCAACTCTAGTTTTCTGTGTTCCTGAGGTGTCCATCTTGTCCTTTAAGAGAGAGTTGACAGCATCAATTTTGGGAAAATAGAAATTGTGCCCACCTCGAAGGCAGTTAATAGTGCTTCCTCATTACGAAAAAAATAATATTAGAACGTCATCATTAGGGCCGTTTAAACGAGGAAAAATAAGACGCGTCTTACATAGGACGCGTCTTACATAGGATGCGTCCTAAGACTCAAACTATCCCATATAAACAGCACATTTCGCTTGAAATTTAGCTAAGATGCGTCTTATCCAAGAACAGCCCTAACACCTGTCCTCCAATAAGATGCAACTTTGCTAAGTCGCATCTTAATGTACCGTTTATACGGGATAGTTTGCGTCTTATTTGGGACGCGTCTAATGAGAGACGCGTCTTATTTTCCTCGTATAATGGCCCTATTGTTAATGCATTTTAGGGTCTAAGTTATCTTTCGGTTAGTCAGTACTTATAGTGTACAATAAAAGATTGTACAAGTATTAATTTTGCTGTATTGCATGACCCAATTTACCTTAGAGGGATAACTTCTGGTAACCATCCAGTTAGAGCATGTACAACAGTAAAGTCTCCAAACTCACAAGCATTATATCCACCAGCATAACTATAAAACGGAAGGAAAAAAGCATGAAGTAGTTTAATGGTGATAGAACAAGTACGGGGGACATCCATGGTTAGGTCTAAATATAACTACCGGTATGTAAAATTACAAAAATCTTGTTTGTTGTGTTTCATGTGAGAGCAAATCTGGTTAATGGTCCATAGACATTCTTGATGATTATCACGGTCAGATACTGGCTGAAGGGTTATAGCAAACAATAATGAAATGTACAGGAAACAACTGTTTATCAAGACTAATTACATATTGTTATGGAAGTGCCAACTCAAATGCATGCATGTATATGTTACAGGTCAAATTTGACTTCAGGTTAATTTTGATTTAACCCAGGTTGATTCTCAATTTCCTTTGTCTCCTAGCCCTAAGAGAAAAAGAAAATTGAGAATCAAACTAGGTTGAAAAAATCTTACCTAAAATCAAATTTGACCTGTAACATAATATCTATATAAGCCACGCATGCATGCATGCCCTTTTTTAGGTCTTCGTTTTCTAGACACCCGCCATGCACATATTATTTCATTATTGTGATTCTACCAAGCTAGCGCATGTCTTCCCAACAAATAAAACATTTCTCGCTTATAATTACATTGGTATGGTCTAAGCAATCAAGACCATGACCACAAAACCTCAAAAGAGTTCTGTATATTAGTGAGACTAAAAATCTGCTGATAGTTTAACTTCAAGGATAAGTATTAGCATTAAACTTACTCTAAAGAAGCTACTTTTATAAGAGCCTTTGAGAGAAGCATGGGCCAGAGTTCATGTTCATTTGGTGTGGCTGGTAACAAAAGATTTCCTTCGTCATCAAATGGCATCCAGTCATCAACTGTTACTTTCCGCCAGGTACCCTAATATTAAAAGAGAATTAACAAATAACAACAATTTCAAACATCTTGCACTTAACGCCTTTTCAGCTTTCCTTTGCCTTTTCAGTTAAGACTTTATAATCTTTTCTAACACTTTATTTATTTCTGCTCTCATAATTTTCTCACCATCCAAAAGATCCTGACACAATATTTTCCTCCTGGATTATAAACAGGAAGAGGAGATCCTTTTGTTTTCTCTTTAGGCCATATGTGACCCCATGGTTTCCACGTGTTGTCTTCGACCAGAGCATCTTTATCCTTGTCCTTGTCTTTGTCCTTATCTTTTTCTTTATCTTTATCTCCTTTGTTGCTCTCCTTTGCATCTTTAGTATTTTTTACTTCCATGGGTTCCACTTTGAAGTGTTGTTTCCAAAGACAAGTAACCTGGCCAATAATCCATCGGAGTAGCTGCCACAACAACAGTAAAATAATTAATTCATCGCAATGTGAGGTTTACAATATTGGATTGCACATGGACCCTGTTGGCCTGCAAACTTGTTGGATGGCCCATAAATATTTCTATGCATTTAAATAAATATGTTGATTTCCACTAAAACAACAACCAGCAACAAACTTGGCATGACGTTTTTTCTAAGTAACAGAATCAAATTATTTTTGGAAATCTGCATACATATACATGTAGTTATACTTTTGTGGGCATTTTGAAGCATAAGCCAAAATTAATAAGTATATGCACACAACATGCATAGATTTAAAATGCTATTGGCAATTGTACACAATAAATGGTTTTGACTAGTATTAAAATGATTGAACCAAAAACTATTTTAATATTATTTCTTGTGTTTTTCAGATTGGAGAATTCTGTTATACCGATAGTTATGATTAATTGGTAACACAACTTCATGTTGTCTAATTCTGTCTGTAATCACATGTAATTTTAACAAATTCAACTCTGCTGATTACTGATAATTTTATTCTTAATGACATGTATTCAGCGTACATATGATTATGGGCCAAAGTGAAATTCACTTGTTCAGATTAATAATTATTGTCTAAATTGTTACAAGAAAGGTACTAACCTCACTGTGTGTCAGGTGATCATTTGCAGAAAGTAGATCTATTCCTTCACTCAAGCTTTTTGGATCAACTACCACTGGAGCCTCCATGAAAAGAAAAGCACAAAATAACACTGACCATAAAAATAATTATAAAAGTGTCACTAACCCTTTCTTTCCTAATAATAAGGCTCAGTGTAATTTTTAGGTGACATTTAAGACTCGTCTAAGCTCAAGGTACAAAGAAAGTCAGTTTTACAGCCTGCCATGTAGGCAAGCTGTAGCTAGCATGTACTATAGCCCACAAGTCATTTCAACCAGCCCTCAAAGCCCTTTTTGATTAGCAGAATTGATTACAATCCTTTTGTAGTTTGAATTTGCCCAAAAACAGTACTTGCCCGTCGGGCAAGTTAAGAACAAAAATCACCAGCCCAATAGCAAAATCCACTAGCCCTGGGCTATTGGACACGACTTTCTTTGTACACCGTAAGCTGTGTTGGGCTGATTTCTTTCCCATCCCTCCCTCCCTCTTAGTTAAGTGCATGTACTGTGTTTTATTTCTACTGATCTATTTGATCTAATATCTCTCGAAATAAATACTGCAGTGCAATAAAAAGGGGAATTCATTTATAAGGCTACACCATAGGATTTCACCTGGACACTAATATTTTCTACATTGGATACCAGTTCAGGGAGCTGCTTTTAAAGTTTAAGCCAGTAAGTTTATCAGAGTGCCGAAAAGCATATCTTTTCATAAAGTGTAGTATGCAAATACAGTACAGCGGTTCTGTAAAATGGCAGCAGCACCTAATTCAAATTGTACCTTTTCATATATAAACTCAACAGGCCTCTTCCAGTGATCCACTTGGGATCTGAATGAAGCTGGTAAATCTATCCTCCCTTCAGGGTCTTCATAAGGATGCTGTAGAAAACAACGTATCTTTGATGTAACACTCTCTACACAGTAAAAGACTTACATATGTCGGTCAGTTTAAAACATTGAGCTCCTTGGTAATTTTGTTGGTGTCTTTGAGGCCTACATGTAAAAACATGTAGATGTATGACTCCAAGTGTAACTAAGTGTTTAACCTGATAGTGGACATCCTTATGGATAGCCATGTTATGGTAAATTGACAGCTGTCAAAAAGAGTATCCGCTGACCAGTGTCACCTCACTGCATCACAGGCTCAAGTGCACAACTCCCTGAGGTGATGTTCTTTTAAAGGTATCTGCTGACTAGTTGCTGGTTTTAATTTATCACATGCCCAGGTCCATAATGAAATGACCATATAATAAACAACCTTTTAAACTCATCCATTCGGTCATTAAAGAGAAATCTCAGACCTCGGCCTTGATGTATTCAACAAGGCCTTGGTCTGAGATTTCCCTGTAATGACCTCACTCTTGGTTAATAAGTAGTATGTAATAACTGAAATGTACTCACCGGGTTTGGACTTTTACCCTTTTCTTTTTCTTTGGCTTTGTGTGTTGTGTCCTACCAAAACACAAAATTGTCAACATTCAAATGTAATCTAATGTATCGTATCACAAATAGCTCTTTTTAAAAACATTTTCCAAGCTGCTGGAGGTTTGTAGATAATTCCAGTCTTGATATTCTACTTTGGTATATGCAAAGTTAAATATTTGTCAGAGTTCTTAGTATTTATGGGTATTTTTGTGAAGAACTCCTCACAACTGTCTGTTGGTTATCATACAGTCGGTGACAGCTAATATAACACATTTTACCTCGTGCACTCAGTAGACATCAAAGACATTTGGCTCTCACAATCAGCCATGAGTTGTAATCTTCACAAAAAATTACTTAAATTAGCAGTAAGCATTGTGCAGGAAGGTGGGGGGAGTCTTACCCATTTTTCCTGTGCTATATCCTGCTCTGTCCACTCAGGCCATATGACAATTGGCTGTTTTGCTTTCTTGGCCTTATCATCTTTTTCATTTAATGATCCCACAACACTGGGTGCCACAGACTGCCTGTAAAAATAGTAATAATTCAATGAATAAGTTCAAACTACCCATATTTTGTTGCAAGATGCCAGAGAGAAATATTAAATATCATTTTTCATTTGACCATGGTCCCAGTTATAATGGCATAGCATCATCTTTAGATGCATTTTACTTGCATGAAACACACATCTGCAACTTGCTGACTGTGAAGCAAACCAAACACGCATATTTTCTTTCATAGAACTACCTTGTACATATACATACAGATGTGGTGTATACAATACATACTTTATCTCTATTGGGGATGTTATTTTGCTTCTAGCTAGCTAACATCAAATTTTACAATTTTGTTGGAGACTGATACAGAATAAAATTGATTAAGTTTTTCGGTCAACAGGACAGAATTTAACAAAAAGATAACTTTTAACTCACTTTCTTGTTCTAGTATTGCTAGGACTAAGAAGACTACTCATTCTGCAACTGAAGAAATTCTGGCAACATTTAGTCTTGCCTAATGTGCATCAAACCTTGTACAAATCTATATAGCAGCTGATACAACAGGAACACTTGATCAACTGAATATTTATTTGATTTACAAAAGAATATCTTAGCAACTCAAGCATCCAAATATTAATTTTAATAAAATGTTTGCAGACAGTCTGAAGATCAATTTGCATATGACAGTACAAAATCTTAATAGCAGAACAAGTATATGAACATCAACAAAGAAACAGAAAAGAGGCCATCGACTTATCAACGAATGAACAATACTTTGTTTGCTACTGCTTAGCATATAGCATGCTTATAAACAGGGGTAAGACTGTATCTGCATTATTGTTTTTTCTAGTTATTTGAAAGAGATATAGTGGCACACAATGAACACTGTACTGTGATCAGATTAACAGAAATGAACATGTCAGAATCCTGTGTAGCTAAGATAGGACCAGATTATTGTATGACATGAAAATATTAGCAAACTACCCGGCAAATCTACAGAGAAAGAAGCAGTGTCGCAACAAAGCAATAATTGGCAAAAAAAAAACTAAGTTAACCTTAGGTTCATTTATTAAAGTGAGGGTGAATAAAAAACGTGGCCACAAAAAATGAATGGATCAACACCTTCACAAAAACATGGACTGCTTAAACTGCTTGAATTAAGAGCAATCAAATTGATGCCATCATACATATAACAGATGCAGCTGATAAATGGAGGTTTTAACAAGCATACATATGGGCTGGTATACCCACAGTAGGAAAACATTTTGTGCTTATTGTGTGACAAGGTGTCGTGGCCACTATACTGTACATGTATAAAAAGGTATGGCTGACTCTATTTTTAATTTTATTGGCAGATTCCTGTAGATTATTATTAGCTAGACTGTTGAGTCAGTACATGTGTATCAGTCTAGTGTGTAGAAGCCAGTAAAAGTAACATATTTTTCATTTCTAACTTTCAGCTGGGGTCATAACCTTAAAAGGTTTTCATTTTAATAACTCATGTCTCTGACATTTTGAGGGTTGAAGGCCCAGATGCACAAGTTCACAAGTTTGAGCAATGTTAGATAATTTTTGAGAATCAAGCTGTAACTTACATTTGTAAAGCAGGTTTGATTTGTGTTATGCACTTCAGATTATTTTTCTACCTTAAATACACGTTTCTTTCTGCTGGATTTGATATTATGACCAGAATCCTCTTGGTCAATTTAGGCTATTAAGGAGAGAAATAATATTGCCATATAACTAGTTTAATTAAAAGTTATTGTTTAACTCTGCATGGGTCCCGGGATTATAACTTTTGTTTGGAAAAAGTGATACAAGAATAGTACGCAAAAATATCACCAGGAGATTGCATCACCTTCAAAAAAAGATCAAATTATTATGTCAGTCACAACGAACATACTTATAAGGAAAACAATGTTGCACACATGTACATGTACCTATTTTCTATGGGAATAACATTTGCAAGTTATTAAACAAGTGATTGGAACATTAACATCATGAGAATAACCTACACACCCTAAAAGGGATAATGTGTTATGTGTACAGATCAAAGTCATGCAGATTTTGGACCCGGGCAGATGCACTCGCTTAAAATATGAAACTTCGGTAGTAATTTTACAAGGGCTCTATATATGACTATTATTCTTTTCACATATTTTGGAAGTTTTATCTGTTTTATGAGAGGTACAGCTGTATATCAACTATATTATGAATTAGTCTTATTTTGCACACACATTGACTGCAGGAGTGTTATTGAAAACAATATACCAAAATTGACTTGTCAACTTGTCCAAAAAATAAATAGTCAGTAAATAACAATAATAAATACAACATGTAAATAGATCATGTTTTCCATGCATCTGGTTGTTCTACTAATTTCTTCCTTTTTGAATTTTGTCATTAAATAATACTGAATAAAAGATACTACGGGTGACCGCACAATAACAAATATGGTAAATTCACTTCCTTGATATGAGCAACACTAGAAATTTCTATAGCACAGGTATTTGAGTCATCTTCATGTATCTGACCTTGTGGCCTCTATTTTCGGGGCAATACACTGAAAAGGTGGCTGGTATTTGTATACATGTATATGGCTTAAATTTAATTTTTGAAACTTATGAAAATTATACTAGCTCAGGTACACATATTTACATAAAAATTATTGTTTCTGCTCTGCATTGCAACTAATCCTAGGGTAAACAATACTGGCATTGATATGACTAATCCATTGTATTCTCAGAAAGCAAGATAGCTCGTGGAAATAAATTAGCTGTCAGTTTTGACATGAAAGCTAAATTGAAATATTTCAAGCAAATATTTTATATAATTCCATCAGGAATTCAAAGCCTGGTGCAAGCAGGCCTGTCAAATAGATATTTTTCAGTATGTTAATAATATCTGGCAGATGGAATGTTTCGTTTTAAATTTGTAGTAACATTTTCTGTACCATAATGTTGCATGTTAAGGAGAGGGTGTTAATATTGACATGTATATAAATTATTGCATACAATAACACTCTTTTCTCTGTCTCTCTCCCCTTCTTTCTAATTGTATTAGAAATTTGAAAACTTATCATAGGGTTTAGGGAATTAAACCAAGGCTATCAGTGCCCTAGGGTAACCTTTACAAAGATTACTTATAAACACACAAATTAAGGTCCAAACTCAAGGATTAATCCACCTAAATAACCAGAGATAATATTTTCATCAATAAACACGAAATGAATTTACCTTTCGCACGTGAAACTGTATTAGAATTTACATCATTAGATACAAACTGAAAATTAAAGCAACTTGCCTAAATTTGGCGGAAGACACGGTTGCAAGACGGAGGTCTTTCCAAGCTCCCTGTTTGGACATCGTACCCGCGGTTTTGGCGATTGAGTGAAATATTAACTTTTGTTGATTAAAGCGTAGCTCCAATGCACATTATACTCACGTTACCGTTTGTTTGCAAGCCCAATCACTAAATTGTCATCTCTTGGCAGAACACAAGTGTCAAATTCACTTAGGGTCATTAAAAAATAAACTGTGGTCCTTTTGTGTAATATCATTTTAGATTATTGTTATGGAAACCGGCTCGCTTGGAGAACTTTATACCTTATCCACTCAGTAAATGGGAATCTCGACCGCAACCTATAATTAGTAGAGAACGTCACAAAACGATGAAAGACTATTGTATGGTCTGATATTCCATGAAAGACTTATGAAAGATACCATACACTAAACCTGTGAGTGCTTTCTCCTTGATGAGAAATAACTGTTCGATCTTTACTGGAAGCGCTGGTTAAATTTCTGTTGCAATGATCAAGCATGGTGGAGTGCTGGCAGCAAACTACACTTGAGCATAATTTGTCGTCCTTAATTTAAAATGTTATCAAAACATAATAAATAAGGCCATCGCGTTTTTCATCTATTGTAGTAAAATGAGAGCTCATAATGAACTTTAAAAGCTTAAGAAGCTATCAAGGATCTCTATACTTTTAGCTGCCTCTTAAACAATTTTGACTGTCTGATCAGTGAGCTGGCCAGAGGATCATGTCGCAGATAGTGCAAAGGTTTTTCACTCAACTAAGACTTCCTCATTTCTTAAAAATATCTACGGCATATCAGCCGATTTATCAATTTGGAAATAATCGTTTTTCATCGACATAAAATGGACACCATCGAATTTCCTTCATGGCTGCTAGTTGTCTGCAGTCTACAAGTAAGCCTGTTTGTGCGCGAATTTCCTTATTATGGATATGAATGAAATTTAACTTCACTCACTCTGGTATAGTTCTAGCTGCGGAAGCAACCCTTTCTTTAGATTCTTTCTTCTTCATCGCCTTGGAAGCCATATTTGTCAAATTTCAAAGATTTTCAAGACAAAGCTCGATCGCTAATCTTTGACAAAGCAAAGCAAAGTGTGTTGTCACGTCAACCAAGTTGCTCGTGCCAGTACTCCACGGGTAGGTTCCCCCGCGAAAATCAATTCCAAGCCCGGGAAATGGAACAACCAGGGACATTAGAGAATTTAACAAACATTAGATTCAAGTTAAGAATTTCTCAGAACAGGAAATAAGCAGATAAAAACAGCTCAAAACAATTCTTATGGATAAAAAATTGCGTGAAACTTCTAATTTATGTTGGACTCCTGGTTGAAATAATGAACTGTAAACGACAAGTAATGGGGAAACTTGGTCACGTGGTACAAATTCGCGTTTGCCCTTTGACGTAAACTTGATGCCCTCTCTATTGCTCGATTGACGTAACCAACCAGCATTCCATTTTAAAACGCTTCGACCGAAATTTTTATTTCTCCTCAGCGAAGTGGAACTGATTGGTGGATTGGTCGGGCGAAGGCAAGCAGGTTCATACAAAAACCTGCAAATGCCACACACCGGGAACAAAACAATAATCATACTTTCTAACAAATTATCAGAACATTGTTAACCTCACAAATGAAACTCAACGGGAAGAGAATGAAAGAAGAATAAAAATAAATTTCATTATAATATACATTTATTACTTACAGTAATTTCCAAGTGGGCGATAGGCCACCAGATCCTACAGATGAGCTGTGTTTTTTCCATTGCGTTAAACGACTTTTTAAGAGGTTCTTCCTTGAAAGTTCAGATTGCAAGTTACTCAACGAGGGAGTCGCTCTTGGTGACACGGACGCGCGAGGGCTGGACGGAGCTACCGGCCACTCCATGCTGATTACAGTTAACTACTCATGGAAAGTAAAACCATACGGACGGTTTATTCCTGTTTGTCTCTTTTAAGAAGCATTAGAAGAGACACTCCGCATTACAGCAACTAAAAGAACACAAAAGCAGCATGCATTTACAATTAATACAACCTCATAGCCAACCTCGGGCGCGTCCCCAGAGCTTCTCCGGAAAAGCAGTTCAGCAGTTCAGTACCATGCATACAAGTGTATGGAGGTCCCCTTATTAACCTGAGAAGCAGGCGCATGAAAGTAATATGGGCGCAAACAACGAGACACGCGAGGTATACACGCGTGTCTCCCTCGCACGCCCCGTTCTTTCTTGCGCCTAGGTATCACAATTACCTTCATGCACCTGCTACGCAGGTAACCCCTTACCTAAATGATGTAGGTAATACCATGTACTCACGTGGGAATACTAAAATAAAGTTGTTGTTGTTGTTGTATCACCAATTAGTACTTTCGTGCTAAATACATGGACACTCTAATAAAGAGCATTTTCTTTTTTTTTTTTGAACAGAGAGTCGCGGTGTAAACAGAGGACTAGCTGGCCGTGACCAAACTCAAAACTGACGCGTTCCGAACTAAAATGTGTTTTTCCAAACTGCAAAATTCTATCAAAAAAGCATAATTTCACCCGGTATAAAACGTAATTTTCGTCAGAAACTTGTATTGGTCGTCTGAGACGTTAAAGTCGTCTTAAGACGGCTTTAACGTCTACAATATAAAAACGTTAAATAAGACAGACTGCAGTTAAGTGCGTTCGAACGACGCACTTAACAGACGACTTTAACGTCTCAGACGTTAAAAGAGTCTAGACGACTTTAACGTCTCTAGCATAAAAACGGCCATTCTTATCCTTTCTTAACAGCTTCATAAAAACTCCAGTAAAGTAATTCCAACGGAAATTCTGTATCTTGCTTCAATGTCTTGAAATCGGAACTTCGATGCTAAAATTTAAAATTCTGCACAGCCTTAATTTCCGTAAATCCTGGACTACAACAAATAAATAATCTATGTCTGCATCTACTGCTATGGACTGTATACCGGAGCACCTGATATTGCCATGAACCAGTTTTCGGAAGACAAGGTTGATTGACACGTTATCTGAGTTAAAATTGTCTTTAGAATAATTATTTTCGAGCTGAGCAACAGAGACTTCCGGAGCCGTTTATTGTTTTAGTTAAAAACCAGGCAGTCGCTTCCATTAACTCTAAGCTACATGCATGAACAATACTTATCGTATTTCAGTGAAGAGAATTTCTTTCTTACCTTGATTTTTAGCTTCTTTTGGATAGCCTGTAGGACTGACATGAAATATACAGACATCAACGCACTTCAAACCTGCTTTGCAGCTAATTAAAATTCAACTTTGAAGAAGATTTTGTTTGTGCTAACGTTTCTTTCCAGATGTCGGATCTGACATACTGACACCTGCTATAGGATGGATATGTAAATTAATCAGATGAATCCCAGGATGAACGAAAGAGGCAAATGTGGGCATTTTGTTCCTTTCTTTTATAAGTGGAGAAAATTAAAGAACAAAGGAAATCAGTTCCATTATTTCCTCGTTAATTAGCAGAGGATCTGAATAGGGTTTTGTTTTAAGCGATATTTGCCCGTGCCCATAATATTTAGTGTTTGCTGTTAAATTGGCTTATTTTTTAAATATTTACTGTTCCGAGGAAAACACGGGTGGGTTTAAAGGGTTTTTCGTGAAAACTCATAGTCTTAGGATCGTCAATTCTTATCTGCTCTTGGTAAAAGTCGACAATAAAATCACTCATGACTTTGAGCCTGTGCTCAAAAGTGCTAGGGCCGAGCAGTCTTTGGACATCTTCGGTAGTGTTCGGAAATCTTTTGAAATAATTGGGAATTGTCGGAAAATGGCCGAAACTCCTTGAACTCCTTGATATACAATAATAGTAATAATCTGGACTTTTTGGAGCCGTTTTTGTTTCTTTCTGGAAAAAAAAATACTGTTAGAGTGAAATTTTTACTGTCAGTGTTAAAATGCCCAAAATTAAACGGTTTCATGTTGAAAGCCAAAACAAGTGTTAAGTATTATCAAGAAGGTACCCCAATTCAGACCCTCTCAGCACTTTGTGTACCAGTTAGTGTCCTCCGTAGCGATAATCCGCTGTAATAGCGGAAGTTTATGTCAGTCAAACATCTGTAATTTGTTTTTCCCTGGGATTTAGCTCCTGTCCATATTATCGGGGTGTCTGTTATAGCGGGGTGTCCTTAAGGCTAGAGTTGGCTGTAATGTGAACTCAGCCCTTTTTTAGGTACCCAAGCTAGAATTCCGGAAATGTGCTGGCCTGTTCCAGGTGTTCAGATCGTGGGGACTGCGCAAAGAGATGTGAGCAGAAGAAAGAAAAAAAAAGCGATGGGGTGAGACAGGGGGTGAAAACAAAGGAACGCCGCTCCCTCCTCTCTCCCTCTCCCTCTCTTCCTTCTTATTTTTTCCTCGCTCTCTGACCGAGCCTGACGTCGCGCCGCGCTCCACTATCTGAACGCCTGGAACAGGTTACAACGGTGCCTGTGCCTGAATCAAGGTCGAGACTTGTTCTCGCGCACAATAGTGAGGCACCAGGTCCCTGTGTACATACCGTTTTTGTTAGTTCTGTGGCATTCCACTGCTTTGTGCTCGCTACTAACCTCATGTTTCAAACGGCATCTGACAGGGCTACATGGAGTAACTATGTACAGACAGTACACAGTCACCTGTCGGGTACTCAAGGTGTGAATTAAACACAATTTTATACTAATACCCAGGCACTGATTCCCGAGCACCGAGTGTGGACAGAGCGTGAAAATGAATACCGGGGTCAGGGAACCTAGTAGACCTAGTAATCTCGTACCCAGATCTCCCACGGCCAAGGGAAAAAAAACAGAGTGAGATCTGGGTATGAGATTAGGAACCTAGTGCCCGCTTTAGTGCCCACTACTGTTCCTGAGTACAAGTTTTCCTTGAACTCAAGCACCGTCCCCGCGGCTGAATTCTGGCTTTGGGACTAGAAAAGAGTTTATTGTCCTCACAACTCTCAAAACAGCGACAAGCGCAGAGTATTGTTAGCTATACCGTATTCATTCGAATAAGCGCCCAACCTCGAATTAGCGCCCACCTCGAATAAGCGCCCATCCTAAACGTAGAAAGAGTTAATAAGCGCGCAGCCTCGAATAAGCGCCCGCCCTCTCCCCCTTCCACTCAAACTCAAATAAGCGCCCACAACCAAAACCTGCCCCCCTTCCCCCTCCCACCCAGCAAAACTGAATAAGTACTAAAAAGAGACTTCCCCGAAGACGGAGTTTTCTTGAGAGAATTTTACAGCAACCTTGCTTTGTTACATCTTCGCGTTTTGGTATTACCATTTACTGATTTGTTGCAAAATAAACATACTACACTTGCTGAAAACAGTGAAAATTTGATAAGCGCCTACTCTCAAGGTCCAAAAAATTTAATAAGCGCCCAGGGCGGTTAATCGAATAAATACGGTACTCGGGTACTTTGCCGGGGCTCCAAGCGAGAACATAGCTTTAGATGCTATTCTCAGTACCGGAAAAAAGGAAAAACTACTTTTGAAGAAAATTTTAGGGCAAAGAGTCAGCAAGTTAAATTAACGAAATGCAGACAAGTCAGAGAGAAAAGGGCATGTATCAAACGCATATTGTGACTTGTAAATTGAAATACTTTAAAGTGATACGTGTTTTTCCTTTATGTTTTGTCGCCTTTGTTTCATTTGTAACAATAAAAAATAACACAAATAATGAAAAATACATTTAAAAAAAATTGGGGGGTCACATCGGAGTTTGGTGGGAAAACAGAGTTAAGAGGTCTAATTTTAAATTTTGAGTTTCCAAACCTACCAGGGTAATCTAATTTAATCTAATTTTTTGGTGTAATAATGAGCCTATTAACTCGATATACGATACTTAACAATTATTCCTCGAGCCCGAATGGGCTCTGAGCCAATAGCCCATGAGGCCGAAGGCCAAAGGCTGAATGGGCTATTGACTCAGAGGCCATGAGGGCGAGAGGGATAATTGTTTTAGTAAAATCCAACTAGTTGGTCAAAACTATCGAGATATAAAAAAAAGTTTAGCTAGTTAAAGCTAGACTTTAATCTTTTTTTGCCGCCAAAAAGCCCGCGCTTTTCGCTACTAGTGGGCTATATAAACATCTAGCCTAGTAGTAGCTCAACCAATCAGAACGCAGCATTGATAATAGACCACTAGTTGGATTTTACTAAAAGAGGATATTTGTCGTTCCATTTCCCGATTTGCAGGTATTTTTTTTCTGTAATCACCAAACAACGCTTCGGCTACCACTTGAACGTTAAATGGGCGATCCATTATCAGCCATTATGGCTTCAGTTAGCCTGTAGTGCAGGCGTATTCTGGGTAGGCGAAAGCTTGTTCATGTTGGCATTGTTGTAGCCCCGTCTTTGATTTTTTGACAGAGGAAGATTGGGGAGAGTAGAAAAGGTAATCCTTAGGGTAGGTTCGAGGGCGAGAAAAGGAAACGGGGGAGGGGGAGGGTCCCTTTGACTCGCCCCATTTCCTCCTCTCTTCAGGAGTTTCATCGCGAGCAAAAACATTCGCGCGCCCGAAGAAAACGCCTGCAGTGCAGGCTAGGCTTCAGTAAAACAACCGCTCAGGGGTAGAGGTTAATTGCTTTTTTTGTTTCCGGCTTTCTGTTGTTTTCGTTCGATAAGAAAAAATAAGTGAAAATTAAAGAAAGCAAAACAAAAGGAAATTGGACCCCTACCTAGTTTTTTCGCTGTTATAGTTGTTATGATAAAATTAAAGCAGATGCATTTTCCGTGAATGAGAATAATCTTTTAAACTATATCAGGCTCCTTGCTCTTTTCCATGTGTCACCGTCGTGTGATTTAAGTTACATATTTTTTCTATATTTTGTTACGAATGTAACAAATTAAATTGAAATTTCCGAAAGAGTAAAGATCAAACGAAATGGAAACGCTATAAATCTTTCTTCCACCCACCAGAAGCTAGATGAATGAAGTTGTGTTGTTATTGGTAATTTTACCATTCCGTACATGGCAATGAATCATTTTGTGCTCTATAGGAAGATATTGGAAACCATTTGGAGTTATGGATTATTTCGAGAGCCGAACGGATACCATGGTTACCAGCCTGAAAAATCAATTGATTTACGATCAGGGGTGTGTCTTCCGTGCCAATTATGCAACTTTGTGTGGCTGCAGTCACGTTATTAGAGGCCGTGTCACCCCTTGTCAGGGTCGCTGCTTAACCCCTAGAGCCCTTGACATTACGGAGGCTGTAACAATGGTCAAAGCAATCACTCTCGTGTTATTTTCTGTATCTGTATTATCTTTGGCCCAAGGATTTTCGCTCACTATTTTACACACTAACGATAACCACGCGCGGTTTGAAGAAACAAACGTCCGCGGCTTCCTATGCAATCCCAGCGACGCTCAAGCGGGCGAGTGTTATGGAGGAATGGCTCGCAAAGCAACGATGATCAAAAAAATTCGATCAGAGACGAAAAATGTGCTGCTAATTTCTGGCGGAGATGTTTTAACCGGAACAATATGGTACCGAGTTTACCGCGGTAATGCTACGAGATTTTTCATGAACGAACTTGGGTATGATATCATGGTGAGTAAATCGAGTACCTCAGCTTAACAAGGGATATGTTTTTATCCCTTGGTAGAAAAACGGTAACTTGTAGTTCAGGTTTTTCAGCTAATGCAGAGAGTTTGCTCCTCTACAGGAAATAGTTTATTGTTCAGCTAGTGAAGACCGTCTACTTCTTTACAGGATAAAGGTTTTTTTTTTATATTCAGGTTTTGGCTGCCTAAACTTCACATAAAGCGCACTGTGGTACAACGCCCGACATTCGAGCTTAAAGAATCGTTAGTACATCGGCTCTCCTTGATGTTACGAAATTCAATCGTGATCGCGTGATGTCGTGAATCGTTTCTCTCCTGATCGTGTATGTAAACCATGTATACTGTCAGTCGAAGTAACACTCGATTTCAATCATATTACAAGTATCCAACAGAGAATTTAGATTCGAGACAAACAAGTGCGAGAGCCTTTGCGTGTCACCAGCTAATATTGATAAGAATAGATATGTCAGATATTCACGTCAGATATTGTTTCCTTCGTTTTAACTCCGTGAAGTAAAGTTGTAATGAATTTGTAGCATTGGGAAAGTTACCTCTGTAAATGTAAACTTTTCATACCTTCCCAAGAGAATTGCTGTGCCATGTATTGGAGTAAATCTACAAAATATTCGCAGACTCCTTACCACGAAATAAGGGCTCAGTACGCAGAACCTTCACACTTGATTTTTTTGTCGGAGTTGATGTAAAAGATTCTTCACAATCAGTCGGACCAACAACGGGTCCCGCGAGGGGAGGGGGGTACTTAGCAGAATTTTATACAGGGAGGCTCCGCACCGAGGTCTGACCCCTTATACCCTTTATATGCCATTTTTGACAGAAGAGTACCCCTGTTGACAAAAGGTGTCCCTTTCACATACCTAGTTTAGAATTTTACATTCCTCTTAACTGCTGTAAATGCACTATTTTTTAAACAGAATATGAATAAATTACAAAAACAGAACGTTTTTTCCACTTTTTCATAACCACAAAATGCATAGCCCCGGCCCTTTAGGCCTTTTAACCGACCGAAATGATAGATTTCCTTACCCTTTCATACACTTCATCAAGTGAAATCCCTACCCCTTTCGGGCGGACCCTCCCTCCCCTCCGGCAACGAGTCACTGCTGTACTTTTTCACAGTTTGTTGCATAAATAATTTATTTACATAGCTTTCGTCAATCACCACTGCACTCTTACTGATTTCACAATTACGTAAACAACTGCTTTGAATTCCCTCCGTGACATAAATTGTCAACATTCAAGAGGCCAGAAAAACATGAACACAAACACAAACACAGCCCTGACGATAACGTATTACGTTCAGCTGTACGTTTATACGTTAATACGGGCTTATTCTATTCTGCGAAACGGAACGAAACGAAATGAAAGATATGGTGGATAGAGAAAAAATGCTTATTATCCTAAACAAAGTTTAAGACAACATTGACAACGTGTTTGGAAGTAATCGTTCACGAATAATGACGGATTTTTACCTTTTTCGCAAAGTAAAAATTTCACTAGAATTACTATCTTGATAAATGGCGTTTTTTTACCGGAATTGACAGCGTGGAATCCAAAATCCAAGACCCTGAAGACCGTCTTGAATAACCCTACATGGGGCGATAGAATTAACAGCTGTCTCAGTTTTTAATTCTTTTCTCGACAGACCCTTGGAAATCACGAGTTTGATGACGGCGTTCAGAACTTGGTGTCCTTCATCAGCCATCTGAATTTCCCAGTTGTGGCCTCAAATCTTAACTTCACCCAGGAACCATTGTTGTCCAGCACACCTCCCCTGATAGTCACTTCCAAAGTTCTTAATGTTAGCGGCGAGAGAATTGGCTTTGTGGGATATGTAAAAAGGGGATCGACACTGTAAGTTAATAAGGCACCACACTTTTGCTTGTTTTTAAGAAATGGACAACAACTTTAAGTTTAAAACAAGACATGTTTCGATCGTTCAACGATCACCTTCAGTTGTGAATTCGTTTGCAATTAATACAAGTAATGACGTATGAGTTAAAACGTGATACAATTCAAAATTTCGAAAAAATTAACGTACAGTTTTAAGATGCGCGAGACATGGAATAACACTTGCGCGAGCACTACACTTAATACAAGGAAGAAAATTGTAAAAATTGAAATAATTACAATGGTTATAACACAAAATGTTATGAGAACAAAAATATATATATACATATATATAAAATAAACTTAAAGAATAATATCAGAACGAGAGAGTTAAGTCAGCATGTTTCAGCTGTTTATTTAAAGTGGGATTCTCCCATTTGATGTGCATTGCCTCCTTCAACATAAGTTGTAGTTTGTTGGGTGCACAATCCACGATGGAAAAGCAGTTCTTATTAGCTAGACAACGACATGCCTGGGATTGCTGCAAATGCTGATAAACGTATGAGTTCCTATCCCTGCTTAGATGCTCACGAACGCACGTCTTTTGCTTGTGTTTTCACATACATTTTGAGCTAAAAAATTCCCTCTTCCTTCAATGTTGGTTATTTAGACCTGGTCCTGGACCTAATATCAAATTCCTGAATGAGGTAGAGTCAGTGAGGAAAGCTGTAGAAGAACTCAAGCGACAGAACATCAACAAGATTATTGCCATCGGTCACTCAGGCATCGACATCGACCAAAAAGTAGCCAAAGAAGTTGATGGAGTGGATATCGTGGTAGGAGGTCACGAACACGCCTTACTTTACACAGGTAAACAACTGTCCTTAACCATGCTTTACCTGTATCCCTAAGTTTACGGTAATCCTGCCCCTGCTCCTACCTTAGGGATAAGGGGAAAGGAGATTTTAGAAGGGGAAAAGGAAGAGGCTGGAAGAGAGTCTCCCATTTTCGCTTCTCTCATCTCCCTTTCCCCCAGGAAACGCCTTATAAGCAGGCTAAAGAAGCACTCGCGTTGCTTATCTGCTACCTAACCAGTACGCATGCGCACGGCATAACCCTCTACTTTTTGCGCTTCACTAACTCACCAAAAACAAAAGATTATAAGAACTCTGGGTTAATAGTAAAGGCATGAAACAGAATGCTATTAACAGATCAACCTAAGCTCTGAAGTATTTTTCATAGAGTTCTTGCAATTTTCTCGTTTAGTTAACGACAAAGTGTTTGAATAAGACTGAAGTTCTCTCTCCTCTCTCGACAAATGACTTCATTAACCATACGCTTTTAACCACTTACAAACTGATCTTTTACGTAAATGTCCAAAAAAACGTAGGAAAAACCAACAAGTAACCGGTAAAGCATAAATAAACTATCTTCAACCTGAGCTCTGAAGTACTTTCATAGAGTTCGTCCAATTTTTCTCCTTGGACCTACAATCATGTACAAAAGTCTTGGGACACTTTTGCGTTTCTGAGGCGTTTTCCAATTCACACAGGTCCAACCCCCCTCACCCCACAAACAATGTTGGACGCGTGTATCCAGAATTTTTTCCGAGTTTCAACTTTGTATAGAGTGGGGGAGGGAGAACTGCAAGAAAATTTCGAAAATGATGCGCTGTTTTAAGAGGGAACTGAGAAATGACAGAAAAATATGAATATTGCAGTACTGTCCCAAGGACGTTTGTCCAGGATTGTGGGTCTATCAACTTCGTCACTTTGTGGCAGATGATCATCGTCTCTAAATGACCTTTGCATATAAAATCTTCTAGAGTTTTCAGCCCAGCCCTTCCTGATGGCCATTGGACTCTTTCTTACTTAGGTTGATCTTATTTTGGCATTTTGTTTTGGCTTGATCTAAGCTGTACGGTACATTAAAAAATAATCACCAACAACTACAACTTAAAAATCCACAACCCTGGTCAAAACGTCTTGGGACACTTGAGGAAATTAGGCACAAAGACGCACTTTGCTAAATTAACTCATATTCTACCTCTTAAAAAAGCTTGGGGATGTTGTTATAAGGCGCTATTTCTGCTGCCCCCCTCTCCCCCAAGCAGTGTTGATTGTGTTGAATTAAAACTTGAATGCATAACGTCAACACTGCACCGAGGGGGAAGGGGGGGAGGGAAGATGCCTCAATTTGACGAGCTATTGCGTTAGTGTCCCAAGAGTTTTGACCAGGGTTTTAGCTTTAATTTGTGCAAGCTTTACCGTGCGTAAAAATTATGGCTAATCGTTGGGTTTTAACCCTGCTTTATCCAGGAAAACCCCCATCAATAGAGACGCCTTACGGTCCATACCCTATGGTGATTACACCCAACAGCAAACCAGAGGGAAAAGTACTTGTGGTTCAGGCGTATGCTTTCAGCAAATACCTAGGGAATTTAAAGGTTGATTTTGATGACAATGGCGATTTGACCTCTTGGTCTGGTAATCCAATACTGCTGGACAATTCTGTAGCCGAAGACCCAACGGTTCTGAGACAGGTTCAGGATTGGAAAGCTGAGGTGGCTAAAGTTTCAGAGGTAAGATTTTTTTGAAACTTTTTAATTTTTGTCCTTAATCAGCCTGTGCAAAACATAGCGGAGATACAACAGGCTGTGACGTCAACTTCTTGAGTTTAAGGCTGAGGAACGAACATCAGTTTTTCTCTTTTGTCGGAATCGTTCATACTCGTGGAAGCATTAAGGCGCAAGAAAAAGAATCATTAAGATTATTCAAAAATTCTATCGTATCGCCTGAGGATTTTTCGTATATACTAATTTTGACAGGAATGGGTTGCCCGCGGGCCCGCACCTATATCCTCTCTCTTGTTTTCAAGTCAAAATTCGTTATTTTCCCGCTAATTTTCAAGACGAACCTCTTAACCATCGTTTATCAGAAAAACTTTTCGCTTTTTACTTGCTGTTTTGACCCCGAAATGATTCCCAAGTAACTTTGGAATGACAACTGAAACAACTGAAACAGGGGATTTTGGAAGTTGCAAAAATGTTTTTAATAGTACAATTTGGTACAATCCCCTGGCGTACTTCCCTATGAAAGTGACGGTGATGCTTCTCGGAAAATTCATATTAAACCCCCAAGGGAGACCAATGTAGGTGTGGCTCAAACTTAAACTGACCCCTGAGGTAGATTTTTGTGTAGTCAGTGTCAGGGCATTTTTTGTAAATTTCTTTATACGCAATACCAGGCGATACCTGAATTGGCAAATATAGTAACTTTCCATCCCAAACACCTTAAGTGAGACCAAAATCTGCAATTTACACTCTGAAGCGAGACGACGGAAATCCCGATCGTTTTTACAATCTAACCTCCATATGTGACCACCTGTCGTAAGCGACCAACTTCCATAACCGACATCCTATCCAAAACACCAAAATTATCCAGTTAAAATTCTCTCCTTCGAAACTCTCGTAAATAACCATTTCTGATAAGCGAGCGCGATCACTATTTGGGTTGACAGTTTTGAACTTTTTCATTGTTTTTAACCCTTTAAGTCCCAATATAGTGACCAACATCAATTTTCTCCTAATGATATCCATACAATGTCAAGAGATTAGGTTATGAGAATTAATATAATGATCACCAAAGAGAAAATGCTTTGATCTTTTATCAAACTCTCTCAACTTATTCTTTAAAGAAATGTATGGAGATCAGTTTGGAGAATTTGCTTGTGGCTATTGGGGCTTAAAGGGTTAAATTTCTTGTAAGCGACCTTTTGACTACAACGATGCTTTTGACTACAACGATGCTTGTTTACGTTCTCCATAAAACGCGAAATTAGGCATTTTCACGTCGCAGTCGTGCAAAAACGGGTAAGAAATGTACAAAAAAGTGTGATGCACGTGCAAAGTTGTTGTTTTGCTTATCAAACCTATTATTTTTATGACGTTCTCGTTGCCGTCCGCGTGGTTGGCTCTTAAAGTCCCTATTTTGCCCGCGTCGCAGACGCTCTAGACCTTCTGTCCCGGGGGGGGGTACTGCCATATATGGGCTCTATAGGTATGTGCCGCTGTGAAGGGTATGGTTTTCAAACAGTTTACTCTCGGATAGGGTATATAAATCAGAGCGTTTGGGTCTAGAATAGGGTATCATTTTTCAGGAAACTGATCACTTGGTTGAAGATTTATCTAGACTAGGGAAACAGCTACTCTAGGATAGGGGGGATTTGGGGAGTTTACTCTAGTATAGGGTAGCAAAATTCAGCTGAACTAGCTCTGGTATAGGTTAAGGGTTCCAGGGTCCCAGCGGCACATCCCCACCCAGAAATTCCCCCCCCCCCGGGCCTTCTGTATAGAGCAAATAGTTTAGAGAAGTGCGTGGGCCGGCTGTAACACGAGCTAATGGTTCATGACAAGATTGGAATCCTTTATTTTTCAGGTCAAAGTGGGGTCCAGCTTTGTTTTCCTGTACGGAGACAAATCAGTTTGCATGCTCAAAGAATGCAATTTACCAAATGTTGTTACAGACGCTATGGTATTTCATTACACCAACACGAACAACTCACACACTGATGCACAGTGGACTAATACAAGTATTGCAATTCAAAACTCCAACAGTATTCCTGCCTCTATTTATCCAACTGAAGAAGGTATTTCAACAGGACGGTGCTTCAATACATGGAAGCAATGCTCTTTGTTTGTCATTTGCCCTATAGGTGCTTGGAACGTTCCTCGTTACACACAGTAATTTTTTAAGGAGTTACTATAACTCCATTAAATGGAGTAAACATTTTAGGTACAGGATAACCCCTTTTATTGGGTTACTTTAACTCCTAATTTAACTCCAAATTTGGGGTCATTTTTACTCCTAAAAGAGAGCTCTTTTTAATCCCAGTCTGGAGTTAAAATAACTCCGAAAATGGGGTTATTTTTACTCCTTACATGGGTTGTTTTTACTATTTTTGGAGTTACTTTAACTCTGAAAGTGGAGTAAAAAGTTTAGGTACAGGATAACTCCTTTTTGGGGATTATTTTAACTCCTCAATATCTGGGGTCATTTTTACTCCTGAAAAAGAGTTCTTTAAACTCCTTTTTGGAGTTAAAATAACTCCCAAAAAAATAACTCCACTGTACGGAGTTAAATTAACCCCACTAGAGGAGTTATAATAACTCCTTGAAAATTACTGTGCAGTCAACTCCCTTTAAAGAGGACACTATAGGGACCGCGAGTTGGTGTTCTCATTAGCGAGTGTCCTTTATAGCGGAAGTTTATTTCAGTCAAACATCAGTAATTCACACAATAATTTTCAAGAGTTATAACATGCGGAAAATGTCTGTTCAAACCGTTACTATCATTACTATCGGTAATGATCTTGGGCATAGCTTCAAAGATATTTGGTCGCCAACAAATAGCGCATAACTGCGCAAAATATCGTTCGCGCCTCGCCTTCTTCATCGTTTGTCTGAAACTCTCGGTTATCTCGTTACCTCGATTGCCTTTCACAACGTCCCCTTTAAAGGAGTTGATCTGACGAAATTGTTTCCCCTCCTGTAGCTATTACAGTCTTTAAAGCTTCACTTTTTTTCAGGTGCTATTACATACGGTCATATTGTGAATAGCTTCCCGTACAGAAACATAGTGGATCTTGTAGAACTGAAAGGAGAGGACCTTGCCCAGGTTTTTGAACAAGTGGCGTCTTTGTATGATAAAGATAAACCAGACATATCATTCCTACAAGTGTCAGGTATCTTTATTCTCTGTTTCAAATATCACACAAAAATATTGAAGGACAAAGAAACAAACAACAACAGAAACAACAAAACAATGCCAAGGCATGGAAAAACTTCTGAAAAATGACGATTTATACCTTAAGACACATACACTTTTACACTGTTTACAGGTAGCCATTACGACACCTGAAGGAGGATCATGAGGTTATTCGGCCCTATATTAAGATCCCTCCTTACAGATAACCCACACAGCCCAGGAAAGGTTACGTTGGCCACACTACCACTGTCTACGTTCCCTACTAGGGAGCTTAAGCAAAGACGTTTTTGAGCGACGCACGTCAACCGGAAGTGAGGCCTTCTCCCTTTTTATATGCCTTGACGCTAACAAATTTGTATTGCTGAGTTTCTTTACTCTTTTAAAGAACATTTACCCGAGAGTTTCAACCAAAACACTCCCCAATGATACAAAAAGTCCACTTCCGGTTGACGTCCGTCGCTCAACAACGCCGTTGCTTAAGCTCCCTACTCTTTTCGAACAGTGGTCTGGGTTCTTTTACGTCCCACATGAACTAGATCAGTGAAAGTGCTGTGAGCCTAGACCTACGGCTTTTCGTCCTTATCCGAGAAGACTAGAAAGTCTAACCGTTTGCATTACAAGGCAGCACTTTCTTCTCAGTTATTTAAAGACCCTGAGTGTTGGTCCGGCGGGGATTTGAACCCGCGACCTCCCACTCAGCAGAGCGGCGCTCTCCCAACTGAGATAACCGGTCGGCGAAAGACAAAACATGTATACTTCAGCTGCTAATCTCTTTTATCATAAACGATTTTCATTTGGCTTACTCTTAACGGTTAGCAAAAACCTTTAATCATTTCGAAATGACATCTTAACATCTACTGTTTCAAAACACATTAGTTAATTCAAATAAGCGACCTCTGACCTATCGCGTTTTAAAGCGTAATGAACTCGTGTGGACCGTCATTCGCAATTCCTCATTTGTCTTGTTTTTCAGGACTCCAGATAAACTACGATATGTCAAAGCCAAAAGGAAGCAGGGTGGTCGATATCCAAGTACGCTGCGCAAAATGCAAATTCCCAGTTTATGAACCACTCGATAAATCTGCTGTGTACAAAGTGGCCATGACCGACTACATAGCTGCCGGTGGAGCAGGGCTGACTGTCATTAGGGATAAGAAACTCTCCCACCAATTTGGCAGCATAGTCGACCAGCAAATGATGATGAACTATTTCAAGGCCAAGTCTCCCATAATGACTGGAGAAGAAAATAGGATCACCTTTGTGGAGGGATCGGACGAAAAACCTACGATATGCGGAGGCGGAGGAAACTTACAGGCTGTGAATATGCTTTTAGCCCCTCTCGCTGCTTTTGCATCGTTAGTTGTAAAACACGTAATCTAGAGACCAGGTTTGACAGCTACTGCAACTCGTAAGCATTGCTTGAAGCGAATGTGGTTCGACTATGGCAGACGTAATCAGTATAGTTAGATAGTAATGTTTCCAGCTTATAAGTTGCGATGCCATAAGCAACTTCATCTATGCGTGCCTTAATTGTAGAGCCAGAGTGATGATATATAAGCAGACGAGAATTTAAATTTGCACGAAAAAAAAATTGCTTGCAGATGCACGATTTACTGTCGAGTGCGTTATTTCTGTCAATTCCTCGCAGTAGTCTCAGTTTCTCGTCTGCTCTCGCAATTCTAGTTGGAGTCTAGTTTCGAGCAACCTTATTAATCAGCTTGCGTAGATTATTTACTACCCTTAAGCCAGGTTCAGACGCCCAACTTTCATGAGCCGAACCTGATTCGAATTAAGGCCGATCCAAATTATTTCGTTTGGCCGAATTGATTCAGACGCCGATCTTAATTCCAGCCAAAGTAAATTCAAAAGGGGAAAAATGCTCATTTTGGTCAAACTGCTTACAAAAAACGTTATATTTTATAACGCATTGAAACTTTCGCCATCGAATCGAAGCCGTTCCAATGTCGATCCAAAGTTAACCTGCGATCAGGCGGTCCTTCTTCTCCCTTTTTTGGGAGACGAGGGGTCAGGGTACCCGTCCACCCACTTTCGCACTTTCCCCGAAAAAAAACACGGCCCGGCTAGGCGAGAAGAACGGTCGAGCCGTTCCAAATTGAAACAGTAGCCGAAGTTTTCATGTACTTAATTCAATGTATAAGGGTCGGCTCATGAAAAGTTCGGCGTTTGAACGCGCCTTAAATGAAGTGTACCATAAGGGGCATGTATTTGTGATGATGAAAAAGGCCGCGTTTTTTTCAGGACATAAGGAACTCGTTTTTCCAATCATAGTGCGCGCTAATTTTAATGTCTGTTCGGAGTACATGTATATATCTTAAGACTATCTTACATAGTGGTTGTTTTAGTGAATTATTATCACCACGAATATTATTATGGCTTTTTATGCCAGATTGTACTTGGCTTTTATATAACATTCCCATTTTCATCTAAAAACCAATAAAGTTGTTGAAAAAAATGTTTTATTCGTCAATAATAACACGAACTTAGTGACACGAAATGCCTGAACCCATGGAACCCTACAAAGTCTCTTAGACGCCCTCACCTCTGAGCAAGGTCAAGCTCAGTGTAACTGGGCCATTAATTGGCTTTGTAATTGATGACATGCCTCCTGCATCACAAAATTCAGTACATTGTCGTTACTAAGGCCCGCCTACACAGATCCGGACGCTTTTGAAAACGCACTGACAGTCACGGTACCTCTGGCCTTGCGGACACCCCGATAATACGGAAAGCAGCTTCAAAGCAAAAAAGAGTTGTAGATATTTGACTGAAATAAACTTTCGCTACAGTCAACTCCCTTTGTAACGGAAACTATAAGGACCTCGAGCTAGTGTCCCCTTTAGCGAGAGTCCGTAAAAGGGCAAAAAGCGTCAGATATTTTGCTATCTGTACGATTGCCTAAGAAAACAGTCGACATTTCTCGACGCCATCACTAGCTTCTCAGCGAAATGACGTCCTACAAACAAGCGCGGAAATTTCATATCGATGACTCGCCACTACCCAGATCTGGATTGTGCTTCTGATTGGTTGAGGCAAATTTCCCGCGCGTCACGACCAATCAAAAGCACTTACCAGATCTCGGTAATGGCACGTCATTAGTTTAAAATTTCTGCGCCTGTTTCACAGTCGTCATTTCGCGGGTAATAAAGACGATTATTCGATTCGGCTCATGTTGGTATGATCTGAAGAATTCTGCAGATCGAGGAGGGTGGATAATATCCTCGCTCCGAGATCTGCGTGATTCTCTAGATCCCTCGACTCTTTCCCGATATATCTAGGAAATATTGAAGCGACTCTGCTAGGAGAGTAATAAGTGTGAAAACGGGACGGATTTCATTATAGACGAATAATCCGTCTGACTTTAAATTTATTCGTCTGTCTATCCGTTTAAAAAGAAGAATTTTGAAGACGTTTTGTTGGCAAGAGACGGATAATCCATCTCATGTATGAAAACGGCCAATGACTGACGAGAACTATTCAGGGACCCGGACAATAATTATGCCAAAAGATAAAGCCTTTTGTCACGCTTGTAATTGCATATCATTTACTTCATTGTCTTTATTCTTTTTCTTGTCGTTGTTGTGCAACTTTTGACACTTTTTCAGACTTTTATCTTAACTGAAGGAGAGACAGACATCTCTGACTGACATTACATAACCTTGTGAACTTGCATGTATTAAATTGCAACGTGTTTAAGTGTCGCGGAGCTTCTGGTTCAGTACAACATGGAGGCTTTAGCACTATTCAAATCAATCACCCTTGTGCTTTTGACATTGTCTATATCCTCTCTGGCGCAAGGATTTTCACTCACTCTTCTGCATACAAACGATAATCATGCGCGGTTTGAAGAAACAGACACCTACGGTTTCCTATGCTATCCTAAAGACGCTCAAGCGGGCAAATGTTTCGGAGGAATGGCTCGCAAAGCAACGATGATAAAAAAAATTCGATCCCAATCGAAGAATGTACTTCTCGTTTCCGGCGGCGATGTCTTCACTGGAACTGTGTGGTATCAAGTTTATCGGGGAAATGCTACCAGAACGTTCATGAACGAGCTTGGATATGATATCATGGTAAGTTTAGAATGACCTAGTTTAGCTTCATTTGCTAAGCGGACCACGTTTATATAAGTAGAGAACGATTACATTGCAATTAAGAATGTTCATTTAGAAAAGAAAGTGCAAATATATTTCACGGTGGAATAAATAATTTTTCACAGTTTTTCAAAGTTTACGCTCGTGAACTTCAGTTTTTGTATTGAAGCGTTCTTGGTATTCCTTACTGATGAATTCTAACCGCGGAAAGAAACAGCTGTATAAACACTCAGTGTTTCACCTGTTAAAAAAGGTTGAGCTCTCTTACAAAGCTAGCTTTGGTACGTTATATTATTATGTTAGACATTGTTGTTAGCCATGCTTCGCTTCGCCTCAAATGCATATTCTTCGACATAATTACCGTTGTCATTACTGTAAGAAATCAGGCTACCATTAACAATATTTAAAGAAAACTGAAAAACAAAACCGTAAATCCACACGGGAAAAATTTCTTCTTCCTAAACAGAACTTGAAATCAAAATTCCCATAGATATCTGGCAAGATAGCCTTTTCTTCAAATGGTAGGTTTTCAATGTTAAACAACGTTTCGTACGTAAAAAAACAGACGAGAAAAAATTGCATGCAATTAATGTCTTGCCTTCACACTGCCAATATCTAAGTGGAACAAATTCTCTGATGCCCTTTTCGTGCTATGTCATAATTAACGACTCAATTCTTTCTTCAACAGACCCTTGGAAATCACGAGTTTGATGACGGCGTTGACAACTTGGTGTCCTTCCTCAGCCAGCTGAATTTTACAGTTGTGGTCTCAAATCTAAACGTCACTCAGGAGCCAAAGTGGCCCAGCACACCTCCTCTGATAGTCAAGTCTAAAGTTGTTAATGTTGGCAGTGAGAGGATTGGGTTTGTGGGATATGTACTGAAAGACACGCCACAGTAAGTTTTGTTAATGAGCTGGTTGCGAAAGGGTGGACTTGAACAAAATGTCGAGGCCAACTTAGGTATAAATCATCTCAAAATTTAAGAGCAGGGATGGGGTTTTTGATAAGCAACAGTTTTGGTAGCAGGAAACGCTTGTAAACTGTAGTTATCATGGCGAGCATTTACGACAATTTTCTCTCAGCTCCACCAATGTCTCTGCAGAACTGACGGTAGATTCGTATCCTAAGCCCCCTTTATTAGAGAAACTTGATTTTATATAACGTTTACTTAGCAAAGCTCAAGTGCTTCTAAAAACGCCAAAACAGCTAGAAATTTACTTAAGGTGGCTCGATACAGTTTTTCAGGGTGAATACCTCCCAAGTGTGAGCGTGAACTACGTCGCCATTTACAAAGATTTGGAGAAATTAACAGCACAGTTGTCTTAGATAAAGATGAAACTTTGTTATGATCAGGGTTGCAATGACATCGGAGTTGACATAGCAACGAAATGACGCCATTACCTATTTTACTTACAGCAGTATTTTTCGGCACTGGGAACTGTTCTTCCAAAATCGTTCACTGGAGCTTTTTCTTCCAATAGCCGCCTCGATGTTCGTGAAGTTTAAGCGAAATCTGTAAGAGCGTTATCGTGATATTTTGGGAAGAAGTTTTTATGGTTAGAAATAAGGTAAAAAATTGATAATCTTGATGTTCGACTGTTATATGTACTAAACGAAGCGCTTTTAACATGCAATTTCACCTCATACTAGTTTAAATCTTTTTAAAAACGTGTGTGAAAGATCATGGAGATACCTCCAGCCGATTGCTAGAAAGAAGGATTTGATTGGTATGTATCGGGGCGTTCTTGTTAGCGGTAATGTAAAAATTTCAGTCTACTTTTTAAATAAGCGAATAATTTTTAAACCGCTCGATAAATTTTTTAGAAAATTTAAGAATCTTGAGATTAACCGTCCTTTTATATGACCTCTTAGTTTCAAGACTATTGATATATTGTAAGGCGGTAAAATAAGGGCTACAATACGCTAATATTTTGTCAGAAATTTTGTGTTTACAAGTGTGAGTCTCTCATTATTCAGGGGTATTGTCTCCAAGTTTCATATTTTCGTGCACAACAATAGCTAGCAGTTTTGCATATGTCAAATGCATTGTTATTTACTGCTGTTCACGTGAAAATGAAACTTTGAGACAATACCCCTGAATAATAAGAGACCCTCACTTGTAAACACAAAATTTCTGACAAACTATTAGTGAATTATAGCCGTTATTTTACTACCTTACAATATATCAATAATCTTGAAACTAAGAGGTCATATAAAAGGACGGTTTATCTCAAGACTCTAAAATTTTTGAAACAATCTATCGAGCGGTTTTAAAATTATTCGCTAATTTGTTGAAGTGGACCGAAATGTTTACCTTACCGCTAACAAGAGCGCCCCGATACATACTAATCAAGTCGTTCTTTCTAGCAATCGTCTGGAGGTATCTCCATGGTCTTTCACACACGTTTTTAAAAAGATTTAAACTACTATGACGTGAAATTGCATGTCAAAAGCGCTTCGTTTAGTACAGATAATCATCAAACACCAAGATTCTACATTTTTTACCGTATTTCTAACCATAAAAACTTCGCCCCAAAATATCTCGATAACGCTCTTACAGATTTCGCTTAAACTTCACGAACATCGAGGCAGCTATTGGAGGAAAAATCTCCAGTAAACGATTTTGGAAGAACAGTTCCCAGTGCCGAGAAATACTGCTGCAAGTAAAATAGGTAATGGCGTCATTTCGTTGCTATGACAACTCCGATGTCATTGCAACCCTAATCATAACAAAGTTTCATCTTTATCTAATACAACTGTGGTGTCAATTTTTCCAAATCTTTGTTTATGGCGACGTAGTTTACGCTCAAACTTGGGAGGTATTGACCCTGAAAAACTGTATCGAGCCACCTTAATAACACTTAATCACTTCTAGTGTTACAAACTGTACTTAGTGCAGCTGAAAATGCTGGAAATCAATAGCAAGCTTTTGTGATTCGAGGGCTTTTCCACTTCTCGCGCTCTACAAGAATAGGCCCTATGCAGCTAGCCATTCATGTGGTAGAAAACCGCCACGCTGGAGAGAAAAAGTTGCTCTGGGACAAGACCAACAAAAGGCACACATAATTTTGAATGGTAACTTCCTTCGTTTGTCTTGTCCCAGTGAGACTTTTGCTCTCCAGCATGGCGGTTTTGTATCACGTGAATGGCTAGCTGCAAAGGGCCTATTGCTAGCGATATGTTTGATTTCTCACCCATTCCCCGAGATCATGTAAGGGAGTCCTAAATCTGGGGCATATGCGAAATTCGGAAACTTGCGACTTTGGAAGCCGGAATACAGCTCAAGGAATCCGGACTCCTACTAACGATGGCAGAATCCAAGACTGTCTTGGATAATTGCCTGACATTGGGCGACATTTCTCATGAAGAATTTGTAGCACAGGCTTCGAACAGGCTCTATGCTTTCAGATCTTGAGCAAAAATCCAAATTCCAACTGAAAGATGCATTCTTCCTCTGCAATATAGGTTGTCAAAACCTGGCCCAGGGCCCAATATTAAATTCTTACCTGAGGTGGAGTCAGTGAGGAAAGCTGTGGAAGAACTGAAGCAACAGAACATCAATAAAATCATCGCCGTTGGTCACGCGGGTATAGAAATGGATAAACGAATAGCCAATGAGGTTGATGGAGTGGATATCGTGGTAGGAGGTCACACAAACACCTTTTTGTACACAGGTACTAAAGCTACACTAAAACGTACAAAAAAGGCGCAACATTGCTGCCGCACGAGCTGAAAAGCAAGTTGCCGGGGCGCTAAAACGCGCAACATGTACAGATTTTGTTGCAAAAAGTAGAACTACCCTCTACTTTCGTCAAATAACAACTTTTTGCAACGTTGCAATTCCTAGCAAATTTCACGTCGTAGTGGGTAGTGACGGCTTAGAAATGTACCGAAAAGTGTGACGAATGTGCAAAGTCGTTGCGGTTATCTGTTTTTGTTTTTATCAAACTTATTGCTTTTCTGACGTTCCCGTTCCATAACCATCGTCCTTGCTTCTGGACCTTTTTTATCCAAACAGGGGCAGCCATTTACAGCGTTTCCTTCACAACAGTGTTCAGTGGTTAAGACAATTATCTGCGAGTGACGCTTTGCATAGCTGAGTCGATCCACTAAAGAATCCAACCAGTTTTATTCGGACCATCAGCAACAACAGTTTCTTATAACATGCTCATGAGATGTTTAGTGTCATACGAATTTTTATTACTCCAGATTTATGTTAGTAAATTGTTTTTTATATAATGGCTGTCTTTCGGAAGGGTTTTCCGCCATATACCGGGACACGGGACACGGGACACGGGATTTGACTGCTACCGGGAAGCCGGGCTGGCGAAAATTTCGGCATAGGATGGGTAATTGGGATAGTAAACGATATTCCGGATAGCGATGACACAAGATTGAGATGCAGGATTCTCGTGAAAAAGTAGAATTTGGAATCAGAAACGCCCTTACTAGTCACTTTACAATGTAAGCCCGCCCTAAGCGTTAATGTGTCAAGAGTGTCTAATTGCAAGCTTCTTCCTTTGTTTCAATCAGGAGAGCCACCCTCAACAGAAATACCTTACGGTAAATACCCCCTGGAGATAAGGCCAAAGAGCAACCCACTGTCCAAGAAGGTACTGGTGGTTCAGGCGTTTGCTTACGGAAAATATCTTGGGAATCTGACGGTTGATTTTGACGACAATGGCGATTTGACCTCGTGGTCTGGTAATCCAATACTGTTGGACAATTCTGTAGCCAAAGACCCAGCGGTTCTGAGACAGGTTGAGCAGTGGAAGACTGAGGTGGCTAAAGTTTCAGAGGTAAGGACTGATATTATTTTAAATTCTTTTCTGGTGATCTTTGCCAGCTTAGACCGACCGATACCTCAGAATGATATCACTATAATGCAATTCTAGAGCTCTGATTAGCTTAGCCATCTTGGTATGAGCCATTATACCACGCTCTCCAAATATGGTAACTGTACGCGTTTGTTCAAAATTAAAAACAAGCTGAAAATCTGTTGTTTTTACAAATAAAGTCGGGAAGAATTCTCTATATTTTGTGGGCGTTTTTAATAAAACAATATTATTTCACTCGCGCTTGCTGAATATGAGATGATTATAACCAAATCGGCGTTACGCGCCTGGTTTACTACTACCATCTCATATCCAAGCAAAATAATTCAATAATTGTTAAATATAACTGGCGCCGTGACTGAGTTTAAGACAGTTAAGAACTGAGGAAGTCCACTTTTATAATTTTCAGTATCTCAAAATCGGGCGCTCTGTAGATAATAAAGTTCTTTTGTCCTGTTCTATTGTGTTTGCAAACCAGACTACGAAACCTAAAGCATATATCCGTGTCTTACGCGATAAAGTATGATATCGAACGATGGAATATTGGTGTAGCCTGTTCCAGGCGCTCATATGATAAGGAGAGAGCAAAAAACGAAGAGGAGGCGGGGGGGGATGTAGGGAGAGGGGGCGAAAGACAAGCCTAAGTGGAGGAGATATTTATGGAGAGAATCAGTATGGATCAACAAATTGTTTTGTATTGCAGGTCCCAGTGGGTTCAAGCTTTGTTTTCCTGAATGCATCGAAACCAGGTTGCATGCTCAAAGAATGCAATTTAGGAAACGTTGTCACAGATGCCATGGTCTTCCATTACGCTAATCTATCAGCCAATGAAGAACAGTGGACGGGTGCTAGTATTGCACTTCAAAACAGCGGGAGTATTACTACATCTATTGCCGTCAATGCACAAGGTACGGCAACAGGTATCCTTATGAACACAAGCTATGCGCTTCGATTTAATCGTCATTTTTTGACGCTGGCTGGGATGTAACCTGCGAACGGAAGACGTTTCTCCCTGCTCATCGCCTTTAAGGGGCGTTTCGCAAAACGTCACTCAGCGGCGATGAGCGAGGAGAAACGTTTGCCGTTCGCAGGCTGGCTGGGATGAGAACTCAACGGATGTCAAGAGAAAAGGCGGACTACAATAATAATAATAATAACATTTATTTATACCGCGCAAATTCAACTATACAGTTTTCAAATGCGCCTTACAATTAAAGATCTAAAAATATACCTTACAATTAAAGATCTAAAAATATACCGTAAAACAAACAACAAAAAAAACAAAAAAAAAATTACAACATTAAATTACAACATTATATCAGAAAAGGCTTTTTTAAAAAGGTGAGTCTTCAAATTACGTTTAAAAACTTGAAAATCGGAGGTGCATCTAAGATCTAACGGAAGATTATTCCATAGTTTTGGTGCGGCGGCTACAAAGGCTCGGTCACCAAGAGTAGGGAGAGTCCTAAAGTTAGGATTTGAAAGCAGATATTTGTTATTTGATCTGAGGCTGTAGGAAGAATTAGGTTTAAAATTAACGAGAGATGATGCAAGCAGTCTATTTAATGTGATCAATGACTAAGGAAAGTAAGGTTGCTCAGTATACACGTGCGCGATTTTAGTCTTCTTCTTTGCCAAGGAGACAATCAAACAAACTAGTTAAATCTTGAAGCTTGTAGATGTCGCCCTGCCTCGTCCCCAGAAGTCCTTCTTTGCCCTCGTATTGCACACTTGGTGTCTTACGACTGATGCACCGCCAGCCTTACTTATTATATCCATCCCATCACCCATGACCCTCGAACATTCTCCCATCCACGCGATGGTAGCGTCTGGTGACATTGCACCAGATCGCTGCAGTAACCAACTTCAAGCGCCGGAAAATGCTGTGAACAAGTTGTTGGTTAACTTCTGATTGGCTGAGAAAGTCGCACGATATTCTTTAGACAATCACAAATCGTGGCGATGCAAAATTAGTCTGAAATGTCTCACGTCTCCCACCCTCCCACCCCCCCCACGGGTTACGGAATGGAGACGTATGACATTTTATAGCCTGCGAAAACATCCGTTTCTCCTCGCTCTTCGCTGCCGGGGACGTTTCGTGCGAAACGCAGGCTAGACATTTTAGACTAATTCAAAATCTAAAAAATCATTGGTTTTCTTTAACTCCTCATTGAAAACAGGTCATATCCTCGAGTCAGCGCATTTAAACTCTGCGGCTTCTTTAAACACCCAACTTGCTGTAATTGTTTTAAAGGGAACCTCCACTTCAACAAAAAGATAACTTTAAATCACAGGAAATAACTGTTACAGTCAAGTCAATCTAAAATATTTTTAAAGAAAGCGTTTGTATCCGAAAGAAATAACTTTTAGATTCGCCTATTTTTGTTTTCAAATTTTGCGGGCGTCGCCATCTTGAATAATTGTGACGTGTAATGGTTGCCCTATTGTTCTTAAACAAAAGCTCTTTGTGTCAGAACAATAGAGCAACCGTAACACGTCACAATTATTCAAGATGGCGGCGCCCGCGAAATTTGAAAGTGAAAATAAGCGATTTTAAAATCCACTTTTCCTGATATAAACACTTTTTTTAAGACAAATTTCGAACAAATTTGTTTATCAACATAATTTTATTCGATTTAAACTTATTCTGTAGTAAGAGTGGAGGTTCCCTTTAATTCGAAAGAAAATCTCTCTGAAGTTATCACCAACTTGCTTCGACCACAAAATATACATTTTTTTCTCTCTAATTTATTTAGATACGATAACGTATGGGCACATTTTAAACAGCTTCCCTTACAAGAACACGGTAGATCTGGTGGAATTAAAAGGAACGGACCTGCTCAAGGTTTTTGAGCAAGTTGCATCTATGTACAGTAAAAGAAAGCCTAGTGTATCGTTCCTACAAGTTTCAGGTATACTATTATTTATTCACCACTCTGATAGAAATAGGGTTTGCTTAAATTGAGGCTTTAAAAGCAACCACGCAGCAATAGCAGGGAAAACGTCATTTTAAAAAGTGAATTGGGGCTGTTTCAAACTTCATCGCGATTATTCCATTCCGTTCAATTTGTCAAATTAGGCGAACGTTTCTGGATTTGAATTCTTAAGGCCGTATGCAACTGGAAAGGGAGAAAAAAAGAAATGGTCGTCTTTTGCTAACGCCCCATTTATAATGGAGAAATCTTATCCCGTGAATTATCCCGGTAGAAGGCCCTTACTCGTCCCCAGTCGTCTTCGCTAACACGCGCGGCGGGAACACGGAGAGATACCCGAGCTTCTATGAGCGAGCCACCTTTCAATACATTTCCTTACAAAATTCGGCGAACCGTTTACATGAGAAACAAAAAGTTGGCTCAGTTAAAACTGGGCTTGTTTGACAGTAGGCAGGGTCAGTCAACTCGGTCAAGGCGAGACAATCCCGCAGAGTGTGCGCGAGCACTGTTTCATCATATAAGCGCTCCGCCCCGTAAGTTGACTTCGCTGGGTGATGACCCTTCTTTCTCGATATGAAGAGGGTGTAACTTCCTTCGTAAACGTGAAATTAGCAAATTTCACCTTCTATTCGTACGGTGACGAAATAGAAATGTACTAAAAAGCATAATGCACGTGCAAAGTTTCTTGTTGCCCAACCATAAACGTCTGCACCTCCAGTAAATAAGCCCGCTTGTAAGAAAGGGGTTCGATGTTCCAAGGACAGTTGTTGACGCATACTTTACTTACCAGGCCTCCAAATAAAGTACGATATGACAAAGCCGAAAGGAAGCAAAGTAGTGGATATCCAAGTACGCTGCGCCAAATGCCAAGTCCCAGTTTATGAACCACTCAATCTTTTCGCTGTTTACAAAGTAATTCTGTCGTCCTACATGGCAAGGGGTGGAGCCGGGCTAAGTGTTATCAATGAAAAGAAAGTCTCCCATCAAGTGGGCAACATAACGGACGATGTTCTTATGATGAACTATTTCAAGGCCAAGTCCCCCATTATGACTGGAGAAGAGAATAGGATCACCTTTGTGAAGGAAGACGAGAAAAAGCCCTCGGTATGTGGTGGCGGCGGAAGCTTACAGGCTGTAAAAATACTTTTAGCTCTCGCTGTTTTTGTATGTTCAGTTGTAAAACATATTATTTAGTAAGTTGGCTCGACTGCTAGTCCGCGCCATGAACAATGCACTGTTGAAAACTAAAACAAGGACAGTTAAAGTGACAGCAATAGTACAATTGCATGATGACATCATTTTACAACAACTCCCAGCATCTTTCAGTTTGTTGTATTCTTGTGCAAATTAGGACTATTGTTTCCTTAAACCTCAGCAGGATTGAGAAATTTAAATAAGAAAAGGTAATCAAAGAAAGACTATCGTCAACTCGTAAGAACGTTGTTTAGAAAATAATCACATGGTTATCAACTCTGATTTCCCCACATTAAATTGTAGGAAATGATAGAAATTCAGATTGTTTATCCATATATTTAATATGAGGGTGTGAATTGGGTTAACCGACTAGCGACAAAGGGCGAAAAATATCACTGACCAGCGACAAAACGAGAACGGGGAAAAATTACCGACTACCCAGAGGAGAAATATTGACCGACTAACGACATGAACTGACATTATCGATATTTGTTTTTTGGGACTTATCAGATGGTCCAACGGAAATAACTTCCTCCTTTGTTGATTCGTTTACATCAGTTGCTACAACTTACCAATATCAAAATCACGGAAGTCATAGTTTACCTTAAAGATAATATATACCGACTTTATAAATTACATTTTTAAAAAAGGTGAAAAACCGAACATTTCTTGTTTTGGTGGACGTCACAAGTCTTGGCAAATACAACACAAAACGAGAGTATTGAAATAATTTGCAGAAGGTATGAAAATTTCTAAAAAGACAACTCTCCTATTCCTACACATTACCTGGCGATGCTTAGATTAATCCTCAAAGAAAATTCTCTCCAGTTAATGGAAAGCACCACCTACAAACCCACAGTACCGCGATGAGCACAAAGACAGCAGTTTCCTTTGCCAACATTTTCATGGCATATATTGATTCTAGCAAAACCGTCTTTAAGCCAACAGTTGGAACCACTATATAGACGTTTCTTCTATATTGGACATAAGTAAATCAGACGTCGTAGCCGAGTTTCTTCGAACAAGCAAACTACCCGACTATTAAATCCACGGCCGAAATATCTGACACTGAGACTCTGTTTTTAGACACGGTTGTATATTCAAGGGCACAAGATTCAACGAAAAAGCTATCCTTGATGTGAAGACACATTTTAAACAAACGGAAACCTTCCAGTAGACACATTTAACCCAGGGACCGCGGAGACCATTTTAAAGTGGTAGGGCTACAAAATCTGGCCAATACAAAGAAACATTCAGGTCGGTGTTTCGCCATTTCTCTCGCATTTGCGCCCCATCTTATTTACCACCTCAACAAATATAACATAAACGTCCACATGTGTTATACGTATACTATCCAATATAGCCAATATTTAACCGCGGCAGGATTAGCTTGGTCGGTAGAGCGCTTGACTGCAGAGCCGAAGGTCGCTGGTTCGATCCCCGGGACCGGACCAACACTCAGGGTCTTAAAATGACTGGGAAATGAAGATACTGCCTCTGCCCTGCAAATCAGGGCGTAATAAGCTAGGGCGTTGAAACGCTCATACGCGCTCTCTGGTTCAGTTGTGATGCGGAGTAGGACTGGAACAAGTCCGCTTTCCGCTCTCGATCCGCTGTCAGGGCAAGAAAAATGGCGTCGTCTAGCTGAAGGGAGGTTCGGATTTATTGCTTTTTATTATATAGACACGAGTGTTTTACTGGAAAATATACCACTCGTAAAATTCATAAAAACTACATACGGGACCCGAGTGGTTTATTTTCCATAATCTCACACGTGAGTTTATCGATGACGTAATTTCGGTAATTTCCCTCCAAAATTGTTGGCGTCTTGCTTCCTTTGAATTTTAATTACACATTTTTCAAAGCTTTGCTTATATTTTGTCAATGTAGAGCCCTATTCAGCTCGGTGTTATTTCTCCAGTTAATTGTAAACAATGTCTTACATTGCTGTACTGTAAATTTGAGCCGTCACAATTACTTTTTGGCGAATAAAAATCTAATATTTTATCGATGTCTTTTTGTCTATACAATAAAAAGAACATTACACGGCGGCTTGAAGATATGAATTTTATTTTCGAGTGGCAAAAATGAGTGGTAAAATATTGTTTTGCCACTCGAAAATAAAGTTCATATCTTCGCGCCACCGTGTAATATCCTCTATATATCTTTAGATCGCTGCAATCTATAATTTGATTTGATATTTGGCGTATCTCTATGCGATATACAGAAAATATTTAGGTGATATTTTATAGTTAGTCTTGTAAGTTAATTAAGGTGTTTTTTCGCCTTTTATGTTTATGTAGTGTCAAAATGGCCTATCGAATATTACAGGTTGAAGGTCGCGTTTTATCATGCCAGTCAAAACCAAATGATAATAAACGGCTACTTAACAATTAGGGACCTTAAGATACCCTGGACGCGGCGGTAAAGAGAACGGAGAAAGCCTGGAGCGAGGACGCCGCCACCTTCGCGGGAAAAACAAATTAAGATTGAGCAGGTTGGGTTGAGTGCTCGCCTGACGAGAGAGGATAAAGTAATGCTTTCGTGTTTTAATTCCATAAGTCGTGAAGTCTTGCTTGATTGATACCTCAACGATCTTTTATTGGAAGAAAAATTTGTGCTGCCGGCTATTACTCCAGTTTCTCTAAAAAAAACAACCGAATTTCTTCGAGGGAAACTTGAGGGTATGATCGGAGTTCAGTTTATCAGCTATTTGTTGCCAGACTTTTTCGCTTTTCGTTGTTCTAGATCTTGCTTTAAAACGATATGATACCGCTCCATCGCTGAACTGACAGTGAACAAAATAAAATTATAAAAGTGAAGTTAGAACCATGGCGTCTTGTTCAAGATCTCAATTTTCTCCGAAATGTTCAAGTTTGTTACGAGCCTAGATTTTTTGTTTTTCAACAATTTTTATTCGACTTCTTGTCTCTTAAAGTTTTCAAATACTATCCCAAAGCGAGAACGTTGTCCCCTTAAAAACAAGCAGTTATAGTGTTACATTTGTGTCGAAAGACTCAGCACTTTCATTCTCAGTTGCCGCCAAAACAATGAACCCAAAAGGCTTGATAGCAAAATAATAAGAGGCAATCTTGAGAGAACACCTCACTAAAAACACTTAAATGTGTCTCATTAAGTAAAACGGATCGAAAATCCTGTACGAAAAGCAATTTCTGCACTGAAAATAAGAAAACCAACTCACCGTTTTACGAGGCGGCCAAACTTCTAGTTTTCACCGTCGCGACTTCAGGTCGACGCTGTGGCATTATGCTAATTAGTTCCAAGAATTGAACATTTCACTTCCGGTTGACGTCCTCCTCGGCCGCGTCCATAGTATCTTAAGGTCCCTAATATTCCACGAGGGCGCGTTGGATATGAGATGATAGATGCCAACGAGGCGCTTAGCGCCGAGTTGGCTATAATCATTTCATATCCAACAAGCCCGAGTGGAATAATTGTTTTATTAAAAACGCCCACAAAATCTCGTTGAATCGCCCCGACTAGAACAAACCGGAAAAGACAAGGGACTTCCGCTATTGACATGTCACACGTCTATCAAAACTGTCAACGCGCGAACGGGCTCGCCTAGACTGCATGAATGAAAAATCAAAACATTGTGCGATGAACATTAGTTTTTTAAAAACTCATCGTGATTCTAGGATTTTACACAGCAGAACAGCTTAAAAAACCTGGCAGATAATGTGAAGGAAAGGAATTTTTAAGTGACAGCCGTCGAAATTACTATGATTTGGATTTTCGGTGCAGTTATAAAAGTAAGAACAACGGAGAAAAACTACCGGTATTACGTCTTCGCTTGTTATGAAGTTGTTTGAAGCCACAAGCTGGTTTTGCTGAACGAGAAAAGAAGCTATACTGCCGCCTCGATTGCTCTAGTGAATGGCTGCATAACCTGTATTTGTAGCTGGTTACTTGTGATTTATATTCTTGATGTTGGATAAACAAGCTGCAGTTATCTATCGGCGAGTGACTCGATCGGCGAATGGCTTCGCGATCATGAAGAAACAACACTTGTCTTCTTTCGTAGCTGGTCAAGGTACTTTAGTTCCATGTGTTTTTCGACAAACTTTCAAACAAGCTCTTGTGGCTTTTTTGTTTGTTTTTGTCTTTTTTCTTTCGTTGAAATTGCATTTCTAGTATTCTAAGAAATGAATTAAAACGATTTGCTTCGGGCGCCGTTCTATCCTTCGCGAAAAAAAATCTCAGCTAGCTTCCAATTTTAAACTGACGCGTACACCGACCATATATGGAGAACATGGTATATTTAAGCAATAGACCACACTTTCTATGGGTTTACCGGCGTGATAACCCACGCGGAATGTTGGGAGAACACGAGAAAAGCTTGTAAATCACGAGCCGAAGGCGAGTGATTTACAAGCTTTTTGAGTGTTCTCCCAACATCCCAAGTGGGTTATCACGCCGGTAAACCCATAGAAAGTGTGGTCTATTGCTTTTATAAAATAACGTTTAGTAGAGTGGAGTCTTTTTAGGTAAAAAATATGGTTTTGGTACCGTGATCGATTTATGTCTTCTCTCTAAAGTCATCATAAGCCAATCATGACTCACGATTTAATAGCGCAGAACTTTCTCAAGACTCAGTTCAGTCAAACAACAAACAGCAGCACTTCAAAACACGAGTTTTTGCACTCGTTACATGATAACTTATGAAAGCTGTTTTACAGGAAAAGTCAACACATATTCATGCGAACGTACAATAAAACAATACGTTCATGGTTTGTTTACTAAAGAAGTAGAAAATTGAACATCAGACTGTACGCAGCTGTATTTTGTTGAGTCGATCCGTAAGAATTTCATGCTTACAGACGGAACTGGCAGCTATTGTAATGGAGGACTTCATTCACTTTTTTACAAGCCGCAGTGGTTTAAGATCTGTTTTCTGGGCTTTATCATGATCAAGAAACGCTGCGACGTGGCTGCATTTGCGAAGTTGTCGCATGTAACTTTACATGCACGAACAGTCACCGATGGAAATCTGTCAGTGGTGGAGAAAGGCCGGTTTTTTTGCCGTAGCCACATATTGGCGTTAATATTTGTCGATTTGTGAAGTCAGGTGGTTTGAGGTAGGTTATGGCATCGATATCACCGAATAATTTCTACAAATGTTGGAAAAAACCAGCCCGAAACTCTGACATCTTTCATCATCGTTGGCAGCTTGTTTACAACCTACAGCGGCCGATTTTGTACCATATCTTGATCAGAGATCTCTTTTTGGAACAATTTCTTTCATTAAGGAATTTAATTTTGACATAA